ATTCATGTCGCGTCCAGAAATTGATGCCTCACACCGGTGTATCGTCCACGTTTCACACTGAGAATAATTCGCTGCTCCTGGGAAACGTGTCTGAAGTAACGCGGCATAGCCTAGAATACAAGCTGTACGTCTATTATAAACTAACCCGTCGACTTTCCCAATGGGAAAGGTCCTCCGTTCTTTCCACTCCCATCTCCTTCCAAATGTCGGAAGCTTCCTCGTGGGACGCAACAGAAGGCGATTCGCGTGCAGTCGCCAATTCGCTTATTTTCGAGCATCTACCCCATTTCCGGGTCGCAGATGGACTCACTATGTGTAATGACAGCACCTGTTCCGAGAGTAGATAGGAGGCTGCTGTGTCTTCGGACAAGCCCTCGTCCATCCCGTGTCAGATTGTATTATTGAGCAGATCTGTGACATGTCGAGCGGCATCCTGATTCAAGCCAGGATCTGAACGAGAGTATCTGCTCTCCGATCCTCTCGGAGATCAAGTTTCCAGCGACGCTCTGTCGGATGTTGACTCTCGCGACGGGGAATGGAACTTTCCCCATAACTCTATCCCCGATCTGGCTCTCGTATCTCCCGTAAAATCCTGAACACAGATTTTTTCTAGCTTTCAGGAGGATTTGCCTGGAACCCAGCGCCGCGCCTCATGATTGAATACCTTCATGCACAAGGCTCGAGGGGATAACAGTCCATGGCGAGGATCTGTTCAGGTGGAGAGAAACTCAATTGCGGCAATTGCCAGTAAGTCGGCTTCCATGAGCCTGGGAAGCATGGACGACAGAAAGGATGAAAACCGCAAAGATGTGATCTCAGTAGAGCTCTCGATTCACGATTATTCTGATCACACAATTCCTCTCCTGCACCCCGAGCTTCATGTTCGTGTGAGATCCATCTCCCCCCTTTGCTTGACATCGTAGCGTACACGCTTCTCCGTCACACAATGAGTGCGGCCTTGGAACGCCACTGCAAGCTTGAATGGAAGGGAAGTTAAGCCATTCATTCTTGGGATCAGAAGACACTTACTGGAGAGGCTTCTTCGCTGGCACCGCGAGTTCCCTGCTTCCTCTCGTGCAGCTTCTCCGGTCGCTTAGTTTCCAAGTGCTATCATTCAAGTGCGACTTCAATAAGAGAATTCTTTACCACCGCAAACGGCCCTCTCGGAGCGCAGCGGAATATCCTCTCTGCTTTTTCCAAGGGGTTGCTTTCGGCAGCTTCGAATCGATGGCTGAGAAGGGATGTTGCTTTCGAGCTCATGAGACAATGGGATCTGCGACTCTGACGTGTAACGAATTCTTGGATTTTCTCTATTGAAAAGAGTTCCTCCGGAATCGACTCAGCATTCATGAAGGCTCAGGTTCCTCAAGGGCCCGCCCTATCGGATGAAGCGTGAGACTTCGCGCGACTCCCTCGCCTCATCCACGGATCAGACGGATTCGTCAAGAAACGGAGTTTTCAACCCTTACGCCGAGAATCCTAATCGGTTGCTCAACTATCGCTCGGATTTATTATTTTATTCACATTTCCGGCTTCATCTCGATACAAATAGAGACACTGTTTCAAAACTGGATTTATCATTGAAGCCATCCACTCTCAAACAAGCCAGAGTCGACCTCGGTAGGGTGCCCATCTGACTCAACGCTCTCGGCTCTCCAAGCATCGATCCCATCGGTGAGTAGGAAATTGTGAATACTTCTGAGCTTTCGGGGATTTGATGCTCCATGGGAACACTAGTGAAAACAAGATCGCTGCGAATCGTCCCTTTCATCGAGGGATCATAAATAAATAAGCGAAGGCTCCGCGATGCCGGACGAATCTGACAATATTAGCTTCGCATTGCGCGTGCGGAATTCCACATGGCAACCGATCGGCGCTAGTTCCAGAGATGAAAAAGCGGCCGTACGATTGGTGTCTCAACCCGATACGGCCCCGAGACTCCGCTTTCTGTTGCGAAGCAAGGCTTTCGAGATTTATTTGCTCAACACACTTGGCTGAATGGTCAGGCGGCGAAGATGGATGTTGGTATGAATGCAGGGTGTGTGTTTGGACAGATCGTCGAACATAGGAGTCGCGGCTGGATAGCTTCCAATCATACCGCCTTTGAGGGCTGGAGGAGTCTTCCTGCGGAAAATCAGTCGTCTTTCTCCCCTGTAGCGGGGGCGCTCCGAGTGTCCAGTCGCTCCCACACTGGATCTGAATATTCAGTACAAGTCCCTAAGCGACTTGTGTCCGTCGACCGTGTCGTTGAGGGAGATTTCGACTAGATTGAGTGAGTCGGATTTCCCGAGACGCCGCAATTCACGTCTCGAGTATGGAGCACTGGAGTCTGGTATTGCACGGGCCATCGAGATGGACTCCGGAACCTTCGACATGCTTCCGCGAAGGAGGGATGAGCAATTAGCGGGACTCTTCTGATTCGGCATTCAACTCCGAGATACGAATGTTCACGTCGCCTCGAGAGACTTGTCATGCGTTCTCTAGGATCCGTGCTTCGCATCAAGCATCTTGGAGCTCTCTCGTATCACAGCTGCACGCGAAGCTTTCAGCGAAGTGCCATGAGCACAAGAGCAAGACCCCCACCTCGGTCCAGAAAAACAGCGAGGAACTACAATTCCGGTAAGTATGTGCTCGCCGCTCCCGAGTGCTCATTGCTGTCGCCCAGAAGGATCAAGGGTGGCATTGCGTGTTTTTGGTGTGCTGAGCGTTTCGACAATGGTGATTCACTCAGGGCCTTCTTCCTTGAGGACGCATCTCGTGAGCTTCATTGAATTGATGATGGGGGAACTTCGGATACGCACAACTCGAGAGTTTCGACTGGGTGCCACAGTACACACTCGAATGCGTCATCCCCGACTTTATTCCTGACGAATATATCAACCCCATTGCTTTCCCCGCTCAGAAAGCTTGAAAACTCGATTATACCACCATTGATCATCCATAAACATTGATTGCTTCGAATCCGGTCGGATCACCCTGAGGTCGTCGAAACTCAGGGAATATATGTCACCGCGGAGACTCAATGAAATGAGACAACATCTCCGCGGTGCCCGTACGCGAGGACGTCGCCCAGAATGACTTCCGTTTCAAGGCAAGGGTCCTTGCCGTGTAGCTGAGAAGGGTGATGTGTGTTTTATCCAGGCCAAATGATTATGGATTAACTCGGAGTCATCAGCAGTTTGGCAGGAAGAAATCTCCTGCCAGAGCGGAAGCGGGAGCCCGGAGTCGATAGAGCAGGGCCGAACCCGAGCATTCTCGACTGTCTCGATTCTCCAGCCACTGTAGCAAAGGGTGGAGAATACCGGCCACCTGTGTTGCGGTCGGTATTGGGCGAACTGCAGTATTCTTTGTCAGACTTCTCTGTAGAACATTCCCCGATATTCGATCACGATGAATGTAGGAATCTTCGATTAAATCACAAATGTACAAATATCAAATGACCTATGGAATGTTTCTAAATATCGAAAGTCCGGAGGGAGATGCACTTAGGTAATCGAATCGGATGAGTGATGGTGATCGGAATCCCATGGAGCTCTACAAAAACCTCATTATATCACCGACTCAATTATATGACTATTTTCCGACGGGGTTTCGAGTGTACACTGTATTTTGTAATCGCCGCGAGGGGGGCGGGGCGAGCCCTTTTTTTGAATCGAGCTTCTGCGATACAGAGCAAAGGCTGGGCTTACAATAATTATTGTCATGGGATAGATGGTCTCCCTGCCGGGCATGATAGAGAACGGCCGGAGGTGAGTTGCGAACGAGGGTGAGAAGCGGAATATTTTGCATCGGTTGACGCAGGATTGTAGCCTCGGGGAACACGCATTCTCGGAGCTTCATGGCAGTCCATCAAGGCCTTCAGAAGCTGAAGGAAAAATTAATGATGAAATCGCATCGACGATAGCAAGTACCCAGTAATGTAGTATCCAAGGAAGCTCCTCCGCCGAGCTTCTCCATTTCCTAAGGCCTTCAACTCATTGTAAGAAAATTTTGCGCACACCCGGAATTTCCACTTTCACTCTCCGTCTCCCCCAAAAGCTCCTCGCTAGCATCAGACGAAGCTCGGTATGAGTACTTCGAGAGTGAAGAGCAGAGCTGTGCGCCATGAGATTTTTGTCGGCGGCGGCGGCGGCGGTCTGGAAAACGGGCGTCGGCGGCGGCGGCGGTCTGGAAAACGGGCGGCGGCGGCGCGTGCCGCGGCGAGTACGGCGCACCGATGAACCCGCGGCGCGCCGCGAAATAGGTGGAACGCAGATTCGAGAGTCCTCCGATCGCGTCTCCGAAATTGTCGGGGATGTAATACTATCAGGAATGCGCGATACTCCTACGGGTTCGAGCTTGAACGATCAGTCTGAGCTCTCAACGACCACGGAGTAGTAGATCGAGCTCCACTCCGGAACGTATCGTCTCATCCGAATTCGATGTCCCCGCATCCTCGTGGGCGCTCAGTACCTCGGACAGAGTTTTCAATCCCCCCGTGACTTCCTGTCACTGATCATGGGAATCGGGCGCGGCGCGCCGGCGTTCCGTCGCGTCGTCGTACGCCGTCTGCAGGTTCCGGCGGCGGACTCAGGAGGTCGGCGGCGGCGATTGCCGGCGAATTCGCGGCGCGGCGCACAGCTCTTGTGAAAAGCGAGCACCGCTGGTTATCTGTTCCGGGTCCCGGCGGGGTCCATTCACCATTCAGGATGGTCCCCCTTCATGACCATTCCGAACGAACGTTACCTCTGGCGATAGTCCGGAGCGCAAACCAGAATTCATCCTCTATCCTCGGATTGGGTGCGCACCATCGGATAGCTCTGTAGATCGGGAACGGGGAGTGTACTCAAGACGCGAGAAGTGTCGCGTCGGTATTAACGGGAGTCAACTTAGATCGATAATATCTTCTACGGAGCAAACCATACATTTATACAGACAGGAAGACGAGGATCTCCTCGTCGCGGATGCTATTTAGTGGATGTGGCTTTCATTCTGATGCCGGCGAGAGAGCACCCACAAAGTCAGGATGTGAACTGGTCAAACATCGTCAGCTCGACGAACTTTATTCTGGTGAAATGCACGACGTAGGTAAAATAGGTCTAGGTTTGTAGCGATAGCTTCCGAGCGAGATCGCAGATTGATAAATAATAATCGTTTCCCTCGATGGAGTGACCTCCGACAGCTCGGTGTGCTACTACTTTGTATATGCTCAGGAATCATACATACAAATGTACCCAGTGCCGAATTCAGGATTTTGCCGCGTTGAGGCTAATCTCATGCGGCCGCCTACTCTGATCAGGGACGGGAAGGGAGGCTCTCTAGGAGGATGTCTCCAGAAATTTTGCCACCCAAGGCTATAGCCTCCTCAGCCTATAAGGGAATCCGACACCGGATGTCCCTCTCATGTCGTCCACATCCCGCTGGGACTACGATTGGGCTAACACAACGGCGTAACTCTCTTCGGGTCCAGTGTAACACCGTGTTTGTAATGAGCGTGGAAGTGTTCGAAAGGATCGTAAGGTGGAGGCCGGCGGTAGCTGTTCCGTGGGAAGAAGCGATTCAAGAAACGCACACAGAAATAAGTCGTCAGAGTCGTCAGCAGCGCAAAGATGAACAGGAAGGAGAGTAGTATGGCGTTACTCTTGGCCGCGAGGTCCGTCGGTGTCAATTCGTAATTCAAAATGCACGATTCTGTGGAGCGAAGGAGGATCATCAATTGCACGCGAATCGAAAGCACACGGTTCGAAACACTGGAAACCGACCCTCATGGCAGAATGACTGACTGCTTCATGAGATCGTCAGAGACAGTGGCGGATTGATCGACTATGGAAACTTATTACGTTACTACCTTTGTATGCGCAAAGGCTGTATTCGTGGATGGACGAGGGTAGTTCGCCCTCGCAGTCTATCTCATACGATGTCAAGTCAAATCCTGAGGGAAGTCCGATCGGTTGACAATCAAAGTCGTAGGCTTCTTCGGGTCTCTTCGGTACCTCTGTGGGAATATTCCGTGGGTTTGAATTATGCAAATATTCACCTTATCCGCTTGATCGCTCGTGGTGGCAGAGTACCTACGCATGATACTCCGGGTGAGAATTTGCAGCGGCCAGCCGCAAGACCCCCAGGAGATTTGGGGGAGGGAGATCAAATCTTTGAGGTCGAGTGTGGGGAAAGAAGTGTGCAACCTGCCATCAGACCCTCAGGCCACTTCCGATACATTGACTTGAAAGTGACTTTGAGGTAATCAGGAAAAACTCAAATCTTTCTATCTCGATGTTGCATAGTGAGTTCCGCTTGCAAGTTCCCGAGAATAGAAATCGACTTCTGGTGAGAATGCGCGGAGGAAGGGAGGGAGGGGGAGAATGAGCGGAGAAGATTGAATCCGGGCCGAGTTGAACCCCTGCTCCGCAGTCCCACAGGCACTTTGGGACAGATTCCTGAGGGAGAACTATCACGAGCCCTGCGTCGAACGCTCAGATGCGACTCAAAAACTCCTTGCCGGGTTGGTGATCATGGCAATACAATCAATGTCAGCGGAAGTTTCCGCAGTCTCGTCTCTCGTTCAACGATGATAGGTCACGGAGCTGCTCAGCATCATCGCTTTCCACAGTTACTGTGGCCGGAGGGAGGGGACGCGACACTTTCACTCCACATCGAAATCCCGCGAGTCGAGAGTGAGTGGGTCCGACGTAAGAGATCTAAAACTTTCAGCTAAGTCGAGGGTACCTTGGTTTCTACGAGACGTCGGTGTTTGTTCAGTTTCCCGTAATGATCGTCAGGCCTATGGAACAATGCTTCGAGCGAGCACTCCACTATGCGGATGCGATTGGAGGAGGCCACCGCTCAAGAGGAAATCAGTACCATGATGCACTCCAATTCGACGAAGCAGAACTTCGCAAATTATTCCCAGTGACATTCCTACTCACGATGCCGTTTCTATCCATAGGATAAAGTCGTTCTCCTCCAAAAATCGGAGTCATGTAATGGCACGATTTAGGGGAACACACCGCGAATTTAGTCCCAATGCGCGAATAGGGAGCTGTTCTACCGATAACATTTGTCCCCTGCTGGCGACGTGCTTATTCCAGTGGACTTTCGAATGAAAACGAGTGAAACAATGGGACTGAGAGGTTCCTCGTGATAAATTTGCGGATGCGTCGGCTGTGTTCAACAGGCTCAGCCACTGAAATGTATCGGAATAGCTGTCCTAGGCGAATAGCTAGTAATAACACTTATGACTGAATGACTCATAAACTTACGTTTAGCGAAGCAAACAGCGGCGTGCATGCTTCGTACGCAGTAATCTCCTATACATCGCATTTGGGGGCCCCGAGTGTACGGATAGTGACTGGATCTCGCTCCCTGTATTCTGTCGAATCTGAGAAGTACGCTGCTGATGTCCTGGTAGCCCTCTTTACGCATGCAACGACAAAAGTCCTTAGGAAAGATTCAACCCTATCGGTTTCTGAGGCCTCGTAAATTCTCCTCGTTGATTCATCATTCATTCTATTTTTCTATTCTATTCTATTTTTCTCTAAATAAACCGAAAGGTAATCCATTCTATTGTTCAATATACGTGCCTAAATATTACCCCTACATGCGACATTTTCATAACTCGATTATTCGTGTACGAAATCTTGCTGAAACAGTGTTCCGAATCAGGTATTTCGTCACTACAGTATAATCGCGCGGGAAGTTTTCATTCCGCATTCGATTTTCATCTTGATTATTCAGATCGAGGATTTGAAGCGGAGCTCTGGGCACGATGAACTATGTAGTACATAGTTTGATAATAATGAGCCCTTCATGATCTCAATCTGGCAGGGAATGATTGCGATCCTAATTGCGGGTAACAGAACCTGCAGCATGATTCAATCAATAGCGCTAGCGGAGAAGAGACTTGAATTTCATTCGACCGAGCGAACTCTGTTCCAGGCGCATTCTTAACGTCGTGTAAGCGATTGAATTCATGCTGGCTCCGCTCCCACCGCTCTCATGGCCTGCACATTCTCCCAAGCTAACACCCGTACTCCGACAAAGAAGCCTACTGCGCGGCAGAACACACGCTAATTTCCTTGAAAGTTTCAGTCTTCGACCGGAGACAGTCCCGGTCGTTCGAATTCCTGCGCGCTCACTACTCGACTTCCAAGCGATTAGACTGACATCAGGCTCCCTGCCTTCCAAGCGATTCTATTATGTGCTCGGAAAAACCTAGTAGCTCTAATAGGCAAAGAATAATAATCGATACTCATGTAAAAAGTTAATACCTGAACATTTCGCAGGGTTGAAAAGGCCACCTTGCGCGAGGGCGAACAACGAAACAGCACTGAACAATGAAAACGTCAACATGACTGGAGAGCCCTTAATGGAGTGTGAAACACGAGTAGACGATCGGTGTCCTAAACTTCTGCCTCGACCTCGGGGAGCCAATCCCGGACTGTCGAAGCTGGCTGCTCGCCTGTCTGTCTCTATGACTGCCTTTCAGTCCGCGCCTTGGATCGCTCGCTCGCCGGTTCTTTTGACGTTTGATCGCTAGGCTGGCCGTAGCGAGGGCGAGTTAGGGAGTGCAAGGCGTTCCAGCAACAAGCGTCTGGCGATAATCTGGAATACATATTCACGATTTTTCTATTCGTGCCGAGTACTGGCTTCTCCCACTTGGGTTTGCGGCCACGCTCTAGGCAGATGGAGTATCAGGAACAGATCAGCTGAGCTGAGAAGTTCTGCTCAGGCTCTCACGATGCTCAGAAGTCTGGAAGTCTCTCTGGCGGGATGTGGAATCTTGCGTGAGTCGTGATTCAAGCTAAAAGTTACGAGAACGAGCTCAACCATCGATAAACCTCCAGCGCTGGGGGAGGTGATGTCAGTGATTGCGATCCCTGAATGTACCCGATACGAGCTGGCATCCCTCGTTGAACTGATGATCGTGGTCCCGGCGAGGTGCTACATCAGTAAACTTTCGCAGGCATCTCAGAGGGATGATTGCCTAACGCCGGAATGCACCCGAGGTCTGGATGATTCGGCTATGCGTCCGGACGGACGCAGTGCGGAATGGAAACACCCCTCACGTAATTCGCTGTTTTGCCCTTGGACGCAGCCTTGCGGGTCAGAAAAGTACGCTCGGAATTCGATCGAGACCCCAGCGCCAGTGGCGAAGAACTGTTTCCCGAAGAGATGAGTAGCTAGGCTCCATTCCGCACTGCGTCCGTCCGGACACATAGCCGGATCATCCAGACCTCGGGTGCATCCTTGCTGACGGTTTCGGAATCAAGAGGACATCGATCTCAAACCACCGAGAGAGATTTGTCCGCTTCGCTCCGAGTTGATCTTCCGAGTTGATCTCGAGGGGAGTCCAACAGGAGGGAGAGAGGATTTATCAGGAGAAATATTCCGGCGCATGAGCGCTGTGGAGCGAAATCGGCGGCATGATTCCGAGCTGAGCAGAGCAGCTCGCCACAACACCCCGAACCCGCACACCCGAGTATCTCGGTATGAGCCTCAGGGGTCGCGTATTCCCTCGGGTACCGTCTACAAAGCAAAGGTTTCTGACGCTATCCGGGCTAGATTCGACCACGTTTCATAGAGGCACTGAAAAATCTAGAATAATCGGAATCTAGACGTACAGCGGGGAAGAGTCATCCGCCAGCTCACCGTCGATCATCAACGTGAGCAGGTTTTAGGACTTGTTTGCTCACAGCGGTGTCTGTCTCGGCGAGTGCCGCGGAAGATGCACACACGGGATATTGCCTAAAGTCATCAGAGCTCATCGTTGTTTGACAATGCCACGATCGTACACTCACCAGCGCTCAGATGATATTGTATACCCAATTCGGTGCAATATGAGTTTGCTTAGGGCCGCAGTGTAACTGCATGCACGCCTCTATAACAAATCTCCAGCAAACTCGATAGAGTGGGATGCGATCCGAGGGAAGCTTGATGTTTCTCCAGAGAGCAACTCTCCCCTCAGGGGATCAGCGCGGTAAACGGATATCCGAAAGGGGCTCAAGTTCCAGCTCGAAATATTGGCGAAGTACCTCGATAACTCAGAGGCGAATTCTCTCGCTCTCCTCTACATAGAGCTCCGACGAGTCTCCGTAGAAAATCGTATTCCTGAATTCTCGACTGACCACTTCCTCGATTCTTTCCGGTGCAAACCTGATAACAACGTCCCCCGATTTCGAAGCGGCATCCCGGGAGCGGGCGACCAAGAGGAACTGATTGTCCCTTCCAAGGGCACGGATATTCCACATATGAAGAGGTTGAACCCTTCGGCTCACGGCAAGGAAAGAGGACATCATCGAGTACATCGGGTGTTGAGCAGAGAAGCACGAAGTCACCCGTGGGCAACCGTCAACCGTGTCGCCCGAGGTCCTTCACAATACCGTGGCCAACTGGGCGTTCTCAGACCCCGCCACTTCCGCGGCGAGTCTCCCGGGGTCCGGCTCAATTGTCGGGCGTTCGATTGGGATTCTGATAGGAGAAGAGGCTGTCCCTGAATTCGCACAGGTGTCTCGATTTTTTCTTCAGTCCTCCCCCAAAACGGGAGCGGATAGAGTTAGGAGTAACTTGGATGATCTGCCCTGTGGAAGTCTCGCTTGCGTTGCCACGACTGGTGTTCCATACTCCCCGCGAGCTGGTTGAAGTCCCGAACTCCTTCCCTTTCTAGCGGAACAATTTGGTCCAACTTCGTTCTCGATTCTTTCCCGAGAAGGGTTCGGATCGAGAGAATCAAAGCACCCCACGGATCGAGCTCACCATCCATTATACTCAGGAGCTTGTCGCCATCTGTCCCTTTCCAGAGGTCACCGTTTCGACGATTAGAAAAATAACGGTTCTCACCTTCCTCCTGGAACATAAACTTTATTGATGACATCATGGTTAACAGGCCTTACATTTGTTGAATAATAGAAAAAGAGAAAAAAATGGGAGGAACACGCAAAGGTTGCGGTGAGCATGCGTATACGCAGTCCGAAAAGTATAACTTGACCCAACTGAAGTGATTGGGCATCGCTTGATAAAAGATTGGAGTCGCTTTGGAGAAGCATTGCGCCTACAATAGGTCCGGTTTCAAGGCACAGATCATTGTCCAACGCGCATTGAATCATTGACAATCTTGTGGACTCTCTTTCAGGCAGGAATGTCTTTACAACGATCTGGGCTTTGAGACCAAAGAGGGAACAGACGCATGCGTAGGGCGATGAGTCGGCCATCGCCGCTCTTCATGGCTCGAGATTCCTCGTCCGCCGGATTGAGCACGTTGGGAAGATGGGTATTCACTATGTTGCGCGAGTGTCCGGTAAAGCCGAGAAGAGCTGAGGCAAAGGTCTCGAGAAGTTCCCGGGACCGCAATTTGGGTTATTATCTGAGACGCACGAATGTGATCGGGATGCGGGAGGGCCCCTCCCGAGATCTCCCGGCAGCCCTGTCCACGCACACTCGCTGCTGGCGAAAGTGTGGTTTAAAGCTATAGCTCCCAGTCTGGGAATCAAGGTTTTCAGGCGAAATCCATAGAGAGCTGTCCGTGGAGAATCGGGCGGGGGAGCGCGATGAGTGGTTCTGAACGATGAGAAACACGGGAAGGTCGACTATCTATCGGTTGGAAGGATCGAATGAGGAAAGAGCGGGGGCCAGATACATATTGTGGGAACGCGCGGCACTAGCTTATGCGTAACTGAATTTTTCGTCGTGTTTTATTGGGCAAGACGTCGTTGGCGAAATTCGAAGGACTGCGGAGTCTTCGTCAAGTTTCGGAGCCGTGAATGAGTGTAACGAAGTCAATAGCAGCTCGTCATAGCCATTGTTCCCTCCATGCGAGTAAACCAAAATCGACCATTCAGCGATCTGACACTGATACACCGGCATTGCCCCCATGATCACTCATCGAATTTTGATATTGTCTCCGAGGTGGACTTCGAAGAAGTAATGCAGATCTCGGGCGAGTCGAGTTCGGATCACGGAAGCAGCAGCGCGGCGTGTACGGCTACGAGAGCTAGCGTGCCTCCCTCCATGAAAAGCTTTCTTCGAGAAAAATCAAGGGAGGACTCCGATTTGGTTTCGGATACCAACACCAGAAATTCCAAGAGCTCGGCGTGCCCTAGGTGAGGAGGAAACTGATCATTCGTATCTTGGGGTGTCGTACGACGTCCAAGTACGACTATGGATTTAATGCACTGCATGATTGCCTTGCCTATACCTCGGGACCCCGAGACTCGGAGAGATGTCTCTGTGGAGTTCATCGTCTACGGCGATGTTCACAATCATTTGAAAAGTTCGAGTGCAAAAATTAATCTATGGAGGAACAGAAGCACAGCGTTATATAGTATGGCAACGAAGTAGTGAGTAGCTACTTTATTAGGCGCACAATATTTGCTCGTATACGCCCCGAGAATCATTCGGACTCGACGGAATGTCATAGATGGATCACAAGAGAGTATTCGCATCATTTGATAGACGACGTCACCCTCCGTCCCTCCGAAATCCGTGAATTGAATCGGCGGGAAGGCTTATCACAGCTGAACATTAAATATAGTGGATTGACGAGATGGAGATAAGTTCGGATCGGGTTCTTCGAATGAGATCACTGTGACGCAATAGGGACAATCCGATGCTGGCTTAAGATGGTCGCTCGCTCTGACTGAGCAATGCAACATTTGCAGAACGTTTATAAATTCTCCGATCAGAAAGAAAAGAAGGAATCACGCAAGCACGCACCCTCATTTGTGGCGAAATGCTGATATTGTTACATTCGGAAAGTCGTTCCTCTATTTCCTCATCCTAGCCGAGGCTCGACCACTACCTGGATCCGAATATCACCAGCGGAGTAGTTTCCACAACTCATCTATCTGTTCCCTGCGGAGCGTCTGTGAATGAGATCTTAATGAGCAGAAACCAATCCAATCCATCTGCATTCTCCGACCTGAAGCCACAAAATTCTCATCCAGATGTCCTGAGGCGGAAAAAAAATTCTCGCTCGGAGGCGATATATCTTAGGTATATGTATCGCGACCTCGTCCGATCGTCGGAGACGACAGAAAAGGGACAACACCATCCGACTCTCGTCTTGAAAAGGAGCATCCAATTCTAGACCAGGAGCTCAGTTGCGCACGTGTTCTAGTTCCGATCGAGTCTCTCCTTCTTCTCATGCAGGTATCCGTAGACGAAGGGCAGTAGTTCATCGATCTTTGGGCGCTGCTAGGAGGCTAAAGCTTGCTGCTATACGACCGAGTGCCTGCTTGCCGAATGTTTTTTTCCCTCCATGCGTTTTTCTCTTTTTGACACCGCGCGAAGATTACGTAAAACGTGCCCTCTCCGCCAGAGGGAGCTGAAGGCGACCAACCAGCCGCTCGATCGATCGATCGAAGTGCGTTGCCTCTGCCAACCCAGTAACCGAAATTTGAGCAAGAGGAACGAACCGACGATTCGAAATATGTTGAAAACGACCCCGTCTCACTCGGGTTCTGGCTGCAGTACAGCCACCACCTCCACCGCATCAGCTGTCTATCTTGGTTCGGTACCTGTGGAGAGGTGACATTGGTTTCGCAAAGGATCTCGCTCGACCGCAGGGTCCTCGAAATCAAGCCGGACATCTTCACTACGCCCGCGTCTTCCAGTCTGTTCTCCAGAAATCTTCCGTTGACACTTCGCCGCAACAGAAGTCCAACCGATACCGCAGCCTGTACCCTCCAATCGTCCGCGATGGGAAACCACTACGACGATAACCCACATGAAGTGTAAGTTTCGTCCTTTCAGAACAGTGACAAGATCGGATGGAGAGCCGCCATTCTCGATCGCAATCTGACGGGTCTGTATGGAAAATTCTCTGTGTGCTCGTTAGACTGCGTGACTCCATGGGGATTGTTTGACTATTTACATAGTCGCGCGCGTTTCCTCCTGCCCGTATTTATTTTTCTGGGTGGTCTACGCTCCCTGATTGCTTCAGAATGACTCGCCGGCTCGCCAGCGGATCACTTGAGTGTTGACATCCGATTTGGAGGCATTTTCCCCTCGATGGTGCATATGGCTGTAAGCAGAACGGGGCGAATCAGATTCTGATCGCTCAGCTGAGGAGGCTCCCCCGGCAAGGGAGAGAAGCCATCGTGATTTTTTTTGCGGGATTGCCATGCTTCCGCCACACCGGATATGGCTAAGACAACGTGGACTCGATACGTAGGTAATTCAATTTTCCGGAACGATAAACCTAGGAGAACTCCCCGGATCGATTCGGCAAGTATAGCTAGGCCCTATCTTTCCGAAGTACACGATGGCTCGCGAGGGATCATGCCACCACCTATGTCTCGGAGTGGAATGTCGGAATGTCCAGTTACTTGGACGCTTGTTTTCATCGGCTCGGATCTAAATAAGATCGCTGAATTAGCTGCAACAGCTGTTGCCGCAGTGGTAACACTGTGGGGTGTGTCAGCGGCGCTCCGTTATATGAACACCGGAACCAGCGACCAGCCGGTTTCACCACTGCACCACACCGAGCATAATAGGAAAACTATGTTGACCCGCACTGGTCTACTTGTCGAATTTGTTCATTCGTTCGCTTCTTCGTTCGTAATGGCTCGCCATCAAGTGCCGATTGGTAGGCAGATCAAAGACATCCGAAAAAAGAACCCCAGCACTTGTTTCTCGTTAGATCAAGTTTCACGCAGCAGCAGCGGCATCCTTTCGTCATCACAGTCTGACTGACTGACTGAGAAGGCGTTTCCGAAGGCAGCGATATTCACTGCCTCTTTCGGTCGATCTTACGTCACCGCCGCCTAAACTCATCAAGTATTGTAAGATGCCATTCCGAGCGAGAGCGTCACCCTCCGCGGGTCGACTGTGGGTCCTTCGGTCGGATCGGGTGGTCCTCGAATCGGTGTTGAGATTCTACGCGTCTAAGTACACGCTCTGTCAACCTCGCGACGTCTATGCTCTTAGCGTCACGGCATTCATCCGTGAGCAAGACGCGCATACAAAGTAACGATTCGGCATTCCGCGCTGAAACGGAACCGCTTCCTCCTACAAATACATTCTATAGGTAGGGTGACAAGTCATTGTCGTTCGTAGCCCGAAGTCGGCACAGGTGTACATACTCGTCCGCGCTTGCCACCTGAAACTCAACTCCGCGAGTTCGTCTAGCGAGCTTTAAGTTACTTTTCCTCTATTCGTGCATTGCGCTGTCACCGGCGGTTGCGGCGGATGTCACAGTCGAGGGTCCGAATGGCAGGAAAGGCAAAGTTTGGTGAAAGCAAAGCCTCCGATCGGCAAACTTCCATCGGCCTTGGGATTTCCACAATTATTCTCATGACAAAAGCCGCGGAATCTGTTTCACAACACTGATGCGGGGGAACACTTGCTCGGAGAGATTCTGCCTTGAATCCCGGGCTTTCCTGTCGAATCCCGCGTACCCTTTATCATGAGCAATCCATTTCAATGTGCATTTTGACGAAGCCTCCGGCCTGATACCACCCGCAACAGTCGGACTCTTCGGGTAAACTTGAGGGAAGCAAATGACCACAAGCAGCACTATTCCACGTCTCCGTTCTTGATGCATCATGTGCAGCCGACACTGTTGCATAGCATCCATAACATCCATACGTCTTGACCTATTTACCGAGACTGGATTGCATATCTTTGGAATTATGCAAGGCCTCCACGGTCGAAGCCAACTAGTCGGGAAGGCGGGAATGTGAAGAGGGAAAGACGGGAAACCTGGCGTTCAACTGAGAAGCTCACCTCGAGGATCGTATGCGTATCGTTGACCTAAGAGATATTGGCGGACCGATTTACTCCGTCGTCTCGGGGACCAATCTCGGATTTCAGTCGATGCGCTCATCTCGATCCGTCGGATTCCATTCTCTGGTTATGCAACATCCATCTCTATCCGTCGGCGTTCATTTACGGCGGATCGGTGAGATGGTCGCCTATCGTGCCGACGGCTTTGTGAAGCTATATCAGGGGCCGGGGCAGGGAAGACACACCGAGATGACACACGAATACAAAACCAGTATGCTATATGCACGTGAGCGGCGATCACTTCTCACTCGTCAATGTACTTGGATCGTCGATGACAGTATTCAGCTCGGGCAGACACATGCCAGGCATCCGAAGCAGGCGTTATCATTCGAGCACAAGTAATCAATTTGCGCTCTGAGCATTGGGAAAACTGCAGCATCCTCGTCCTCCGACTTCATCTCCGTGAGCGCTTTGGGGTGGTCGTGCATTAGAAACTTAGGAAATGCAGGGTGGACCCTAAAGTTATCTCGTGATAAATGGAAAACGAGACAAGAGAAGCTCAAGCGAATGCTCGAGGGGAAGAAGCGATCGGCGGGGGAAATCTGCTGCCGATTCCTCTCACAGAAAGCGTCTCCCGCCATGATACGATCGTTGCCTCCGATTTCGTCGCGGATCAGATCGTCGCTTTTCGGCGAGAACGGGATCATAGGTTATCTCTCTGTTTTTGAAGAACCTTTCCAGGGCTGCCTCTTTCTGCTGCTCGTCTATCTATCTTTCTGTCGGTCCGTCGATCCGTCCGTCTGTCTGTATTTCTGCCAGACCGCCGAGGAAGCAGCAAGTCCGTCGATGCCATTTCTCAAGACCAAAGGCAGGCGTCTGGCTTCGCCACGAAGACAAATAGAAAAGGAATCTGTGTTCGAGAGCAGGCACCTTTTGTGCGGTCTGCCCTTCATTTCCCTCCTCTAACTGACAGTGAATGGCTTCAGGCATCTGAGTAATAGGGATTCTCGTGGACGAGAAATCATTTCTGTGTATACATTGTGCGCCGCAAGATTCATCAAAAGCTGCGCAGCTCTAAAGCTGTTACTGTCGGAGCTGCCGGGAGTGAAGCTCGACGGGGAGGGAGCGTCTACAGCTGTGGATATCTACAGGAAAAGGAAGACAAGGACGGGCAGAAATCTGTCGCCGGGAACAAGACATGGCGCTCTTTGCGGAGGCGGCATTCAGCGCTTCGACGAGTCAATTGAACGTGCAGAGCGAAGAAACCTCCTGTACCGGTGCGGACTTCGTCAGCGATCTTCAGTCTCTGATGATCTCAGAACTGCCCAGGTAGACGGAAAACTAAGTTTATCGAATAGAATTTGACAAGCTAGATCCCCAAAGGGATTAGGAGCGACCAGGACCGCCATGATCGCGGATATGCGGAGAAAAATGGGTAGATTCGGTTTTTTCAGCGGAGACAAGGAAATTCTGCGGTATGACAATCGAGAAGTCTCCGTTAGTGATCCCATGATCTTTCTCGGACTTGAGCCCTGTCCTAATCAGCACGGCTGTTTTTCATTGTCCTCTCCTCCGAAGAGCCGGAGAACAGAAATTTTTCCCACTCAGCTGGCACCTGTTGAAGAAGGTGCCGGAGCCGCGCCGTATGGAGGAGAGGCCAGATGAATCTATGAGAATAGGAGAAATCGACAAGCCCAACCATGATTATTATTGACGGCCACCGTACAAACCAAATAAGAAAGCCTCTGGAAATTTATGCTGAGACGAAGCTTGGGAAGCATTCGGTGCGCCATGTGAGGAGGTGAGAGTCAAAGGGACCCTTTCCTTTTGGGGGAGCGAAGTTTATCCGAATGAGGAAAAATTGTGTACAACTCCGGCGCGCCGCAGTTCAACCGACGTGTAGATGATGTACTGCTAAACATTCATCTTTCCGTGCCTGGATCACGTTGTTTGTTTTCGTGTCATCACAAGTTGTTGTGTGATCAATTGCGACCAGAGACAGCAACAGCAGAATGTCAAACGCGCTGCCGTCACCGGGCCCGAAAGCGAATGCCACACTCACGTCTTTGTCCACATCCTCGACGACGTCCGCGACGACAGCACCGTTAACATCATCCACATCAGCGATGACGACGACCACGACAGCAACAACAACAAAATTGACGACGACCACAGCGACACCGACGTCAATAAGTTCGCCCACGATTACTGCTGTTGAAGTCGGAGTCCAAAATTCGATCCGTTTCGCTGGCTTTCCGAAATGGTATTTACCGGGTGCACAGAGTGTTTTAGGATAGAGTATCGAGTTACATACTACATACAAGGCTTGCATTTTTCCGGCGCCTCAGTTTTGGCCCTGTGCGAAGTCGAGCTGTCAGGACCCAAGAATCGAGCGTACCGCGAGTGACATTGGAGTTCATCTCAGATGCGGATCTGGATGACGTTCTATGAAAGCACAGGACGACGGACTCGGTCTAGCGCGCTCAGGGTTTCGGGAACCCGATCGCTCTCACGAATCCAATCCTTAGCGGTATAGAAGTCCGTGATACCTCGAATGCTGACCGAACCGGGGCGGAATCGTGTCCGAGTTTGAATTCCCGGGACGATATCTCTGATTATGAGTCTCGGCTCCGTCTACACTACATCATTCCTGCATGATGTCGGATTGAACGCGCGCCGTGTGCCGAAGCTCGACGGGCCTCGTCCGTCATTTCGGTGTAGCTTCCCGTGAGCTATGCCCACATAATGTAGTGACTTGGTGGACTCGAATTGCTAAAGCGACAGCGATTGCAGCATCGACTCGCAGAACGAGCTGATCAGTTGCTCTAGGGCTAGGGTTGGATCTACTTCAGTCGGGAGCGTCTTTAGCGATCAAAGAACTATCTCAGATCAGAGCAATCAGAAGGCAAGCTTCCGAGTCACAGAGTGATTCACGGAGGCGTGCCGTCGCTCCAGATTGTTCCAACCTGGAAGGGATCAATCCACCGGTATCGATTATTATCCCTCTGGCCGCGATCGAGTCGGTATCACCTTTCCAATTCATGATCAGTGATCAGCCTCATCGAAGGAGCATCGGAGTGCAAGTCAAGCAATGCCATCTTGCTCCCGAATGATCCTATTGAGATGAGGACCTGAGCAAGATTCGGCTTTTGCTGTATCCTCAGACGTGACTCTCGGCATGATTTCATTGCCAAAATTCGGATAGTTTCGGGGAGATGAAACAGATTAGCCCGATAAGCCAGCTCCGCGCGCAGGGATCTCGTCGATCTGAATTTCGCGATAATATGAGCGCGATATTTCGTTTGCCCGCCAATCTTCCCAGCCGGCACAGTTATTTAAGATCGACCGCCTTCTTGATGTCCATCAACGCCGATCCTTCCCTGCTTCGAGCTGTGAAAGAAACAGCTCCAAAGATGCGGAACTCCGACTAAGCTTTCGTTCAAAACGATCATTTCGTCGCAGGGGCTGTTCTCGTTTATCGCTCATATAAATTATATTTTAAATAATCGCTGTGTTCAGTGTAGTTGTTCGAGGAGAAGTGCAAGCCCCTACGTTTACGGGCCCGGAGGCAGCCGTAGATGATCCGTTGCGGAGCCTGCTTGCCCGTGGCTCTCATGATATTCCAAAGCGCCCAGCCGCACTAGTTTGAGCTCTTGTTTCATAGGGGCCTCTAGTTTCCGGAACACTGTGAGTGGTCCCTAAAATTAGGTATTATAAACAAACCTCGGCATTCTGGACGAGGAAATGACAAAATTCGGCTTCCAGCCCGACGGCTATATCTGACGCCGACGACACGGTACAAGCAGCTGCATATTCATGAGCGATTGCGAGCAGGGACGTTCTTACAATGTGTGCCTACCGAAAACAAGACAATCTTCCTCGTCTCAAGGGAACGTGCGGATGGCAGGATGAGTCTCTCGATTCGAGCTCAGAATCCCTTACAGGTCGTGCTTTCGGAGTTCTCATCTCTCGAGCTTAGGTGGAAGTCCCCGAGAGACGTCCCCTTTCTGTGAAGGAGCATTCAAATCTCTGCGAGAGATTAGATCGATTCCCTCGTAATATTCAATCCTCTGCTCGCTCGTCTCGGATTTCCCCGACGAACGCGCAATTTCGCTTCGTTCGACTAATTAGCCGTCTCGGTCTCGCGAGATTCCGATTTTCGACTTGACGCAACATTGAATTGATTTCGGGAGCATATAGGCGATATCAGACGCGATTCCGAGTTTCCTCGAGATCTTCCCCGAACACTGAGGCTGTCAGCGAGTCTTCCCATTAGATACACGGTGTCGACTCATGGGTCGCCGGGCTTGCATGAGGTCTAGCTCCGCCTACACCGAGGGCAACCACGAGAGCTTCCGTCCCCGATTCGGATTCGAGTCGCTGACGGAAATGGAAATTTTCGCGGCTCTGGGAGCATCGCTCCTCGGGGAGGATGTGGCTCCTTGGAGGAAACGGGCTCCATCGCTCGAGCGCAGCATTTTTGATGCGAAAGAGTCATAATGAATTTTCTATGAGTAACAAGTTGGGATGAATCGGCTACGCGCTCGGAAGCCGTCGACAAAATCAGACTCGTGAGTTTGTTTCGACGCGCACCGCGCGCGAACAAAGCTCAGGTATTCGCAGTTTCGTAACTATGGACCTCTTCAACTGTCAAATGGAAAGTGAGGACGCTCATGTTCGCGAGTGTGTGGGCGAACTAGATTTGACAATGGGAAAGCGAATTCGACGATGGCGGCGGACGGGCGGGGACAACAACAGCGGCTGCGGTGACGGGCATGAGTTACAACAATACAGCGATGGGGAGAACTTCTCGAATGCTTTGCGAATGTCGTTACGAGCTCGCAAACTCCAGTCAGTGGGTACGCACCCCTGGTCATGCGCGCGGCACATCTTGCTGATATGCAAGGACCGGAATCTATGAATTCAGTGCGAATTCCGAGGAGCGACCCCCAGTGCTGAGTAATTGGAGGAACTTTCCTGAAACGATGCTCGAAAAATTATGCATGGAATTCCTCAATTCATCAAGGACTCTGATTCGAGATTCGCCTGATCATGCATACGACCTGAGAAGACCGAACGATGAGCCGAACTTACTGTCTGAGCACTGTGCACGATTCATTGATCTGGTTCCCGAGACAGAACTGTGGGAGACTGCATCCGCTCATTCGTGGGTAGGTAATTTTGATAGTGGATAGAAGGAGTTCTGCTTCTCTCCGAAGCTCTGAGAGCAAGCGTTTCCTCTCGAAAACCGAAATTCAGCGGTCACGGCGCTCGATAGGTCTCAACTCAGAGAGACTGAACTCGGAGAGAAATGGTTGACATGACTCTTCCTTCAATCGACATCGATGGCTCCCGGCTTGTTCGGAAAAGCTCCCTCGTCACGAAATTGAACGCTCGATTGTCGAGATGTCTGTACTGAGCTCACGGCAGACGTTCGCTAAAATCCATCCAGAGCGCCGCTCATTCATTCGTTTTTCCGTACGGACTCTTGTGAGACAGCCAGAGCCTGACTGAAAAACGATTGCGGAAACTTGTTCCGAGGTCCGAGTCAGTCTTCTGCTGCTCCTAACGCAGAATCAGCAAGCCTGGGCTAGTGCAACTTCTCAATACCGTACGAAAGTCGAGGCCTCTGGCCTCCATTATCGAATCCTAATCAGGCTTTTTCCGCTCGAACGAAATACTCGCATTCGTTTCGCTGTCATCGGATGCCAGGAATGGACGCATCAATAGGCAGGATGCATGTAGCATTTAGGTTTAGAATTCCTTACTCTGATGAAACTTCATCTTTGTGATGATCAGGAATCAGAACTCTCTATCGAATTACATGCCGATCAGAAGCGATAGACATTAGCTTCATACGCAAAAACTCTTTCTGTAGGACCCCTCGTAGACTTTGAATCGCGCTCCTCGAGATGGGATTACGCTGAGACGATGGGAGTGCATCAAGGCCACTACATGATCGGGGCGGGATTTAATGAATGGTCTGCAGGAGATTTCCTCCAGGCTCCCTTCACCAGTGTTCAAGGGTCTCGGGAAGAGGGTATCCCGTCCTCCTCGCATTATTCCTCCCGCTTCCGACGCGGATAAGCGTGGGGGGATCTCGAGCTTTCTGATGCTTATGCGATGTCGCGATTTCACATTCCGATTCCCATGTGGCGGATTCGAGTTCACATCTCTTCATCGCATTGCCCTTCGCAACGCATTCGATCTTTGGAGCATATAAGAATTCCACGTATTCGAGCCATGAGGGCTGATCTTGCTCTGGTTCAAAGCAGCAATTCTCGGAAGATCGACACCTCGTTTCCGAACACGGAGCATCTTCGAATGTCGCTCTTAAGTTTTTCCGGGGAATCTACTTATCACAAAAGGTCCCATGGACGCCAGATTCGGTCTCCGACCAATGATCATCTGAGCTCTCTCAACGAGCATGATCATTGGAGGATCGGACTCAGGTCTCGGCAGAGCGCCGGGCTTCAATTCCATTTGTTGGGCCGAGAGTGTTTGAAAACTTCCCCCTGATGGAGGCTAGATATTTCATTGGAGAACATTACCTCATAATTAGGTCATGTTGGTAATAATTATGTTGACTCATAATTATTATGAGTGCGAATGGTGCGGTGATCGGAACTTAGCGCGCTCTGCTGTCACCTGACGATCCGGGACTAGGCGCTTCCCCAATATATTATACTGCCGTCAGGGCCGTTTGTTTCCGTCCTATATCGATTTCTTGAGTGGTTGACAGCCGTGAAAAGCTCACCGCCTAAGAACGGCGTCACTCATTTAGTTTATGGGATCTCGAATATGGTTGACAACTAACCTTTCGCCTCAAGGTGTGTTCGGAACGGGACTCTCTCTGCCTAAGTGAGTTTTGAGTCCGGCTTACCGAATTCGGCCCGAGAACGACGCAAAAAAATGGAAGCAAACTGGAGATCGATCGACGATGCCAGAGGATAGTTTCTTGTGTTAGTTTTGAAAAAAAAAGATGGCTGACTCGAAGATTAGCCTCTTGGCGCGAGAATGCGACTAACTATGTGGGCCTGCAACCCGAGCTCCCGGCATCCATCGAAGTAGATTCAGCCCGAGTGATCCGGGCAGGGAGCAGGAGTTGCGCGGCCATGACCAATCTGGTATCCAGAGCTCGTGGAGATACGCGGAGCTACGTGAACGAGCTTATGGAGCGCTATAATCAAGCGATGCAACAATAGACTAGGGATCCCGTTCCAGAGGGGTCCTCTACCCAAAAAATTGTAGGGTAGAGGACTTTGACATTGACCGGTGCCGGACTCTTCCTCACTCCTGCTAACATTCGTCCCCTTAAGCGGGAGGATCCCAGAAGTGGCTGATTTCCGAATTATTATCGAACGTTGATATCCTCACTCACGTGAACGATGCAGGAGATCTGCGGTAGAGGACTTTGTTGAATATGCACAGACCGCTTCGGAATGAGCACGACCTGTGACGAATCCTTTTGAATACATTGCGAGCGCTCTGAGAAACGTCCCATTGACATCGTTTGCCCTTTCTGATTTTACAGGCACTCTCCATGGTGGAATCGGCGTACCCGCACTGAACGGACCCTGTGCGGTATAGCTTCAGTAGCCGTCGCGATGTTTGTGGCAATGGCAGTTGCCCTTGCGGTCGTCGGGAGCCAGTATCAGAGTGCACTCGGTGAGTCTCGATGGCTTCAGAAATTTGACTCGTTCCTCATTTATCCAAACACTTTGATGAGATATCGCTCGTTCCCCGCACCTTATTTCCGCCATCCTAGAAATTGGATGCTCGGTCTGTGTGTGAGAGATCATTTCGACCGCGACGCCGAAGCCACATGCTCGCGGATTTGTGTCTTTTCGATTTTTTGAGACTATAACTTTCATCATCGCGGCCGGAACTCCGGAGAATGTCGATGTTCGAAGCCGTTGGTAAGCCATTGACATTTCAAAAGGCTTCCGTACGATCTTGTGGGAATGCGGTCTGGTATCTGCGATCTCGATAAGGAGCCTCCATAAAATGCGGGATTTTGGTGGCTATGGCTGTGGGTCAAACCCGATACCAACCTCACTCATCAAGCAAAGAGCTTGTATAATTTTCTGAATCTCCGGACCGCTTGCGTTCCTTCTCCCGTTCGCGGCAGACTTGACATCGCGGAACTTCGCTTGGCTTGAGATAACAAGTTGCTGTGGCAGCTGCTGCTGCCGTCGTTGTATCCGAGAAAGGGAAGCGTTCCGAGAGTACGAGAACAACATGCGATGAACTCCACAGAGCCGGGTTAGGGGGAGGGGCTTCTGAATTCGTATTTCAGCAGAGTGCTCCCTCAATCTTCAGCGCGCCAGGCAGCCAGCTAGCTCGAGACCGGCGCGGCCGTCTAGCTACTCGACAACGGTGCAAGTTTGAAAGAAAGACGTGACTTAATTTTCTAAGTGACCAAGATAGCGGTCCAATGACACCGACTTAGAAACATTCATGAGAAGCGTGCGATCAAGCGAGCCCAGCCGAGTTGCATTGCAATTTTGCAAATGAAACAAACACTCGCGAGCACGATTGGTAGACGGCTCCGCGTGTCTTGTTCCCCCTAGCGGAGTGGAGGAGCTGCAAGTTGACGATTTGACGTAATGTCCGAATAAGTGAAGTGTATGTACTCGTCAGCTGCGGACGTTTTTGTAACGTGCGGATGAATAATTCGTCGACGCGCTCCATTATTCACGGAAGCAGAGAATTATTATGCTCCGGGATAGGTAACAGTTTTTGCTTCAGACGGGCAGCATGTCTCGGCGGAAGAATTCGAATTATTTTCCTCCTGTTCGTTGAGCAATTCGCGAGAGAGCAATGGACCACTTTGACTATCAAATCAAGTCGGTGGATCTGAAGGATTACTCATTCTTTCGAATCCGCTCGGGTTGCGCAAGCGAAGCGACGGACGCGCTCCCGAAGTTCGGGAAGACGATAGTCAACGTTGTGGGATTTCGAAGTTTCGGCATTAATTTGTTTCGAAAAATTTGTTTCAGCACGCCGATCGGTTCCGTATACCGTTGGAGCTAGTAGTCTAATAGCACCGCCCGCTACTAAAAATCGAAACTTCGAAGCTCTCACAAATCATGATGGGCTTTGTCTTACCGCTGGCTGCGTGAAAGCTGCCGCTCAAATTATCGAAAACATGGACGCAACGGCAGATCCGTGCACTGATTTCTATCAATTCGCTTGCGGAGGCTGGGTTCAGGTTAGTTGAAAGGATCTTCTCCGAAAATCACGCGCTGCGATTGTTGATCGCCCGCATCGAGATGCTGGGCTTCGCCCAATGCGAGAATGACCTAATCCGAAAGGAAACTATTGCGGAAAGCGTCGTCGAATGTGTTTCAAGTTGGAGAGATGATGCATCTGGCCGTCCTTGTGTGTCGTAGGGCGTGCCTGTGGTGTTCGACGGAAGTTCTATCAGCAAAGTTTGATCCGTCTCGTGGCTTCCGTTGCCAAGTCGGCCCCATGTTGCGGCAATAGCTCGTCGAGCTCGTCATCATTGCTGATTTCTCTGGGACCGGCTCTTAAACGAAAACATATTTCTTTCAGAGACAGAATATCCCTGAGGACAAGTCATCCCTCACGCAGTTCTCGCTGATTCAAGATGAGCTCGACGCTAAACTTCGTCAGGTTGTCGAGAAACCGGTTGATAAAGCACGAGATCCTCCCTACGTTGTGAAACTCAAATATCTCTACCAAAGCTGCGTGAACACAAGTGAGTGAAAACTTAGGCGGCATCTACCCCGCGGAAGATCAAGCGTTCGTTGATCCAGGGGATTCGCCGACTCAACCAGACTGTAATAATGAGTTTTTGCTCTCGCTATATCTCGCAGCCCATCTCGACAATCTCGGTGAGGAGCCTCTGCAGAAGATATTGCGAGACCTCGGGGGTTGGCCCGTCATCGAGGGCAATCGATGGAACGAATCAGCATTCGACTGGCTTGACATTATCATCAAGTTCAGGGACCTTGGCTTCTCGCACGATATTATTTTTGACCTCAGTGTTATTCCCGACTTCCGAAACAATACCCAATACCTGATCGACCTGGACCAAACTTCTCTCGGACTCCCAGAACGATCCTATCTTCTCAAAGGTCTGCTAAACTTCCTCTCCCGTCTTTCCTCATGAACTTATCGAGATCGTCCGTAGACTCATCTAAAAGTTTAGTCGAAGATCGGCATGAATGCTCTCCACGGAGATAAGCGCTCGTCTTCTCAAAGCATCCGCTGAGTTTCTGAATCACCCCCAGGAATTACTGATCCTGCTGTGCGAGCCTATTTCAAACTGATGACAGACGCCGCCGCTCTCCTCGGCGTCAAAGATGGAGCTGAAGCTCGAAAGGAGCTCGAAGAGGCTCTCCAATTCGAGACCACTCTAGCGAACGTGAGTTCTCGAGTCGAGAGAGATTTGCGATGAAACCGGAGCGGGAGCTATTTAGGAGCTTAACATAGAGTTCGAGGGAACACAGAGTTCAAGCGCGCGGACGGTCGGGAGTAGAGTTGGGGAGAAGACACTGTTTTTTCAGACATTCGATCGACTGTCATTTCCCCCAAATTCAACGCCATGACGGTAGCGGGGCATCGCCGATGTCGTCCTATGAAAGATACACGCCTACGCTGGAATAGAGGGAAATAGGAAGGGAGCTTATTATTATTCATCAGCTCTTGTCAAGCTATTAAACAGACGGTAATGACGGAACAATAAAACGTCCTCTCGAACTGTAAGCAGCTCCCGATAAAAAATTCATTGCCACAAATGCTGAACGACCTCTGTACGATGCACGTGCGTGCATCCAGGCACGTTTAGTGGTGAATTATCCACGAAGAGGCTTCCGCAACTTGTTGAACGAGAGCTTGATATGAGCTCCTTAATCGGACTATCTGAAACATGGATGATGATGATGATGGGAGCAGGGGTGACGACAATTCCGCGCATGCTTCCGACCTGTTGACGCATGACGTCATGACTGTTTCGAGTTCGGAACTCAGAGGCCTTTGTATTCCTCTACAGTACTCGATTCCACGAGAAGAACGTAGGAACATATCAGCACTCTACAATAAGATGACATTGAGAGACCTCAAGAAGCTCGCGCCTTCCATCGAGTGGGACACGTGAGTATTGGGAAATTATTCGGCACGAGTCTCGCCTCGAGCTCCCTCTCCGGCGAGCTCTCTGAGTGTAGCATAGGAACGTAGACTTCACGTGTAGTTATATTTCAGCTACTTCAACAAGCTCCTCGTGGATCCCATTTCGGACAATGAGCAAATCAACGTAGCCGTCCCTAAATTCGTCGTGCAGGTAGCAGATCTGTTGAATACGACCGACAAACGAACCTTGGCAAACTACATGGTGAGAGAAGATTAAGCACTGCATGTCAGAACCAGCAATCGTGACCTGCGATAATTTCCTTCTCTGCTCTGAAGCTATTTCAAACATTCGGATTAATTAGCTGACATGACACAAAGCGAAGAGTAACCATTGCCGGTCGGAATGATTCTCACGTTACAATTCCAATGACTGCAGATCTGGCGTGTGGTACTGCAGTCCTATGCAACTCTTGGCAAAGCATGGCGTGATCGACTTCTGGAATTCAATGCTGCTCTCAGCGGAAAGGTAGGCGCTGGCAGTGACGGATGATGCGACAGAGGAAATTTCTGTCCGCTCAGGAAGAAAAACAAATAATTTCCTCGGAAAGCCGATTGGCTGATACATTGAGCCAGAACTTACCTTGGAAATTTCTTCCTGCCACTTTACTAGACGAGGGAGTCGCCGCGATGGGAACAATGCATGACGTCACTGACCGGATCGATGGCCCTATCTTTGGCAAATCTCTACGTGAAGAATTATTTCCGTGAAGATTCCAAGGACTCTGCGCTAACCATGGTCAAATACATCACCAACGAATTCTTGAAAATGCTGAAGGTGATTTCGAGTGTTTGATTTACTGTGTCACGCTGATTCGATCGATCGGATTTTTCTGTTCTGCTGCCGGGAAATTATTCATCTCCTCTCCTACTTCTGATACAGGAAGTGCCATGGATGGATCCCGACACTCGCCATCGTGCCAAAGAGAAGGCTGAAGCCATCGTTCCTTATATCGGTCAGCATCAGGTTTTTCCTCATTCCATTGTGAACACATTGAATGTTTCTCTCAACTACGGCGGTTTGCGCTCGAAGACAAGTACGAGGGAAACTCTCGGGAGGAAGATAAGCGCTGTTCTGACTGAGATTGGTATTTTCGAGAAGTGCTCCCCGCTTGAGGGAAAGTCTGAATTGATTTGCGAGAAAATTGCAAGTTTTGCTGTCAGCATATGCGGCCGACGGATTTGACGACTGAAAAGCAGGCGTTAGCAAAAGCTAATTCCCGTCACTTTTCCGCCGGAGAAAGGGCGAAAATTCCGCCACCATCAACAGAATATTGTTCTACTCGAGAGCAACGAATGAAGAGAAAACACTCCGCGCATAGAACGTTCGAACCCAGTCCTCACAAAGACCAAGTCTGCGTTTCTTACCTCCGGTGGCGAATAGTCAGACGTGAACAATCACTCGCTGGCGTACGTGTCCTCGAGCCTTTTCCGCCCGGACTCCAAGCAGTTTCATATATTGCTCATTCTTTCCGTTTCAGGCTATCCATCGGAACTGCTTAACGATACACTGCTCGTCGAACACTATGAAAATGTTACAATGGCGCCTGACGGCTACTTTTCGAACGTGATGCACCTGCGCAAATGGTCGACGGACTACTCCTTTGGCCAGTTGAGGAAACCCCACATCAAGGTAAGGAACTCGAACAGTATTAGCTGGCGGCGCAAAGCATAGGCGAAGCCGGCTGGCGGTAAGCCGTGGCCTCGCGAACGACTTCAACAGTCTAAGTCCCGCCTTGACGTATGAATACCGGGCTACATGGCCGATGTTTATTTCGCTCACAGGGCGAATGGAAAAAGCATTCCCAAGTAGCCGTTGTGAATGCTTTTTACAACTCTCTGGAGAATTGCATCGAATTTCCGGCCGGCATTCTTCAAGGCGCCTTCTTCGCGAGGGATCGCCCCAACTATCTCAATTTCGGTGCCATCGGATTCGTTATCGGACACGAGATAACTCACGGCTTCGACGACAGAGGTCGTCAATTCGATAAGGTATTTAACAAAATTTCGAGAATGTTCTCAGGTTGCTTAAGAAAGTCGTATCGAATCAACTACAGGTTTCATACTTTCTTCTGGTAGGACGGGAATAATAAGAATTGGTGGGAGCATGCGACCGATGAGCGATTCAAGGAGCGCGCTCAGTGCATCATCCATCAGTACGGAAATTACACCGTTCCCGAAAGCGGATTGAACGTCAATGGAATCAACACCCAGGGTGAAAACATCGCTGACAACGGAGGGATAAAAGAAGCGTTCAGGGCATATCGACAGTGGGAGAAGGACAACGGACCCGAGGGCGCCCTTCCGGGTTTGGACTATACCCCTCACCAACTGTTTTGGATTTCGGCAGCGAACGTATGGTGCGGAAAATACCGTCCCGAGGTCCTGCGGCTCAGGTAGGGAGATTCAACACCATTCAATGAAATGACATCCATGGATCGCGTTTCTTCCTCTGAGCATTTCTCTGTCATCTCATCTTCAGCACTCAGAATTTAATAGTTCTTCCGTTCGCTCTCCGCAGGATCATATCTGGGTCACACAGCCCTGCGGCGTTCCGAGTCATAGGGCCGATGTCCAATGCGCCCGAGTTCGCAGAACAATTCAGCTGCCCTGTCGGCTCCCCAATGAATCCCAAGCAGAAGTGTACCGTGTGGTAGACTTGGCCAGATCTCTGAAGCACTCTCGAGGGTCAGCTGCTTGAAGAGAGAAATCTTTGATCCAGTCTATTTATGGAAGTAGAGGTTCGTCGAATCTGAATTATATCTTCCCTCTCTGTAATTATTTCCGTGATTCTACGATCGCTGCCGCTGTGTGGGAGGGCAGCGATTTTGTGACAGTCCAACAAGTGACAGCCGAATCGAGACAGATGCTAATATTGTAGTATATGTTGTACATAATCCTAGACGACTTCATCGATTAAAAAAGCGTGTAATATCGACGATGTGACCGATGGAACTTGAATAAAGAACGCGTCATGTCCACCAGAACTATACGCATGAACCGTGAAGAGCAATTATTTTTCCGACGAGGGGGAGCCGGATCCCGGTCGCGGTGTCTCCGGGATTGGAACGCCGCGTTCGTCTCCCGGGGACTCATGAGAGGACTCTTCGAGCCAACCTTCGCCGGGGTCTAGGCGAGAGCTGGATCGGAGATATCGAGCTTTGAGTCACGATCATGGAGGCTCTACAGTTATGAAAAAATCAGGGACGATACGTGCCCTATGACTCCTGAGCCAGTAGACGATTATGAATGTTGGATTGTGAATTACGAAAATGGACACCATGGATGTTGAATGTCGGTTTCGTGTGATGTCGGAGCAATGGCGCAGCACATATCCATGTGAGCACACGAGCCCCGTGCATCGTCACGTGAATCTGACCAGGCATTGATCCTAATGGAATACGATCGCGGTTCCGAAACATGATTCGAGCCAATCGGAGCAGTGATGACAGCGCGTGAGATGAGAGCTGGGAACGAAAGAGAGTTGGGGAAAAATGTTCTTCCGCGTCCCTCAGCTGCTCTCTAGCTGCTTTCAAAGCTCCTAACCGTAAGACCTTTTCTCTCAAGGCTGTACTCGACGGGAAATGACGGATTCTAGCGAGAAAGACTCCGGGTACTGGAATCAGGCATTCTGCGCACGACGAGGAGTTGAGTGAGTCTTGATGGACGTCTAGAACAAATCCACTCGAGTCGGGAGCCCGAGTCACCCACCTCTCATGATGGGATGACCTTTCGTCACCACTGTAAAAAGTGACACCATTACCGAAGTCGGAGTCGGATAGCGAGAGGGCATGCGAACCTTGCTGTCAGTGAAGGAGAACCTTCACTTATCTCGAAATCCGGCAGCGAAGACTCTGACAATGATCCTTAATCCGGGGTCTAGTCTCGAGGTATCAAACATATTCGATCCGCGATATGAAAAACGGAAGTCGCTCAGATGTTCATCTGGGAGGCCAAAGCCACTAAAGCGAGATGGGTTGCCAGGTCCGGAGTCTAGCCCTGTTTCGGAAGCTCTAGAGGCGCCCCTCCCTCAATATATCGTCGCATCAGTCGGGAGGGCTGAGGACTGAGAATGTCTAATCAGAGTCGTACCGGCCGAGCTCAGCGTGTGTCGGCAGTTGGAGAAACTCGGGGCTGCGAGAACGTGGGTCTCTTGTGCTCCGAGCGGAGCCTTCAAGGGAATCAAGCTCCGGAGCATCAAGCCGAGCATGTCAAGTGGATATCTGGTTCAGATTGCCCGAGACGCGAACCTGAGCCTCTTCTTGACGTACGTGAAATGATAAAGCTCGCGGGAGAAATGGAAAGCAAACAAAACAGGCGATCAGGATTGAAGACATCTTGCGCATTCGAAGAGCGTCGCGATAAGAAAGCTGTCTGGTTCCGCTGGAAGAAGCGTATCCAGTTTGGCTTTGGGATTGAGCTCTAGCGCCCCGTCAGGACTTCCGTCCGTGATGCTGAAGAATCCAGAAGTTTCAGTCTGGGATGCGATAACCCAGCTCTGCTCTGGGGCTCGATAACTCAATCTCACGTGGACGCGGAAATATCGGTATCGTCCCATGTGTTATAGCGGGAGCGCTCCGGATGCGGCGCGGGAAAAATCAGTTTCAATGTCTCCAAAGCATCCTCTGGCAAGGGTCAAATTCATGTGGGGAGAGGATGGGGGTGACAAATTCGGAAGCTCGTGAAGCGAATATCAAAATCAATCAATCAAGCTTGAGAGCTCGACAGAACTTTGTCAAGCTTGACACAGCTTGAGTTCAAAAAGCGACAAACGCGTTCAAAACGCAACAAAGCTCCAAAATCCAGCCAAGGCTCGATGTCCATCCCCAGTCGATGCGATGAGAGCACACCATTCAATCGAGGAAAATCGGGCTCTCCCAACACTCATCCAAGTTTCCAACAACCTCGAGGCTCGTTTGAGCAACCTAGAGCTCATCAACATGGGAGCCACTTAATCAGCATTAGACGTGTGCCACCCTGCAGAGAGAGCTTCCGAAAGTGCTATTAGTTGTAACTAGGCATGTCAAAGAACCGCTTATTTTGAGAAACGCGCCGGGAGAGCCGCGGTTCAAAACCGCAAAGAACCGCGATTCCGCTACCAATCGATTTCTACTGTTTCTCTGCAAACGACGCTCTCGCCTCCTCAGAGGAGACGTCCGTGCGTGAATGAATAGCAAAATGTATCGCTTCTAGGATGAAGTCTCTGTCAATGAATTTTATGATGATTCACGCCACACTATTCGGCTCGAACTTGATTCCTTTCACAAACCTTCGAATTCGTATGCTTTCCGCAGCATGAATATGCTGTCCAGCGTACTCGGTTTCAACCTCGCGCGGTCCTTACCTAACAGAAGGCGAACAATACTAAAATCGCGATCCGGCTGGACCGAGGTTGGCAGGACAGCCGATAAAATCTTGTGGCACAAAGTGAGGAGATAGAGGAGTTTGAGGCCTCAACCCCGTCCTGATTGACGTCACGGAGCTATCGAATCGCAGTACTTATCTAATTCGAAAGGAAGAGATGCTATAGGATGGAGACGATGGTCGTCTTTATTCACGATTTCCATCCCTGAAACGCACAAATTCAGAACTTGCAATTGTTCGCAACATATACTTTTCTCATGAAATTCTCGAACGATGTCTTCCCTAGGTTTATCGGGACTCATTCGATGCGTCCGACGGTTTCTCACACTCAAGCACCACGACCCACAACAAACAAAGGCAGCTGCCAAAACTTTTCCCCGCTTTCGCCAACGTATCTCTTCGCACTCCGGGTGCACGTAGCCTCGCTCTGCGCGCCGCGAAGGATCCCCGGCTGATACGTCGAGGACGATATATCTGTAGGCCTGCCTACCAATAGTTACGAACATGTCGCTCTCGACTCGGTCCCGAGATCAGCTTCTGCCCGAAGCGGTTCTCGCGGTTCTGGAACCGCAAAAAAGCCGTTCTAGAACCGCAGAGAATCTGCGGCTCTAGAACCGCTGACATCCCTAGTTGTAACGTCCGGGCATCTCCCTGCAAGGGAGCTAAGAAATACTATGTGAAGAGTGAGCAAGTCAAGCGTGCCGTGGAGGAAATGTTCTATTCGAGCAAAATCTTGCGCTATGCAGTCCCTCAGCCCCAAACCGGAAAGCTCCGAGTCATCCTGGCCGGATTCTGTCGCACCGGCGTAGAAGAATGCGTTTTCCACAGTGACAACAAGCAGTATACGAGTCTCGCGCACACTCCAGGGCGCCGCCTCATGAAAACGTCGCTGCCGAGCAGAATCCTTGTCAGAATGGCTTCCCCTAGACTATTGATGTTGACAGATCAGAGGAATGGTTCACAGCAAGAAATCAGCTCGAACGCCGCCGTCGGCGACGCGTCGTGAACTTCGCTCTACGCGAACCTCTTGACGGCGAGGCATGAGCAGGGCATTCGGAGGAGCTGTCCCGCGAAAGAGCGGCGGAACGCGACGCGCTGATAGGTTTCTTCCGTAGAGACTCGCGATGGATTGTGTTTTCAAATCGGAGCTAGTGTTTTCACTGAATAGCACTCATTGCTCGTTCTTCGCGATTCTGTTCTGAGTCGATAGACGTGTCATTATCCGTAGTCCGACGTGGAAGCCGTCACCGGAACGGCAAAAGGATCGCGACTAAAACAGAATGTATGCTGAACGATCCGAGTCGACAATCCGAGTTGCGATGCACTGTTGACTACAGCCGGAGCCTTGCCCGTAAGCAACTTCAGAAGGACCACGTCCACCCAATTCGACAGGAGTGCCGTACACAGTGAAATATGCTCAATCGACCACTCGGATGATCGGCAAAACCGCGACAGTGGTGAAATTTCTCAGTGCCGGAAAATCACCATGCCTTTAGCATCATTTTCATCCGCTCGATGGTTCTAGAACCCGTTCGAGTGACCAATTCGTTACTAGACGAGCTTGAACAGCGCTGCTTTTGAGAAACGAGCGTCTGAGAGCATAATTATTCAGGGATGAATGATAACCAGGTTTTGCGAAAAAACGCGAGTTCACCTAAGACCCGCGGGATCCCCCCCTCAATACCCCTGGAACCGCATTGATTTGCGGTTGTTGCTGTTCGGAGTAATTCCTTGGTCCTCCCGAACCGACGATCCCCGCGAGTGCCGAGACAGGTCGAGGAGCGCCCCGATAGGGCGCCTCAGCTGGCGCCCAAACCATCCTCTCAAGGATTCGAGGTCTTCAGGTGTGCGGAGTCCAGAAATCAGTTGACTATAAGTGTAGGAGTGGCGTTGTTGAGATCAATTGCCCCGCAGCTCGCAACGCTCTCAATCTTGTATCTGGGCACGGCGGGCGAGCACCGGAGGAGAAAAGCTCTCTCGTCTTCGCTTACTGAGATTAGACGCTGCGCTTCTGACACGCGAAATTGTGAAAAGCAGCTGGTCAGAACACTGAGTAGCCCAATGGCCTTTTTTTGCGGGGCCAGGAATAGAAATGCGTGTTGCAGACCGTGCACAGCGCCTCACGGTACTGTGGGAGTCGCAAACCCACTAAAAACCTAGTGGTTCCCCAACCCCCGCTTCCGGGCGGGGGCGCCGCTCTCATGGACGGAACTGGGTTAGCAATACTTCGCCCAATAGACCTACCGGCCCAAAACCAACCGGGCTAGAGACTGGACGGTCGGAAGGGTGCTCAGACTCGGTCGGAGCTTTTCCGACGTTTCGAATCGCTAACACGCAGCAATTCAGTATGGACAGCTATGGATAGTCATGGATTTTCCTAGATTGAGGACTAGCTCACTCAATTTTTTTGCTCTCTAGTCTCCTGCCCAGTTTGAAGGTTTTGTCCGAGTTCGTCCGTTGGCCCAATGGATTTTAGCCCATTCATCCTCCAGGAGCAAGACCCCGGCTCCCGGGGAAGTCTCACGTCTGGGGCGTCCGCGTGCGCCCAGGGGCGCCAATTCGGAATTTTCGTGTCCTGATCTAATCTTGATTCTTCTGGATCACACATGGAGACAATCGGATCCAACATAGATAGCGCGGAAACTCGCCAGTGGATCCGAGAACTCGCTCATGCGCGCCCTGCAACCAGCGCCGTTTTCGAAGCAGCCGCTATTGCGGCACCGCTCAGCTCTTAGCGCGTTTACCTTGAGGTCGAAGAGTTCCATTCGACAACACCGTGAATTTTCGCAAAGGTCAGTTTCCTTGATTCGTTGGTCTTTCTACAAAAGACGGTCATGTCGGTCTCATTAGATGGAAGTCATCCGGACCTGGATTGAGAAAACTTGTCCGATCGAGGCTACTGATCTTTCGTGGAGCTTCGGAACTATTCGCGCTGCGGGGATCGTTCGATCGTCGGGAACCTGTCAAGAAATTGCTTATATCTTATGAAATGTCACTGCTCACAAGGCTCCGGGTCGCCCCATCCCCGACTTCCGTCATAGCTCACATTAGCTTCTTCACAGATGGGTGTGATCTGGCAGGGAACTAAAGCCGCACTGTTCTGTGGAGCTGCTTATACCCTAGCGAAGGCTGACGTTTGGGGCGACAACAAAGCCACGATCGAGTACGTGAACAGCAAATGCGAATCCAGTGACAGGTAAGACGAGCAGTATTCGTGTTTGAATATCCCGGAGATACTTAGTACCAGAATGTAGTACCTGACAACGATCGCCGGACCTCATTCGAGAGTCATAGCAGATCCAACTTTCTCAGAATCAAATATTACAAGATGATGATCCCGAGCTCCGCTGAACTGAGAATCCGGTTTGCGGACTCATGGAATAATGGTGTGCGTTCGGTATTCTCCTTTGTTGACAATCTCCCAACGCATACTGTCAACGCGGCATGTTGGACCTCGACTCAGGTATGGTTGCTGCAGCATCTCAAGGAAACCGTGTATTCCCGAGACCCGATGGACTTCAAGCATTCATGGATGCCGCCGTCGAGATCGGTCTCAGAAAGCCTAAACATGCTTTTTCTTATCGCTATCAGATTCAACAATTGGCCGCGACCGTAGGAGAATCGAAAAAAGAATCCTCAACAGCCCCGGCAGCACAGCAGGAAGCTGCCAAAAAGAAGTGAACAAATATGTTGTTTAGTTTTTCAATTGCGGAAAAATAAAAGAATTCTAGTGTCTTACGTGCTACCTTCGATTCGGACAAACGCGAAGAGATGAAAAACAAAGTCGATCGTAGAGCTAATGCTCCGGAGAGCCGTCAACTCATTAGCGCTCCCTGCTCCTTGAAGCCCCCGACGCCGACGTGACGACGTAGATTGCGACTGTGGGCCAGTAGCGACTGATTGACCGAACTCAGCGAGCTCTTGATGGATCGACTCAATGAGGAGGACCGGCGTCCCTCCATTCTAGGCACCAGATCGCGCGAGACTCCCCTTCTCCATCTATATATATGCTCCCAGCAGTTGCTAGACCAGGACACTCGGCTCGATTTCTGTGTCGAATAGACCGCAATTTATTCTTCGGAACTCGACCAGTCCTTATTCCGGAGGAGTGCCAACCCCCCTTCTTAAATACACGTACTGGAGTTGACGCGCTCCGATCGGGCGCAACGGATTAGTTGGAGTCCCCAGCTTCCTTTTGCTCCTTCAACGCCGCGCATAGTCGTTTATGCGAGGGCCAATCCAGTTTCTGACATTCTTTATTACAGTAAGTAACCGCCTGAAAGCAATGACCGGCATAAGAGTGTCTTCTCAGGCAGAGGCTTCCTCCATTTTTGCCACCGTATGCATCGAGTGTATTTTGTTGTCGCCTGTCCAAGAATATTTCTTTGGGAGCCAAGCAGCATAAGGGCAACTCACTTTGCAAGCGGAGCAGCGGCTCTCTGCTCCTGTTTCCCAGCAGGTGTTGCAAGCCCCAGTATCTCTCGCACCTGGATTTTGAAATATTTCTTGTTGGAATCGTTCCGCCAATCGTGCAAAGATTCGTGGTTACGGCTTCGTTACGACTCGGAAGAGAAGAGTTGCATAAAGTTCTCTAACCTAGGCACAAGGCTACGGCCCCGTCATCGGTGACAGGGGCTGTCTGCGAAGTGTGGGCGAGCGTCATAACCATCTGACGGAACACCGAGCTCTCGTGGAAGGGATAACTCCGTACGCAGCTCCGCATGAAATCATCCAGGTTCAACTGGTTGGGAGAAATTCCTCGATCAGAGTATCAGTTTTTTCCCGTTCCCGTCGGGAAATCATTGAATCCTGAGCTGAAGACAAACCTTGAAACCGTCAGCTGGACGAGGTTTCAGCCAATGCTTGAGTACCAGGGCCGGTTCCGTATTGCTGACATGCTCCACAATGCATTTGAGAATGTGCAGCTTGCCTGACAGCCACTCATTGCAATGGGTGAGGAAGTAGGTATCACTTAAGGACTTCAAAACGGAAGCGACCTGCGAGTTGGACAATATCTTGGTCAGAAATAGTAGAGGAGTGCAGGAAAAATTGTTCCGTGTGAGATGGGATCCGCAGAGGTTCTACAGAGAGACCCTATCCCTATAGCGTGATCTCTCTGATTTTCAGACACTCGCAGAGACGAGCTCGAGGAGAGAGCGCAGAGTCAATCTCTACTAGACTCCATGGGTGCGTGGGCAGGGATGCCCCGTAATTCGAGAGGATATTCGAAGATCTGGACTCACCTTCATATTCATCAAGGTGGTATCTCGTAATCTTAAAACTACTTTGACAGGATGAATATTTAACTCTAGAATCAAGGAACGCAGCGGATCTATCTCATCCACCGCGAGTCGGGCTTCTTCGACAACACCTGCGGGCACGAATAGATTCATCAAAGGATGAGTGTAAATGTTTCGTCAGCGGTCGGGGGAGCGGGGGTCGGATGGCTAGAGAGACTGCCGACCAAAAGCTATCGGAGTCACGCGAGGAAGTCTTACCCTGGGGCTTAGCGAAACGTTCGATGTCCGCTCGCGGCACAAAACCCTTGATGACTGACACAACATCTTTGAGGCCAACGAATGCCGCCATTTCAGCCGCCGTTCGATTGACCTGATAACAATCACACAGGACTGAGTTCTGTTTCCCGATTATCCCTGCCCTGCATTTTATGAAAACGGACCAGAGACAAACCTTGTTGACTGGCGTGATTTTTGCACCGGCATCGAGGAGGGTTCTGACCACCTCGAGATTCCCTGATAGGGCTCCAAACATCAATGTGGTATAACCTGGGATGGAGAAACGATGGTGAAATAATTATTCCTGTTCTTTGCAGTTATGTTTCTCTGATAGGGTCTTTTCTCCACCGTGTTCTCCATCCATGATAAGTTGATGAGTGGTTCTTACCCTCGGAGTGATTCGAAGTGTTGACGTCGGCCCCATGTTTCAAAAGTAGCCGGACAAGATCTGCGTTGCCGCGAAACGCGGCTTGCTGCAGAGGCGTGACTCCGTGAGAGTCAAGCTCTTCGAGGACTCCCTTGTCCCCTGTAGCGAGAGGGGAATCGGATTGGGTTCGCTTACCTCGGGCAGAATGCTCGAATGTCTCGACGATAATTTCGCTCATATTCAAAGCATCAAAATATTTGTACGCATACCCCCTGCCAGCAATTCCTTAACTTCTTCCAAATCGGGATCCTTCTGTTGACATAGAGTGTTCAAAGACATTTTCTCTCCGGTCGATCCTGCGTCTCGTGGATTTGAAGCGTGGTCTCCTTGAAAATTCTCCTCATTGTGATCACATGCTCCTGACTTCATAATGGAGCTCGTGGAAAGATCCAGAGAACGGATACTATTCCGATATAGAGTCAGAGACTCTGACGGGTGCGACCGATCGCGGATAGGAGAATCGGGACGGGACTCGGCTCAGGACTACGATGCCGTGTGATTTGAACTCACCTGAATTTCAGAAGAATAGCCGAGCTCTTCCGTTTTTTCTGTCGGAAAATATCTCGAAACAAGCGAGCACAATGATGAAGCAGATGATCAGACTCTCTGGCCGCGACAGAGAAATTTCGAATGAACGGGACTACGGTACTCTCAGTCTCCTCCGCGTTGCGAAGTAAACAGTGCGCGAGCAGCCCATCGAGCAGAAATCCCAGACCGAGACTCCGATTCAAAACTATAGGCGCGCTCATACTGACTGAGCAGCTGAAATGCGGCTTTCCGAAAGACAAAAGAGCTCCCGACTGTTGAAACCATATTTTCGCTAGTCGTTTACGGGAATCGTCCGTGGCAATCATGGCCGAGGAATTGAAACTACCTAATTGACACTCGAGGCTGGTCGAAGCGTCGCACAGTGGGGCAGAATGCGAAAATAGGTTGAAAAAATTATTTTGCTGTTTTTTTCAAATCGTCCAAGCTCACCGATAAGGGGGTGATGATGAGGGCGACCAACCCTCGCAGTCGGCGGGATGGATTCGAGGCGGGCCGTATGAACCAGGGTAATGATGGGGACATGACCGAGCCACTTGGCGTTCTTCTCCAAAAAAATTGTACGATTACGACAACTTCCGTTGTATCTCCGGCATAAGATGGATGCGTGTTTACTCAAAGATCGTCTTAATGATGGGGAGTCCTCAATCTCGAGTTCCACTCGGGCCAACAAAACCTTCTCGAGGAGATCTAAGTTCCTCCCATTCTCGCAAGCAGGCCAATCATCGAAAAATTCGAAGCGAGACACCTTGATTTGTACACCTGCGAGAGATTCCAGGACTCAACTTCTGCATCGAAAAGCAGGGTTTGAGAACTGAATCGGGAAGAGGAGAGATCGGAGAGCATTTTTCAGCTTCTCCCTGGAGGAAGACTCAGGAAGAGCGTGTACTTCTACCGATGTGAAAGTTGACACATATCCCGAAGAAATGACAAGTCTTCATGAAATTCCCTAGGTATCTTAAAGATCTCATATTGTCCCCGGATGTTGCATTGAACATTCATCTCGACTCAATCAAGCTCACTGGCAAGTTCTTTCTCCAAATCGACAGCTTATCTCGTTTTTTTCCGCGGAGCACTCCAACGACCACTTCAACGTCTGGATCGGGAGGCGTTTTCAGAGTCACTTCAGCTGTTCGTTACGCACTCGTGGATCAAAATATCGACAAGATTGATGTGCCTCCCGAGTTTCAAGGAGTCGATGAGGATGTTCGGCGCTCAAAAAGCGGAATCGCTGACTTGAATTTTTTCCTCCTATTTTCGCATTTTGCCCCACTGTGCGTCGTCGATCGCCTCAATCAGAACCCCTGATAGGTTCGGCTTCGGACAACAAGCGATCCCCGTTTTATTCAACGCTTTTGCATGTTTGCATACAGAATGCCAATCAGATGAGCTCATCTGATTTTCGCTCTCTCACGGGAAGTTCCGTCGAGTTAGTTTCAAAGCTGAGAATCGAGAGAACGATCAGCTTGATGAACGTCTACATCCAGAGCCTTCTAGTGTATCTTCTCCTCAGTGTTTCTCCCCAGCTGCGCTCTCAATCAACGAGATCAAAGTCGAGAGCTTCTGGGAATTCGTCTCCCATTCGTATGGAATGATCATCTTCTTCCTCGACATTGTTCGCGGAATCTTGTCTCTTCTCCTCGTCATCTCTCTCTTCAGAGCTATCCCCGAGGATTTTATTGACCCCGCGCGGCCTGGAAACTCCGAACACGTCTCCTGGTTTCGGCAGCTTGACACGGATCAAATCGTGCGGTATGTCTAAGGGAATGAAATCTGCGAAAGCAATCGGAGGAGTTAACAGAACTTATCAACGTTGTCGATCCCCTCTTTCGGCATACAGCTCGTGCTGCTGGAAGCGACTCCGGGTTTAAAATAAATTACTAATGAAAATGGAATACCCACGCGGCTTTTTGCGCACCGGCTGAGGGACTGAGTTTGATATCTGCAGCAATTCGTTCTCTGTCAACTGTCCCACCGGAATTTCTGCGGTATTCCTTTTAGACGACTGCATGCGCAGTCTGCGTATTTCTTTCAACTGAAGCAGCAGATCGCGGAGCTCCGTGTCGGGCAAGCCATCCAACTCATGGAGGAGGGATTTAATCCTCAACGATCGCTCCGACTCATCGGAACCTTCCGCCGCCAGCATGGCTCTGGTCGCACCACTGGCCGAAGCCACATGACACAGCACAAGGAAAGAAACCAACAATTCTTTCATCACCTTCGCTTCGGATTTCGAATTCGTAGATTGACACTCTTCTCCGGAGCACAATAATCACCGCTTTAGCTGACCCAAGGAATGAGTATTTTCGTTCCGCGGGGACTTTCCGCGGCACGCGACATGCATGTGTCGAAATGTGCGCTTGCCGTAGCACGGCCTTCCCACGAGGCGACCGTCTCCAGCTCCCAATCGTTGACCCTGAGGTAAGCATCGGAGAACCTTTGCATCCAGACAGATATTCCTTCCAGGCTGCTCGGAGCCTCTCCTCCATCGACGAGTGGCGACAGAATGAGTATTGATGAGAGTAGTCTTCGGAGGTATAAGTTTATTCGGGACAATAAATTTCAAACTCGAAAACATCGTCAGAGTCGAGAGTAGGTGAGAAGATTTGCAGCGTCTCACGCCCGGAGCGGTGGTCGCGCGTTGCAAATAGAAACCGCTCGGAATCGAAGTTGCGCTTGTGTTCGTTGCAAGGGAGTAACGAGCCTCCACGGAGATATCACGAAGTGTATAAAGCTTTGTACAGTTATGACCAAAGTTCGGTGAAGCTATCCGACCGTCTACCCGGATCGACGTCAGCATTTCCAGATCGTGGGCTCAAGGTTTCACATGTTGCGATTGGCACTCGAGAATAACATGTTTCACGCCGACAACCCATTGCGATACCTGAAGACATACGGAAAGACTGAGATCGGAAACAAGTGTCGGATGCTGAGGGAGAATCCACCAGAGACATATTTCTCACGTTCTCGAATACGCGAAAGACTGACCTCACAAGAATAATTGACAATCAGGGCCACTTGTATGCGATTCGCGTCTTCGTAGTCGCAGGCACGCAGTCCTAGGAGAAAAAAACGTTACTTCGTGGCTTTTTCGTGAGGTTTTTGAGAGCGTCTTCAGCTTGGTACGGGAGGCGTCGAATGCCGGCCAGACAACCCGCTGAACCTCGAGATCTCTTCCCGCATGTGGTCCCAGGGTCGAAGATGGGAATCCACTTTAATGCGATACTCACTGGTGACTAGGAGGTACAGTAGTTTTTTCGTGGGTTCAGAGAGTTTGCCCTCATTCCATTGAGATCTCATGATGTCCAAACGTTTCCTTATATCCTCAAACTTCCGTTCGCTGACTTTCTCCTGGACTCGGCTCAACATATCTGACAGGTCAAAGGCATAGTGTGTTATGAATCGAGAATTCCATCCTCCCCTGACTTCCGACTGCTCTCAATCAGAGCTTTGATGCACTGGAGCGATTGGCTCTTGACTACGATTGACAGGACAGTGGAGCCGACCGATACTCACGAGAGAGATCTGAATTCACTTTTTCGAACATTTCTGTCGAGTTCAGATCGGGAAGATCGCTCGTGTCAACCTTCCCCGATGAACTAGGAGGACTCCCGCAGGGAGGCGAGCAACTGGCGGGATGGAAATCCGGGGGTGTGAATACTGAAATCAGACGACTGGAGTCACGACGGGACCTGCACTAAGACTATTCCCAATTCTGCCGAGGAGATAAGCTTCGACCGCTCCTCACCATGGATATCGCCCGTCGAGACAGGTGGTGAACTTGGGATTGAGATGGGATTGGACGAAGCAGGCGAAGTCGGAATCCCCGGCGTGTAAGCCACTCTCTTGTTCAATCGAGTTCTCGCACGGGGTTCGCTGGCTGCGTACGCGGATTGAGGAGGATCGTTCCATGCCCTCTCGTGATTTCCTGGATGCGGGAGGGATGAAAAAATCAATCGTTCGAATCAGGAAGCCATTCATTCAACTAGCGGAAAGTTTGACTGAAATCATGGAGCAGAAGAGCTGGCGTCGGCTTCCGAGCCCATACTACTCTATCAAATCATCATAATCATCATTATATGTCCAGGTATGACAACCGTGAGTCATCGCCACCTTGAAGCTGTTCTAGCCCTAGCCGCTGTCGCAGCAAACGTCCACAGTCCGCCCGCACAGAACCGATACGCATGCAACTTTTGCTTCTATCCGCAGACATTAGTATTCGAACCATTCTCGCATTGAGAATCCGACGAATAGCTCCCGCCTGTCTGATATAGGAGCCGGCTGTGGCCACGGACGGATGCGATGAAAAATCACAAAATATCGCATTCAAGCCTGAGCTGTCGGTCGAGAAGCAATCGGGACCGGAAGCGAGTGTTCCATTCAGTAGCTTGAAAAAAAACGGGGACCGTGCGTTCTCTCTCGTGACAGACTGATCTCACAGACGACGAAAAACAGTCAACCAATCGGTTCATCTCCCCGGTATACGTACGACTCGGCAACGATTGTGCCTGGAAGCTAGTCTGAACTCGTCGATGGAATTGACGCACTCAGGAACTTGAACACGCTCCGTAAGACTCACCACACTACGGCGGAGGATGAGCTCGAAACCGAATCAACTCACCTTCCCGCATGATCGACATTGGAGCGTAGAGCCCAGAATTGCCTCCAAATGGATCTGACAACGACGCGTCGTGTTGCCTCTGCGACTTTTCTGAATTCTGGTCCTGTACAGTTCGACACCCTGCCGGACAAGTTCTCCGGCAGTTTGATGATATTTTTTCTGTTGCAGCGCTGTGTGGCTTCCCCGGTGGTATGGTGAATGCTGGAAGAGCGCGGGGAAAATGTTTTCGTCGGCGCTTACCCTCGCACATCCCTAGCCGAGGCAGTTCGCCCAAAGAGCAGACGAAGTCCGTGCTCGTGAGACAGTGCAGCGCTCTGATCGGTACGACGGAGCCGACTCTTCGGAGAAACGCGGCTGAGGGCTTTCAGATATTACGGCGGAGGAATGAAAGTCGAGTCCCACGAAAAACCTCACCCAGGAGCCGATGTTAGTCACACGTCGTCCCGTTCCCTACAAGTTGATGGCAGCAACGACCACCTGCGCCGAACTGCCTCACCTCGCCGTGGGACGGATAGTTCTTTCCAGCTGACTCCCTAGGGCTGTGCCTAGACGATCGGCAACATCATCGCCACCATCACTGGCAGCGAGGAGACTCAGCAGCCCAGCTGTGGAACGTCGTCCGTTTTTACGGCGGCTCTCCATAGAGAAGAACGTCTTCCACCGAGTCGTGTCTGTTCCGTCCGTCTGAGTTGATCTGAAGTGTTGGAGCCATGTAACGATGTTCTTCGATTCGGATTTTGTTTCGACTAGCTAGGGATGTACTTCGGTGGTGGCTGTTCTTCCGAACACCAGTGAAAAGGTCTTTTCTGTTCACCGACTAGACGTACAAGTTTCTCTACAGAAGGCATCGCGATGAGGAAATTCCTGCCAATGGTTCTGCTTCTTCTTCTGGCGGCTGTGCGCTGCCAGGAAGCTGGGCCTGATCCTGAGGAACTTTTCAATGACACTGCCTGTGAGTACAACGATCGGCTTTCGAAGCGTGATTTTCCGTGCTCTCGCATGTACCCGGTGTGGACAGCCTTGAATCGATAACATGTGATGATTCGGAGGGGATTTTTTTTCCGAACTTAAGGTTCTCCATTGTTCGAGTAGGGAGGATTCCGTTTTGGTTTGCGGTCAGCCGCGAACGTGAATACGAGGCTTTTAGAGAATAAAAACTATTTTCACGAACGAGACCGAGCATTTAGTTGGGTCCCTTTCGCCGTCGAGCTTTCATGAGACGCGGATGACAGCTTCGGCGAAATTTATGAAGACCATCGCCAGACTAGTCTGATCCGCTGTCTCGGCTCCGTGTATCGGCTTCGGAACCGGAGGTGGCAGAGCTACGTGTACTAACCGGTGTCCGCGTTTCGTGAGCGCCTTTCTTCAGTGCGGCTCTCCCGGGCTTGCTCACGGAGCGGAGAACTCACGAAAGAATGGACTAGCGAAAGAAATCGAGAAAAGCATCTGCCCCAAAGTTCGAAGAAACTAGAGAGGCGTCGTGATCGGTCTTTGATGTCGAGTCACTTCTTTGAGAACTTCTGCGAGGGCTCGAGTCTAGCTCAGGGCGAAAATGGATTTGGGAGGGCGGGCGTGTATCTTCCCCCCGGTGTTTGCCGATGAATTCCAAAGCAAAGCTTTTACGCCAAGAATCGTCACGAGATGTTTCAATGTTAGTGTTCGACGGAAACGGAAACATTTTTCTGCAGCGGCGGCGTTCGAAGCGACGGTGGCTGGCGCCGCCGCCGCTGTTTCTGCGGCTTTGACTTCTCATTACTCGATCTCGTCTCGAAGATTCTGCTGAATGGATTACTCCGAGCGGCTAAGCCGCTCCTCTGAATCCATCGGAGCTTGACACACCTACACGGTCTTCGTTTATGAAGGCTCTCAAGTGAAACATACCTGATCCGAAGATGGCGTATCGGCAGACCGTCGGATCGTCGGGTTGCTCTTTCAGGAGAAAGTAATCTGTCCATTCCGCACGTGATATGGACAGGTGCGAGTTGTTTTTGTCTGGATCCATGCTCGTGGAGAAGGAAGAATAAATATTTGTGGATCGCGCATTCACACTCCCGAGTCGCTGAGCGAATTCGGATGATGCTCGGAACGCTCATCGGAAGTTCTCCGCTCTTCGGCCTTTCTCTACTCGGACGGAAATATACCTATTGATGCATATCGGCTTGGAGTCTCAAGGCAAGGAGGACCAAATCTGAATGAGACGTGGGTCAGAAGAAGGACCGGTTAGAGTCGAAAAATGGGAATTACTGATTGAGAAGCTAGGAACTCCCGGCGAGGATAGATATTCCGAATACTTAGCCGATAAGCTTCCAGCCTGCGAAAAAGCAAACGACTTCTGTTTGAGTGTCCCAGAGCATCGTCTATCTTTATGGCTCCGATGGCGGTAGATGCGAGCTTCGAGCGTTGCTGTTTCTACATGAAACCACACTCGAGGCAGGCAACGCATGCGATAGGAAGTGGCAAAAGAATTCGAAACGGTCGCTATGAGAGCGAACTCATACAACTCATAAACCTGTGTGATCGCATGAGTGAAAATGATCGAGAACGAGCGCCAAAGAGTTTAACGTCGTTTGTTTAGAACGAACATCAAGTGGAACTCGGAGCGCGGATTCCAAGGGATCCGGCTCTCGATCAATTTGATCCAATTCGAAACGAGTCCATCCCAGCCGACTGAGATTCCATTCATCACTACGGTAATTACGTCGGTGCCGAGTTCAAACACAGAGACCCGCGGGGCTTCAATTGGTTCAATTACCGTCTCATCAGGTGCAATAATCATGGTGATTAGAGGCGTAGAGTCAACACCGATGCTCACACGACAAAACGGGATGTCTGGTTCCTGCTCGACGATTTGTCGAAAGCGCTCGTGAATTAATCCAAAAATGAATGCAAATGCATACTGGCCTATTTCGAACCTCGGCACCGAAGCGTGATGTATGCTGCCGGTTCTGCATCTGTCACAAGCCCGACTTACAAGTCAACAAGATCGACTTGAGAGTCGACTACAAAATTAAGGATGGCGCTTACGGAGGTGGATGCCTCACATTCCTCCTCTACATAGAAAATTCTTATCTCACTGTCCCGGATACCTATGTTTTCCCTGCCGTAGGACGCTAGATGTTCGATGCCCGGGAACCGGCTCTGAGTCATCGCGGTGAGCGCATTATTCTCCAACCGAAGCTACGATGAACTACCTCATTCCTCATGACCGAAACTATGATATTGAATTATCTGCGGTCGCACCGCTCCGGACCACTTTCGTGTCTTAATTCCAAGTCCGCCCCCGGTGCTTCGGGCGCGCTCAAGGATTACCTCTGCAGAGTGTCGGACCGCTTTCTGCACGAGGAAGTGTCAGCGTGATTGTTCGGATATCGGTCCTCGGAGTCGACGTCACCTCCGCGGCACGGCAATGTTCTTGGGAACTGCCCGACGATATTCATAGATTTCTATTCTTGGTCGGTTTCATGCAGAAAAAACGCCTCTTGATTACTCTACCCTCGTCGAATCGTCTCATTCAGCTCGACCGAGCTAAATGAGCGGCTGCGTGCGCCCGCGTACAACGCTCGTATGTACGATTTCGCCGTTCTGCATCACATGTCAAAGCTGAGAAATCTTTGTGCGCCGCGAGCACCTCATCGGGTCGGTGTCCGGACCAAATGGTCGGTCGTCCGAGCTCGAGCGGCTTGCCGGCCACAGACCGGCAAGTTTCTCAATGCCGGCGAGTACAACCTTTTCACTGCGCCATGCGAGATCTCCTGAGCAAATCTGCAGAGTTTCCGCTTAGAGAAGTGTCTACATTCCGTTGTATCAGATTCTCCGTGACTGTTCGATCATCTCGGGTGCAGTGTTCATGAAAAACCGCTTGAAATATGGGTCGAATCGCAGTCTTGTGTATTCTACGCCACCACCGACCAGCGGCATCGGCAGTCGACACCTAGTCGACAAACTGTCCTCGCAGAGAATGTTGTCTTCATGAGCGCCGCGGGCTTAGGAAGTGAGTCGCGCTCGAGCTTCTCCTTCAGACGAGCTTTTCCGTCATCGCTTCAATGACTGGTCGATCGGTGATGTAATGTTGTATCCGAAGATCGCGCCTAGAATAACATTCTTCACGTTGCTCCCGGAAAAGCTTCTGGAAGTGTTACTCGAACTGATCCCAGAGGGATTGATCGTTTCTGGTTGTCAGCCCAGTCGCCGATATAAGCATGATGATTCTATTTCGCGCGTGACCCTCGACCCATTGTCACACGAATAACTTTCCCTCTTCAAGAGTCGAATAGCTCGTTCGTTTTCTCCACAGAGGAATCCCTTCGTCGACCCCCTTTGGTTTGCTCTCACCTCCTCATCCGCACGCTGCTCGCCAAATATCGTTCCACGTACCTACATAATTCTGACTCGATCAGACACGTCTGGTCTGTCGTTCGTAACATACGCCCTTTGCCGTTTGAGTTTTGGGTCTCTGATCCCTTCGGAGTTGTCTCGGCGAGTTTCCCGAGTGCGCCTGACATTCTAGCTCACGCTACCGATATTGTCGCCACGGCCACTTCCCGACCGCATGGTTTCGGATTTAGTAGGACGTTCAGAAAGAAGGTTCCTCTTTCAGATGGATTCGCCAACAGCGTCGTTCTCCTGACCGACATTGGCTCTTTCATAGGCCATAACCCACCCCTGGGTCCGAAAAGTGCGTTCGACTCGAGTGATTATTTGGCGTGATTTAAATACGAGAGCTCAATATCAGATGTTTCCACGAGAACACGCGCAATCGAAATCTTCTGTACTTCAAATCCATCATCCACTCGCGAGAGATCGTTTATCGACTTTTCGTCCTTTGGTGGATTGCGCCAGGGTTCGAGTTTCTTCACAAACGCTCTCGTGGTGCTATATATCGTAGTCTAAGAAATTCAGCCAACAGGTGTTCCTGTCCGTCGGAAGGGAGTCCATTCGAATAAGTTGAAGCGAGCGACATCACTCGACGCTGTGACCTGTGACCTTATGCACGATGTTCTCCCATCTGAGTGAGAGAACAATGTCGGATTCCCCGCAGAAATCGCCGAGACTCTGGAGTAGCCTGCGCTCCGCGCGAATCCAATGTCAAGATTCCTATTGGGTATCATTGGTCCGTGGGACCGATTCTCTCAATCAGAACTGCACGCTCCCGTAATTTTTCTCCCCGCCATTGACCCGGACCCTCGAGACCATGGATTCAGCCTCGATTTCGGATTTATCGGAGGATGTCCTCCAATGAAGTCCTTTGTCCGTGGAATTAGCCTCGCAGTAGGCCCCCTTTCACGACTCTCGCGTCTTCCTCGTCAGTCGATGGCATCCTAATTTCCGATCCAAGTTTTGACTGACTGAAGTGATCAGAGATCTCGCATATCACACGCAACCCGTCGGGCCGACCGACTCTGATTGACCCCGGTGCCAATAAATTCCGGCAAAGCCATCATGTTCCCTGGAGACCGCTAACAACGTCCGTGACATTCACGCCGTGAACGACCAATTCCAGAATGGACGAGGGAAGCTGCCCAGGTTGAGTGTATCGATTGCCCCATGATGATGATGATCCGTAGCACTCATCAGAGAAGCTCAGGAACGAGCGTCTGGCTCTCTGGGACTCTCTGTCGGGAAGCTCGCTTGGAATGAACTCTTCGGCTTCGATTCTGCTCTCCTCGAGAATCGTAGAATTTTCAAGAGCCTCGCCTCCCTTCGAGTGCCGCTGATGCGCCAAAGGTAGCGGAAGGCTTGACCGCGATAGCAGGAAAGTCTTTGTGCTACGTCGAGACAATTGAGAGGGTAGCTCGAAACGCCAGTCTGCCGGCCAGCTAGCCAGCGGCTTTTCGACTTCATGAGATTATCTGACATAATGGGCTCGCTTGAAGTCTCGGCGAGTGTTCTCGCTGTCCTCCCAATGTATCGAGGGCGAGCGGAACACATCTCATTCTGAGCGAGGCTCTTAAATAGCGAGCATATCATTCCGCCTTCCCCTCGTTACGGTCTATGTTGTGGGCTTGTCAAGCGATACTTCACGCGCCCAGTCTCGTTTGATGGAAACACTGCTCTCTTTCATTAGGGGAATCCGACTTCCGGGTCTCAACAGAATTCCCCCCCTTGAATAAACGTGGAGCTCCTTCAAGGGAGAATTTTTCTAGGTAGGAATGATCGTACGTCGGAATCCAAATCGGTGTCTCCGCGTGTCCGGGGGGATCTCGGATGGAGCATGTCACCCGGGCAATCTGCTCGACGAATTTGCATGCAGAGATCGGAAGCTCCTGGATTCCGAAGGTTCGAAGAGTTTCCGGTCCGATCGGCCTGAAGGGAACTTGCCCTAGGATGCACGGTCTGTCGCCTCAGCGCCGTTGCGTCTGCCTGCGGAAATTCTTGTCGGAGTTTCATGCTCTGTCGTTGATAGGGAGACCCCTAATCCCGTTCTCTCACTCAGGCTGACAATCACTTTGCATCACGCTCGCTTGAGTTCTATGATTCCATCGAATGAACCGAGCCGAAGAGATATCGGTGCTATATTTCGACGGCCCCGATCGGAGTCTTCGCGCCACTCCTGGGTAGAGCGGGGATCGTTCCCAATACTCTAGTTTGACGATCTCCGCGAGACAAACGTGTATTGTGCCGTTGTGGTGCGAGCATCTGGCTTTACTTTGCCGTCTCCGAGATCCCTCTACGGCGGAGGGCTTCCCGGGAACGTTTCTGTTGCGGGGAAGGGAGTCTTGCGCGTATGCGATATTTTCCGGCACAACCTTCCCGTCTGAACGAATAGTTATCACTTCAGGAATTAAACCCAAGGCTTCGGAGGGAAGCGTACACACATACAGACGTATGGATCCGAGTTCTCATACTGCAATTGATTTCATTTTTCAGCTTGCGAGGTGACCTCATCTTGCGACGATGTCGAAGGCTTCGAAGCAATCAAGCAGCTCCATCGGCAGTTGGACGATGACAAATCAGGAACCGTCGAGTTATTCGAGACTGACGGTTTCATCAGGTAGGTCCGCCACTTTATCCATTGTCGACTTGAGCCGCACGATGACGACTGCCCGTATTGGAAATTGAAATGACCGAGAATCGAGATATGCTGGGAATCGATGAAGGACCCCATCATTTCAGGGGGGAACTGCAGAACCCGAATGGCAACGAGCGACAAATAAAAGCTTTCCACGGCTCGGATACAAGCATTTCAGTTCTGGAGATGTGGTTGAGTTGGAAAAAGAGTGAAGGTAAGCCGCTGAATAACTTCAAAGCTCAATGCCTCCTTCTCGAGATATCGGAGAAGCTCATCTCATTTGGAACCCAATTCTTCCTCAGTTCACAATTGGACCGTCGAGGAGACGGTCGCATGGCTCGTCGATTCCGTCGAGCTCCCTCAATACGTCAGATTATTTCACGAAAACCAAATAGACGGCGCAAAATTGCCTCGAATGGCGATCAACAGCAACCACTATCTCGGAAGCGTACTTGGAATCCGGGATCCGATCGCTAAACAGAGACTCGTCCTGAAAGCGATGGACGTTGTTCTTTTCGGACCGCAACGCAATCACAATTGGCTTAAGGACGTTGTTCTCGCGGTCGTTCTCATATTCGCCACGACGATCGTCTGGTGAGAAAAATTCGAAAATCCGGGAAGAAGGGATTTTGGAGTCTATTCGGCGAAACTCTGAGCGACTCGAGATGATTCAACGACAATTACTGAGATTGACCAGCCCCCGATCTGGACCTTCGCCTGGAGAGCCATGTTCAAGTTCTCCTGTCATCTTCCAGGTACCTCTACCGACAGAATCGACGGTCGCAGTTACAAGTACAAAAGATGATGAAAGAAATGGATTCTCTCCAGAAAGCAGAAGACGCACTCGTAGAAATGCAACAGCAATTAGATAAAGCTCGCAGCAAGCAAGAAAGCCTCCAAGAGGAAATCTCCAACAAGAGCAAGGAGGGCACCGGTCAGTCTTGCTCGAATGCGCTTGATTAAATCGAAGCTGTCGGAGAATATCCCAAAATCAATTACGAATGGAAAACAGGGAGAATAAGCCCCACATTTGCGTTCCCGCAGCCTACAGCGACCCCGACAACATGATCTACAAACTACAAGAAGAAGTTCGTTTCCTGACCGACGAGCTTGTCAAAGCCCAGAATCTCCCGCGAGGGACAGTCCCACCTCAGCTCCAGCATTGGCTGCAGCTCACGCATGAAATCGAGTTGAAGAACTACCTTGGCAAGAAGAACGCTGCGGAACATCAACTCCACAAAGCGAAAGACGAATGCGAGAAGCTGAGACGAAAGGGACAGAGCTTCATGGGACCGTTCAGGTTGACCCATGGAGGCAGCATCGATGAGATCGATACGACCATCCTCAAAGCTAGGTGAATATTTCTATTCATTCAAATCGACAAAACACTGACTGTGGTCTATCCCTATCAACGACGACGAAATGTGTCGAGTCGTATCGTCGTTTTCGTCACAGGGATTGTTGTCAATCAGTTAGCCAGACAGTCAGTCAGTCAGACACTGTGTCAGTCTATCTCGAGATGCACGGAACGCCTGTCAATCTTCTCTGACAGAAGACCGCACGTGACCTTCACATCGTCTGATGATCTTTGTTCACGAGGCACCATTTTTGAAGTGCTCTGAAGGAGTCGCTGATCCGTCTGGAGTCTGGAGCGCTAGGCACCGATATCCGAATTGAACCACTAAATGTTTTCATTTAAGGATTAAAGAACTAATTAATTTCCGATTCCAGACAAGCCCTGTCGGAGGTCACCCAAGATTTCACGGAACGATTGAATCGATGGCGACAGATAGAACGGCTATGCGGATTCAATATCGTATCCAATAGAGGTCTCGTTCATTTAGAGGCTCTTCTGCATGGTCATGCCGTGCCTCCACATGCTTATAACACGCCCACTGCCGGTAATGACCATTCCCTTCCATTTGCTCACTGACTCGATCCCTTCGGAATGTTTTCTTACGTGGCGTGTTGATTTACCCCAACAGGTAGCACAAAGAGCGTCATTTCTCGCTCTGGCAGTGAGGGAACCATGAGCGACGACGATAGCCCTGGGTCGTACAACAATAACATGAGTAGTGGTGAGTTTCTGCTTGTCGGATTCGCAGTTGACTGATTTTGGTCCGATGTTGTCATATCGCTCCACGCTCGATTGAATAATACGTCGTTCGAGATTTAGCGAGTGAATCTGTGGATGAATGGGAGTGTCCTTACTAATAATTCCTTCAATTCGTGTGAAACTTTGAACTTATCAAGTGAACCAACTTCTTCGCGGATCGACCGCCATTCTCTTGGCGCCTTCAATACAACATCAGTGCTGTCTCGAAGCTGATAGCAAGCCTCAGAGCGGTGCTGTCAGACCGCAAACATTGGAGCGGCGGCGAAGTAAAAGCTCGTTCCCGGAAGTGGACGGTACGCGGGTCATGTTGCTCGGGCCTGCGCATCTCCCGCTCAAAGCGGTCGGATGCAGTTCGTCTCGCGTTTGTTTTCCCGTAGAGCAAGGCATTTTCGTTCGATCGGATTTCTCCTCGTTCGACCCGTGCATGAATCGCATAATGTCCGGATTCCCGAAAGCTCGAATGCGACCGTCGTACATTCATTCATTCATTCCGTTCCTTTCACTTCCGATCTATGGTGCTCGGCTTTGTTTCCGTAGATTCATCGATCGTTCCCTGTGACTCCTCTCGTGACTCTGTTCCACCGAGTCATCGATCGATTGCATAGCCCTCTGATTCGTCGCCTGATTCATTGCAGTTGCATCGACCACGAGTGCGTCGATATCCTCGAAAAGCAACGCTGTCTCCCATCAGGGCCGGCGCGTCGGCATGCAGCCCCTTCAGCCGCTGCAGCCAGTGTACCCACACGAATACTTCAATCAGATAGAGAGTCAACAGGCGCTCCTCAATCATGTAACCTCACCTGGACCGCCACCGGGAGCGCATAGCTCCTTGAGGAGAGAGGAGCCAGACGGTGACCTCACACCGCAAGCCTGTCCGAATCCCGTGCATTTCCAGATGGGAGGGGATGGCATATCGTGAGTCTGAGAGCCGCGTAGATAATGTTTTCATCCAGAGGCGACGATAATCGCTGAATAAGAAGTCAGAGGTCAATGTCTAATGATTGATTGATTAATTGATCGATTGATTGATTGGCAGGCCCTCACGGTCCGAGGCGATTAGCTCATTCGCCTCGGGCAACTCGAAGTTGGCGCTCATGAAGGGAACGAGTTTCGATGGCTCGATAGACAGCCCTCTGGAAGAAGACACAAACGGGAACAGGATCAAAAATAAACGAAAAGGTTGGTTCCGCATGCACAAGTCGAGACGGAAGGATAACTACCGCTAATCCAGAGCGCCGTCTGCGGCTCCTCGGAGAACGAATCGTTTAGACTAGACCTCCAAGGCGACCGCAGGAAACCTAATCACGATCATTGACGCTTCCAGGAAGTAAACGACGTAAGTTGTGAGCGACTGAAGTGAACTAAATCCTAGCCTTTCAAACTCAAAAGTCTTGCTGTTGCTTCCTGCACTCCTTGTACCTCCGCAAAATCTCTTTCGAGAGAGAGGAGAAAAACATTACCCAATTTCGATTCCCCCCTGTTCTATTACCAGAGACTTCCTCCGTCGCCTCGGCTGTAGTTCACAAAGTGCACCGTTTTCTCTTACAGCATCTTGGAACCTTCTGGTTTTCTTCTCTCCTCTGACTCTATCTCTTTTTCAGGCAGTGCTTTCATGAATGCAATACGGAACTCCTTCACATCCGCGTCCACCCTCGTTGACTCCGAGGACAATTCATCGAGAGGTTCAACTCCAGCTCTTGAAGACAAGAGGAAGAAATCCGGAGTTTTTGGAGCCATCAAGAAAATCTCTCGCGGTACTAAGGAGAAAACCACGCCTGAGCGTGACAGCTGAAAAGCTCACTTGATGTAAATACCCCGTACTATGCACAAACAGTGTTCTTGTCACGGAATCGTCGATCATGTCGATTGACGTGGCGGCTGTGTTCAGCATCGAAAATTCGAAAAGAGGAAATCCTTTCGATGTGTAAAGTGTACCATAGAAACTCGGTTGAAGCCGTCGAGCTCCGCGAGTTGGCATCTCAACAAATCTCAAAACCATTCAGTCTCACCCGGGCTCATTATGACAACATTTCGATTGGTGAGGAGTGAGGAGCCCATATGACATTGATGCTATCAGCTATAATTTGAACAATATGCTCCAAGCCCCCCCCCCCCCACGCGGACGCGGGACCTCTAGACTGCTGTGATTATACATGCTCGTCAGGGAAGATGGCAAAGAAGCGCCTCCTCGCAGCGAACGGCTTCCGAATAGTGTTCATACTATACGTTTACATTATTTGAATCAATCGATGAAATTTCCTCAGGCTCTCTATTCCGGCGGACAAAACCCACGGATACTTCCTCTCCGGGGGATTTCTACACACAACGAAAATAGAGATGATACCCACATAGATCTGTTCCATTCAAGTCTCGGAAGACTTCACCGGAGCCTCCCATTCTGAACTTGAAATCTCGCCGACGGAGGGTATTCCGATTTCTGCCCCTGAATGTAGGATAGGTCAATCGAATGTGCAGCGGGTCAGCGAATGGTTGTGGCTCGCATTTTTTCCGTTCGATTCCCCCGAACATCTTAAAAAAATATGGATAAGAGCTGTCGCCAGTGACTCTTGCCCTCCGATCGAGTCCTAGATGGGAACTTGATTTCGTTCGACGCAGGATTGGCGAGCCTCCATCCGCGCATCTCGAAATCCTACGGTGAATAAATACGCTATATTTTATCTTGAAATTGGAGCATAATCTATTGAAGAGAATCGAGTCTTTAGGTTTGGTCTGCTTTCGAGACGCCGTGAACTAATCAAGGACTTTTTATTGACTCATCCATCAGATAATATCGGTACACTCGAATCAAAATTTCTGAAGTCATGGTATATCGTATCCTCGATAGGTTGCGCTGCTCTAAGCCCCCGAGAGAGTGTGATCGCGGCATCGACTCCGCTGACATCCAGCTCTCGGTCGACACCTCTCGCTCGCACATCACACTCTTTCAGGGAACGAATGTAGTCGGGCTTTTTCAAAGTCATTCCTATCGAAGTCAAAGATTGACAAGCTACGAAACGACGACGGCCGTCGTACGTCAGTCGAGTTTCCCTCTATGTACAGTGGCTCAAGGATCAATAATATGTTGTTGTGTGGCATCATACCTACCTAAGTTACACGATGTTCGAACCTAGTCTTACATGCTGCGTGCTCTTTTACTTCCAGAAGTCCGGGAAACGGACTAGCATCGATTTGAGACGTTTGATTCAGTCATTGAAGAACGACTGACTGCTTTTTTGATTCTAGTAGTTTGATCGTTCGAGTTTCCTCACACCTTCGTGAGAACAAGCAGAGCTTTTACAAACTATGGATTCTTGCTCAAATGGATCCGGAACGAGTTCATGGATTCCCGCTGCTCGAGGCGACCTCAAAATCAGTCAGCATTTCGCACACAAAAATTGAAGGGTACAGGCATGGGGTGACAGGCCGAACAATAATAACATACGCCTTCCGATTGGGCCTCAGCTGCCCCAAGTCCAGCACGCGGAGACACGGATGACACTCATAGTACACGGGGCGCCGGCCTAGGTTTTCGCTGAGATATTTCCACGAGACATCGAAGAACGCTCTGGGGCTATGATCCGATTGGACACTTCTGGTTTTCAATAAAAGGGGAAATCGCGTTGGTGGGACGCCGGGGACGATTGGGGGAACCGGCGAGTGAAGTACGGCATGGGTATCTCTCCTCGGATTCTCAAAGCCAATCTAGTAAACCAATCAGAGGTTCGGTAAGTCGTCTGCAGGAATACACGAGTTGATCCCTAGTACGTGTTTGTATTAGCCTTCATAAGTTTGGATCGAGAGCCCAGTCGGAAACGTTCGCAGGGATTCGATTCATATTTTCTCGCTATCAGAAGCAAATTTATTGTGGACAAAGAAGGAATACGCGAATAAATATGTACACGACATGGAAGTTTCCGAGGCTCATCGTCGATTTTCCACCGGATAAAGATTCCCCTTCTCTGCGTCCGCTACGGAGTACATGCGCGGGTTAAGATCGAAATCTAGCTCGATATCATGGCGAAGTTGGCGATCAATCGCTCGTCATCATCATCGTCCCGCTCTAAGTTATCTTGCTTCTTTGCTGTCTTGTATGCATGGCTCCCTGAAAATCTTTCTCCCGCGGGCTGGAGCACTCTAATTTGGTTGGTAGGGAACAACGTAGGTGGCAGGGAAATATCCTCGTCGACTTGCGATCTCGCCTTCCCACCAGTTGGGATCGGTGCGGTCGATAACGGTGATGATTTCTCCGCGACGGAACTCGAGCTCGCCGGCTTCCTGAGGAGTGAAATCGTACATGGCGCGGACAAGACTCTGGAAAAGAAGCGCTTTTTTAGAGATTGCGCCCAGAAAACGGAGACCAACGACCACGCCCATGCTCCACCGAGCGAAGAGTTCCGATCTCTGCTCCTAATGGTCGACCACCCTCACACGGTCAAAACACATACACGTTGCGAGCGAACTCGAGTGTGGGTCTTGAAAATCGCTTCGTCTCTGTGGGGATAATACTAGAATTTCCGGCACTGCAGAGGGCTTTCTCGGACCCACCACAGGAAAGCCTGGTAGGGCAGGAGAGAATCCCCATCAACGGCTTCGGGATCGAAGCTTCTCCGGGCCTAAGGGTCCATTCCGGATGACTCATTCCCTGCTTGTCATCGTTACACCGCTCGTCGGGCTGAAAGCTGTCAGAGCTCGCTACTTCTAATTATGACACAGCGGATCCGGAGCTCCCCGGAAATCGGAGGGGAGCTAGGTCGTGTCATAAATGATTAGGGCGATATAGATGCGGGAGATGAGAGACATGGGGAAGTGATGGAAGTAGAATGTCCGATTCCGTCGATGGATCCTCCAGGGAATAGGGTGGAGCTCGAATCGGGGGTTCAAATACCCAAGCGAGTCTCGCGAGGTGAGTTCCACAAGTATCAAAGAACCGAGTCGATGCCTGAAAAGGCGCAGCCCCTCTCTCCCGACCGTATCGTTGCTTTAGGCGACGATGGGAATTTTCTTCTAGAAAATTCATCGACAGACGGGGGATAAGACGGATCCTGATTTCGGATCAAGCGGGACTCATCACAGACTCTACGGGTGTTTTTGGATGGCGCATAGGAATCCATCGATTCATCGACGTCCCATTACAATGGGGGAGGTCGCCTCTCATCCCGTGACAAATCCTCGCACCATCTGCGGGAAATCAGAATGGGGCCTCAATATCGGCCGAGGAAACAGACGAGAAATCTTTCGACGTGCAAACATAAGCTAGGCATTTAATGAACATCTCCTCGGGATCTCTTCATTAACTCCTCGCGGCAGAGACTCTGGCCCGCCCTCCTCGGACAAACCGCATGGATTAACGCTCAACGGAAGAAAAACGATGAAGGGGTGACACATTACCTCTCCTACCTCATCGGGAAGCATGTCCCTGAGCTTGATGATCTGAGATCGTGATACGGAAGACGAACGGTGATAGTCGACCAGTTCGTTCAGAGACGGAAACTTGACAACCCACAAGAAGAACATGCCGGTGGTGTCACGGAGGACCTGGAACGAGATAGAGTCATCCTTGAATAAGTTCACACGAGCGCATCGTATGCTACGGACGGATGCAGGGCTTCATTCTTATGTTACGAGAGAGATCTACGGAAAGGCGAGCGAGTAGGTGCAGCACAAGATGTGGGCACCCGCTCGTCAATTCGAACGGCTCGTCGGCTTCATTCCACAGGGGAAATCAACGCGATGGAGGAGCAATATGATGGAGATTGCAAGCCATTTGCTTTTCGACTTCGCGCTATTGTCGGTGCCTTTGTGTCGTTGGGCTATTCTCTTCCGTCCTTCACGCGTCCCGAAACAACGCCCCAGGCCACAAAAGACGAAAGATGGCCACCGACAATGCGACGAGACGCTAGGCAGCTCTGAAAACATGCACTGACACACCCAAACACTTTTCCCTTGGCAAACGATGTCAGTCTCCCGAGCGTAGCTAGTAGCTGGAAATCATCCACCACGTTCCCTTGTCGAAGTACCGAGCACCCTTCTCCGCTTCGAACCCCCCCCCACCCCATGTTCAGGGCTTCGGGGTATTTTAGAGTATGCATCTCGATTAATCCCGAGAGTTTCGGCACCGCCCGCCTCTACTCCTGGGTCCGAAGTCGCTCATCGGACATCTCTTAAGACCTCAATCGCGATTCCGTGAAAAAGACTATTACCTTGAAGTGTTGGACACCGTCCCCACATTTGACAGAGAGGGAGAAATCCCCGGGGCTGCTTTCACTGACGCGGATCAAGAAAGCTCCTTCGTGCTTGTTGCTAAGTAACTTCTCTGCGTCGGCACGCGTTATGCGGCCGTAGTACCTGCGGGGACGAAGTCATATCATCGATGCAGAAGAAACCTCTGCGATTTATCCGAAGTAGGTATACGTCAAGAAGATGGCTCTGGGAAAATCCACATTCGAGAAACCTTCGAGCGGAAATGCGCCCCGAGAAGTCGTCGAAGCAAACTCTTCTTACCAATCATGTTTCCTCATCTCAATGTAGTTCGAGGGGATGAGTCCTTCCTTGCCGTCGAGCTCTGCGCGATACCAATTCATATCGTCCTCCATGTTCAGCACCTGTTGATATGAAATCAGATCCGTTAGGATAATGCGTAAGCCCACTGCCTAGAACACACACTCAGCACCACACAGACATTGATGGGATGTTTGCCCTTCGGTCCCGAGTACACACTTGTTGCTCTGTCTCGGACAACGGAGCTGCCATTTCAGAGAGAAATCTCGGCGAAGGATCGATGGCGGGCAGAGGTGGTTCGTGTTGTGAGCCTGACTCCGTCGGAACTTTTGACATTTGCTCGAATCAGACCTCACACACATGCCGGCCACCCCCTCACCCGACTCGACGGCCGGCTGACCGGCCAGTGAGCCAAACAGTCTACACAGACCGCAGTCATCTCCCGCCATTGTTGTTGTTGTTGTTACCGTTTCACGTGTCGTGAGACTATTATTTCAGTCGCCCTGAGGAAGAATGAGCGGCACCGTCGTTCAAAAATGAAAAACACTTGCCGTCGACCCACAACAGTTTCGCACTTTGTCCGCCGGACATGCACTTCAGGCAGCGAGAGACAACACGGAAGTGACGGGAACGTTTGCAGAGAATTTTCGCGACTATCCCTTTTGCAGTCAGTCGATGATAGGCATCTAAATCACAGATTCCAGCGATGGAGTAGAAGACGAAGATGATCCATACGGAAAGTGTTCAAGCGAACTCTCAGCGGAGCGGCTCTCAGCGAAAGAGGCATGAACACTGCAGACGGGAGGGTCCATTTCCATTATTGAGAATCTGACGAATCAATTCCATTCAGATCGATCCGGGCGGGAGTTTTGCTCCAGAAACCTTGGTCCATTTGAGCTCAAGCGGAGGATGACGCCCAGTTCGGCAGCGATCGGTCGGGCGAGCATTCTGGGGGCTCCCGCGCCCGGAATCGGGGTGATTTTATTTCGGAAACTCCCCGACCGAAACAACAACATCCAGAAGTCTCACAAACTCCCCAGGATGAACTGAGTCCCCCAAACTCTCCAGGTTCATCTGGGATCCGGAAAATGGGCATATTCCCACTCACTCAGGGTTTTCGAATCCAGGGACCGAAAATCGGAATAGACAGCTTTCCGAGGGGCAAGACTTTCTTGTTTGTCAAACAGGGACACGGTACGCTTGAAGGCGATCCGAGGAATAAAAAACTGAAAAAAATCTTTTGTGCTATCCGCTCGAGTGTTCGATTCGGAAATAGTCAGCCTCACTAACAAGCTATCGTTTTCTTCATCGCCAGCTCAGTCGCATCAAAAGGGAAACTAATGCTCCAACCTTGCTGTAGCATCTTTTATTGCTAGAAATCGCGAATTCCGCGAATATCTACCGAGCGCGATGACGCCAAAGCTTGAGGATGACTGGATGGCGATCGTCCCTTGACTGCTTCCAACATTCTCGTCTCCGCAACTTGCGAGGAGTGAACTTGCTCCGATACAGCGGGCTACTTGAAAGTGTTCGAGCGAACCGTCACAGTAAACCCGTATGAGATTCTGCTCGAGAGCTCACCACTTTTGCCGCAGCCGCCAACAAGACACGGCGGGGGTTTCTATTTTTAGCGTCGCTCGGATCCCGTCATGGAACGTGCCAGTGGAGGAACCCATCGGACTTCGCGCGAGCCGACTTCGCTGAGGCTTAATCATCCAGCCGAATCCATTCATACAGGCTTCAAGATGCGGACAGAAGAAGTCTGCATTGCATCCATGCAATCAATTAAGAAACCGCACAGTTCTCGAAGCTCGCGATGCGGCGCCATGAGACCCAGCCCAGCCCGATATTCTTCTCTCGCGAACGAGCGTTCCATCCCGTACCGGAGTTTCCGATTCAGAAACGAGAAGAGAAATCAGAAATTCCTCTCCACGGCGAAGATGGGCGTGATGCAGCCGAAGCAACCGATCGATGAAGCACCCGGAAACAGTTTAGGCCAGAAGCGCTTTGGGTTTGACAGCCTTGAGCAGTGAGGCGTCCAGGACATGACCTAGGCTAGATAAAACCGTTTCCAGATTATGATGAGTTCTGCATAGTATTGTTTTAGCCAAGCTGATTGTCACAAGCCTCTGTCTCCTCGAGTCCTGCCGTCGGCTATAGATATCTGCTCTACCCAAGCTCATCAAGCATTGAGTTGAGAGACGGCTGTTGGTAACGATCTCGCAGATGTGGCTGGCGTCGGTCGCCAGACTTATTATCTAGTCCTGACTCATGTAGAACACGTGCCGAGCGCTTCTGGCCATCGCCTTCGGAAAACCATGGTCACCACCTAAACACTCGGAACTTCGTAAACCGAGAAAAGCGAACCATGCTCGACAGATCGAGTAAACAAGGGATCCTGTCTCATTTGCGCTCCGCCGATTTCCTCGAATAAACACCGTGCCGCTGTTCTCTAAGTCAAGGAAAGGACAGCTAGGATCCAGTTCGCTCGGGTCGGAGCTCTGTCGCGTACGTTGTTCCGAAAGCAAGAGCCGAGAGTGTAGAGTAAGTTTAGGCTGATGTTTGAGCCAAAATCGAGCATTTTCCAACGAACGTTCCCATTGACACCTTGATTGGGTAGCTCATTACTATTGGGGAGCCCTAGGTCAACCATATGAAACTCTCTTCAGGCGTCATCGATACGGCTATTATCTTAGTCCTGAACTGGAACACCTGGGATGTCCTTCTTCCCGAACTGTATCAGGCAGAGATGGACAGGGTAAGAGGGCCATTCCCTACGGACTCGGTCTCATCCTTCCGATTTCGCTTGCAAAGCTCCCATTCTCCGAGGACAAGGCTTTCATTTCGAGCTCTTATCTCATTCCGAAAGTGTCCTTAGCGACTCGATCAAATATCGCGGCGGCAACGGTCACGGCGATGACCACAAACACCGAAGGGGGATGCTCCGATAAGATCGCTTCTCAGAAGACTAACGTCATCATCGCGACAAAATTCCGAGTGTATATCGGAGGCGAACGGAGGAAATCGACACATACATAGATAGTGAGTAGATTCCCGATCTCGCTTGTAGGTAGGTAGGCTGGTTGGCTCGCTCGTCCGCCGTCCATTTGGCCGCTCGGTGGCTCGCTCGACCGACTCATTTCTCGAAAAGAGCAACCAGAAAAAGGTCGACAGCGTAGTAATGAGGAGGCGCTGTTTTCAAATGCCCCGTTTGAGGTGGGGTCCACCAACCCAAGCCTCCGTCGATACTTCTGCTGCCAGTCGCGGCGGCGGCGGTGGTGGTGGTGCTGACGCTGCTGCCAGTGATCCTGGAGCTGGTGTTTCTGACGCTGCTGCCGAACGTACCCCCAGCCTCCCGAGCGCCTGAGCAGCGAGCGGCCGAGCGATCGACATAAAAAATTCCGAGCACCACGCAGTGTCCTCCTCCATTCTTCACCATCTATTCCGCCCGGGAACCTCGAATAACTTCATGGTGGGGGTGTCGGAGAAGGGGCCCAGGGATGGGAGGGCGAAGGGGAATTCTCCCAAACATCCGAAAACTCGATGCAGCGCTTGCACGAACGAATTCCCGAGTTTTGCGGACCGGCGAGCCTCCGAAAGAGCGGTGGATCGCGTCAAGAAGCACGCTACAAAGATCGACCCACGAGCGCGAAGGAACAGGGAAAGTTCAATGTGAGCCGAAAGGGAGATCGACACGGATAGCGGATAAAAAGTGAAACCATACGAGGCAGCCTTCCCCATGAATCAGCAGACGAGTGTACGCTCTAATAGCGTGCGAGCGATTCGGAGAGCCTTCTCCCCGAACAAGTGCCAAGAGGCGGTGTCGCTTCGTGGGACAAGCAGAGTTCGAACCCGAATGATTGTTGGCGCCATTCAGCGAAAGCCCGGTTCCAGGGCTCCGCGTCGAACGCATCGATGTCGAACACGCCAACCGATTTCGTAAATGCATTAGGCTCTCTTGGATGAAGCTAAATGAATGTACTCGAGAAAGGAAGGACACCGTCCGCACAGAGAGAGGAGAGGGATCCGAGGAACAACGCGTTCCGAGAAGCCGATAAAACCCTGACATCGACTTACCTTAAGTACTTGCGCTTTTCGGAAGCTGAGCTCATCACAGGCGGTCGCATTGAAGTCGTGTTTGGCAACAGCCTCCATTCTGTCGGCTAACGGGTTGAGGCGTTTTCACTTCTCTGTCTGTCTATCTCTGGCCAGGCCTATAGCCTACTCCACCGGTCCGTCGTACTTGAGACGTTCACTAGGCGTTCCTTGTTGTTGCTGGTGCCGCTATCGCTGCCGCTGCTGCTGCGGCTGTTGTACTCCGAGACTACAGGGCCGGCAGCACTCGAACAAGTCAATCAGCACGTCGCACAGCGAGGAGACCGAAGAACGACGAGACCACAGAAACGACGGGTGGGCAAACGAAAACGCTGTATACGGCGAACACGCACCTCCGGGACTCACGGAACACACTGAACAGCGACGAAACTCGAACGTTTTCGCGACCGTCCGAAACACGTCGGACCGGATGAGACCAACGGGGACGAGAAACGAGAAACCAAGCGACCAGGACGAGATTGTGCCCTATCGGCGTTTCCACTCGTCGTTGACTGGCCGAGGACGCAGACGGTATGCGAGTCGGTGGGCTGGCCAAACACCGTCTTGTACGAATGCACTTGTTGTGAAGGCACTCTGAGCGATTCGTCGCGACTCCGGCCGGATCGAGGAACGCTCCGTTCACGGGAAATCTACTGACAGCGGGACACAAATAACGTAGTTCACCACCACCTACGACACAACAACACCACCGAAGGAACAGCACACAGCAGCGCACTCACCAGACCCTCGCTCGCTCGCTCAGTCAGTCCGTCGGCTCAAATGCACACACCGACCGCTGCAGCAGCTCGCACAGATCCGGCAGAGGTAAACAACACACAAGATGGCGATCGTCGGCCTCCAGTCTAGCGTTGGAGAGTCTTCTCCTCAACGGCAGCCGCGCCGTTCGCCCGCTAATGTCGGACCGGTCCGCCGTAGACGCGCTGTCCCTCGGGAATTCGGGAATCGAGGACCGGAGAAACGGCGTCGTTCCGTACTATGAGCTACGCTATGATCATATGCTCATTCGAGGATAGGTTAAGACTACGAAGGAACGAGAACTAATGAAGTTCCTCAAATCGAGTTCCCTCATCAGTGTGTGGTCAGTGTGGTCGGCTGGTCGCAGACGAATGTTTCCCGGTCGCTGATGATGATGGTCTCTGCTTCAAAATGACGGAACTCAGGGGTTTTTTATTGCCCCCCAGGAAGCGCTCAGGAATAGGAATGGCTGCAACCGGAAGCAATCCCGAGAATTCATGCGACCGAAATGCAGCATCTGAGTATCAGATAGCGGGCCCCCCTCGTCTGGAATTCCGACGGTCCAGGGAGAGAGTTCCACAAAGTGTCTTGATTGACGAATGTTACTAATTTCGGTCCAAGATATTCCACGAGCCCGCTCGATGCAGAGCAGGCATCTCCGCGATAGGCGTCTGACTAATCATGGGACGGCTTCAGATAGCCGACATAAGGATGAGAGTCCCTTGGTTCGACGTGGGAACTAACCTGCATCATGATCTGAGCCCCGCCCCGCCCCGCCGAGGAACCCCTGATGGAAGCGGCCGTGGGTTGACATCCAATTCTTCACTCGAACTTCTTTCCCCTTGCGGTGGCTCTCCCCTCAAGATGAGATTAGATATATCTGAGGAAGCAGTAAGCGGACCCTATATCTCGATCCGCGCGAAAACTATCTCGAAAACCCGCGAGCTCGGTCCACCGGCTCACAAACGGCACAAGAAAACTTTTCATATGACCTTGCTCATCTCAAGTCTCTCTCCTATCAATGCGTGCCTTGACTCGTTCCGCTGTCGAAATCTGAAGTATGTAGGTCCTCGAAGTCTGCACTCGTACACCGGACGGATCGTCCCGGGCATATCGGGCATTAGAGCGCAAGAGGGGAATTCATCAAATCCAGCGAAACTTGGGGTCGTTTTGGCAAGCTTTAGGAAGCTCAAGAACTCCCACCTCATAGAGAGGTGCCTGGGAGTTCCGAAACATTCAGCTTGTGGATGGGGAAGCCTGCCAGTTTCCCGAGTTCTGTGAGGCGGTATTCCGGGAGCGAGTTGTACCCGTCATACGAGCAATAAGACTACGCTGGGGGTATTCGACTACATGCAGGAAATTTTGGAGAAATCGCATGTGGAGAGGCTCAGTGAAATAAAGAAGCGCCGTCTCGGAATGTGGACGCATCATTTGCGGGAAATGCTCGAGGGAGGATGCCGCCGGCGACAGAACCCGGTGCGAGGATCACAGACGCGACTCATCCACGGAGCCTTCTCACTCGAAGACGGAGGTACTCATTCCAAGAGAATTAGCAGTCCTATTCCTCTCGTCGAGCCGCCGCGCTCAGGTGGGAAACGTTTCGCTGTTCCTATCGCCTGCTTCAGACGCGAGAGAGAAGCTCGTCGGAAATATGAGCCATACATGTGGTTCCGAGAGTGAGAATTTCCACATCATGATGGTACGTGGCTCTGGGCTATCCACAGGACAGCGAGCACGACCGGTAGAAATCCGATGCCCTCGATGCTTCGGAACAGCACGGCTCTTCGCTATCGTGCCAGCTCATGGCCCAGAATATCGAATCGCTCTCGGGCTCGGGACCTAGAGAAAACTTCAAGGAACGAAAATCTGACTAGAACTCCGCAAGTCGTCATCGTTGCCTGGTATGTCTCCACGAGCTATCTCCGAGTGCTACTCGGGTCGTCGACTGTGATCGGGAGACGACGCGCCGACGCACGCGACAAGAAGAATTTAATCGGGTCTCGAAGTATTCCTACGAGGCGGAATACTCGCTCTTCAGAGGGGAAATCTTCCGGACTCTCGAATCACGGTCTCTTGAATGATGAATCCCTGTTTGGCCGAAGGTTCGCGATGCGTCATGCTACTGAACAACTCGCCTCGGTGACCCCTGTCCGGAGGAGACCCGGAACTCGTCGCGCGGAGAGAGACAGACATGTTTCGAAAAGCGGAGAGCCGGAGAAGTTCTTGCAATCAGGCCTCTGTGATCAGTGATCAGACTATGATTAGGACGGAAAGTAGTGGAATCAGAAGCTTGGGCAGCCCGTCGGCTCCTGAAGGCGAATAAGCGTCCTTCGAAGCGCGTCTCTTCATCCATTTTCACCTAAAATTATATTCGCCGCGCATGCGAAGCGAACAAAGGAGTCGCTGGGGTATTCAAGGCCCAGTTGGATCGAGAAATTGAAGATGCTCGACGAACATCCGAGCTGAGGGAATTGGAGCGAGATGACCTTCTTCCCGCCCTCCCCGGCTCATACGAAGCTAGAATTCACGGACAGACATCAACTTCCCGTGCCGGCCTTTTGGGGCTGTGGGGGAGCGCAAAGCTCTAAAGGTTCTGACGAGAGCACGAAGGATGAGAGAGAGGGATAAAATTGAACAAATGTTGACTGAGCATTCACTGGTTTATTCAAGAAGATGTGCTGTCTAGAAGTTAAAGTGGAGGTCTCAGAGCGAGGGCATCCGAAATCGTTGCTCCTTCTTCACATTCTTGGCATGTTCTGCCAGTTGTTGAAAGATGTCACATCGCCTGACCTCCTCCGGAGCTTCAACTCTCCCAACGCACCAGTAATATAAATCCCACTCGTTGGTCGTGCTTCGGTTAATGAGCTCGTCGTAGCTCCGAAGTTGATCCGCGTTGAACTTGTCGAGGTGCTCCTTCGCGAATGTACTCAAAAGCAAGTCGTTCTCCAACATTCCTCTCTTCCGACTCTGATAAAGAAGTCTTGCGCGGAGTTTCTCGACACTCTCCGTAGATCCCGCCTGAGCACTGTACCAACTCCTCAGCACTGTGGGCAGGACCGATGCACGTCGAATCATTGTCAGGAGTCCTTATGTCGTCCTCGGGGAACTACCGAGGCACGAAAAGTCCGAAGCGCACCGAGTAAGTAGCAGATTTCCTCTCCGCTCAAGGTCTCTCACACACAGTCTGTTAGCAGACGACGTTCGATGTCATCACAGATGATCCGGTGTGTTCGGTATATCCGAAAATTGTGTTGATCATCTGGACGGCTCTCGATCGTCTACCTCGGATATACTAGGCAGCTGGCGATCTTCTTCCGCTCCTATGTGAGAGTTGAGACGAGTTGCGTGGTTCCAGTATCCCTGTGAGCATCCATGGCCGAATTCGAGGCTCCAGTGAAGAAAACAATCAAGCACGCAGGCAGTGGACCGAAACCGACATTCGAGGATGGAACACGCATTACATTTCACTTCAAAACCCAGAGAACAGATTCCGACGATGAGAGTGATTATATCGACGATTCTACAGCGCTCAGAAAACCTATGGAGCTCATACTCGGCAAGGCACGTCTCTATAGAACACTGTTCCTTATCATGCGGGGTAGTCATGTGAACCTTTGAGTCGACCGCGCCATAACTGATAAGTCTAGCTCAGAGCTGATGGGTAGACAGCATTTTTCAAGCAAAGCACCGCCGTATCAGTATGGCTCATGACGGAAACGTGATGCGGTTCAAATGAGGGGACAACGAAAATTCGCTTTTCCAGGAGTTTAAATTACCAGTTTGGGAAGAATGCTTGAAGTCGATGGCACTCGGGGAGGTTAGCGAATTCATCGTCGATAAAAGATCGTGCATCAACTATTTTCTCGTGGCGAAAGCCTACCGTCAATATGCAGGTGAGCATCTCAGGTGCCTCGAATTCACGTCCTTCTGCGACCTCCTGCCGGATCTCGAACAGTCGGCGCTAAGAGCTCTTTTTCCAGGCATCATGGCAGCTCCAGAGAGTCATCACTGCTGCGGCACGATGCTCAAGGAAAGAACTGGCTGTCCGAAACTGGATCTATTGCTGGAAAAACCGTGTGATCTGAAATTTATCTTCGAACTAGTCAACGTCGAGAAACCTGGCACTTACGAGAAAGAGAGCTGGAGTATGACTCCGGAGGAGAAGCTCGCGAAGGTTCCCGTTCTCAAAGAGCAGGGGAACGAAGTGAGTTTCGCTTTTCCGAATAAAGGTTTTCAGCCTCCGCGAACGAAGACATCCGAATGAAACCCGTCGACGTTCTGTTTCAGCTCTTCAAGCAAGGGAAAATCGCAGAAGCCGCTCAGAAGTATTTCGAGGCGATCAGCCACCTAGAAGCTCTCCTGCTGCGCGAGAAACCTGGCGGCGAGGAGTTCCTGAGCATAGAGCTGATCAAATGGCCGATTCTTTTAAATTACGCGCAATGTAAACTCTCTCTCGGCGAGTATTACGAAGTCATCAAGTGAGTTGAGCCATCGGGACACGCAGCTATCCATCCGACGTTTCTTTCCATCGCGAACCTTGGCCGCGAAAGATTCACGGCGATCACACGAGTATTCATTCTTTCAGGCACTGCAGCGACATCCTCGCCAAGGATCCGAAGAACTCGAAAGCTCTCTATCGGAGAGCCAAGGCCCATATGGGGGCCTGGAACCCTGATCTTGCGAGAAAGGATTTCCTGAACCTGCTCGAAATCGAGCCCGCTCTGAAACCCACTATAGAGAAGTGTCTCAAAGATCTCGAGCAGGACGAGAGGAAGAAAGACGAGCGAGATAAGCTCATGCTGAGAAACATGTTCTCGAACTGAGTATGCGGAGAGGGATTCGAGGTTTTCATGAGAAAATTGCCGTGTTCCATCGAATGTAAATATATAAGTCTCGAACCTCTCTGCAGTAAATTACTATATGTAGCAATTTTATGCACGGTGCAATATCTTCGAGATCATCCGCGTATCAGGCCGATGAGGATTGACGGATTTCCGAGCATCGCTTCGAGAGGCTCACAGGCTCCCTCCCGGTCGTATTATAAGACTGCTTCGGATGCTTCTGAATCCGGGACTGAGGGTCTTCCTCGACCTCGGGCCATGGGATGACGCAACTTCTTACTCGATGAATGCTGAGCCGTCGGAGTCCGGCGGCCGACTTAAAAAGCCCTCTCCCCCTATCATTCGTTACTCTCACCCTTTAATGTCTGTAATCCGGGATATGTTCGGAAAATAAAGGGACCAGATTAAGATACTCTCGAACAGCAAGTGTTCGGCACCCCCTCCCGGTTATTACGCGTTTGTGCCTCCGGAGCTGTACCACCAAAATGTGCCCCGCCTCACCTGCCGTCCGGGTTTCCAGAGGTCCCCCGATATGGCAATAAATATTGTGAGATCCATTGTCAGCCCCCTCCCTCCGTGGTATGACCAATATATGCATGGTTGACCATCCCCTCAATACACGCTCGTTGAATATCATTGCTCGCGATGATGTTCGAGAACCTCTGGCTTACACCCGGGACAAATACTCATCCATGGCCTCATTTCGGATGCTCGAGGGTTGATTGCCTTGCCTATCAAATACACTATGAAGTGAGCTGATCTTGGGGAGAGCGGCTTGCCCTCCGATAGGCAAGAGCTCCCACGGGTTTCCTACGGGGGCTCCATGTACAGCCCAAGAGGGGCGCACTCAGCGAGCGAATCGTCTTATCATGAACAGGAAGAGCGAAGTGGAGGAAGAAATTCCGCATCTCTAGTCGCTCAGAGCATTCCTGAAACTTATCTGCTCTGCGCGGCGTGAGAAGCTGAAAACGACCTCAGCGATGAGGCCGATCAACCGTAGAAAAAAACTCGACACCATGCTACGCTGACTACTTTCACCTCCTATCCCTCGGCCACAGGCTCATTTCGCTCATGCTCTTGTGCATTTTATGATACCCTCCTCCATAATTCAAGAAATGAACGTTTTATGACACGTCTCTTTATAACGGCGCTTCCCCGTTTCGACCCATCATCGGTAAAAGTTGCCTGCAATACGCCGTTGAAATTTCTCCCTTGAAGACACTGACAAGTAAACATTCTTTTTTGAAAATGACAATCACCAGGTTTGACATGCTTTTCTGAAAGTTTCCGAGCCCCGAAGCAACCCCGAGTCTATTTTCCCTGCTGTCCTGCACTTCATACCCCTTCCCTGCAGGCTCCGAAACCCGGAAAAAACACCATTTACATCGAAATCCGGGATATTTTGTTCGGATATCAATGGGAATGAGTCTTTCCGGGCTTCGGAACCTGGGGAAAAAACATTTCCATCAAAATCCGAGAAAAATATCCCGGATTTCAATGTAAATGGTGTTTTTTCCGGGTTTCGGAGCCTGCAGGGAAGGGGTATGAAATGCAGGACAGCAGGGAAAAACGACTCGGGGTTGCTTCGGGGCTCGGAAACTTTCAGAAAAGCATGTCAAATCTGGTGATTGTCATTTTCAAAAAAGAATGTTTACTTGTGAGCGCGTAATAACGGTTATGAAAGCTGATCATGTGAGTTTAAAATGGTTCAGTCTCATCATCGACGAGGTGTTTTCGAGATTGAGCGGGAGAACGGCATCGAGCACGTGAGTCGCGACGATTCAGTCCCTTGTTTTGATCGCCCGCGGGGTATATGCGACCCGGAGGGGAAGAGAAAAATCGGGATATGGGAGTGATTGGATAAGCTTCATAAATCTAATCGAATAGCCATAGCACGCATATCGCTCGAGGACAAGCTCCACAAAGCTCACTGTCCCTCCCCGTGCGTGGAGAGGGTCCATCAGTTGGTCTCGAAGTATTATATACCGCCAGCAGTGAAGCTACGAGGCTAGACTATCGGATCGGCGTGATTTGACCCTTGAGATGCGTTTCCTGATTCTTGTTTTGACCGTACCGGCGGTTTACTGCGTCGAGTGGACGCGTGTTCCAAATGACTGGCCAGTGATCGGGGTCCTGATTCAGGAGTTTGGTCCCCCGAATATCAGTTACATTCCAAGTTCTTACGTGAAGTTCGTTGAAGCTGCAGGTGCAAGGGTTGTACCGATCCACATCAACCGCGACGGCGCGTACTATCAGAAGATCCTTCCGCAACTCAACGGAGTGCTCTTCCCGGGAGGATCTGTCGGAATCGAAAACTCTGGCTACGCGATAGCCGGCAGAGTGATCTTCGAGTATGCCTTGCGCGCGAACCAAAGAGGAGAGTATTTTCCGCTCTGGGGAACCTGCAACGGTTTCGAGATGTTGTCCTTCTTGGCAATCGATGAAAACGTTCTCACTCCTTGTAACGCTATGAACGACCCGCGGCCGCTGAAATTGACGCCGTATGCTAAAACGAGTCGACTCTTCGGAGGGCTCGAAAGCGACTTGCTATCGCATCTCACCAAGGAGAATACGACTGCCAATTTTCACGAATATTGTTTAACGATGACGAATTTCACGAAGTATGGAATCAGTCAATACTATGATCCGTTGTCGACTAACCATGATATTGATGGATTGGAGTATATCTCCTCGATGGAAGCGAAACATTATCCTTTCTACGCCGTGCAGTTTCATCCGGAGAAAAATGTCTTTGAATGGGTCAATAGGGAAGGCCATTCGAATATTCCGCATACGGAGGGAGCGATTGAGGTCGCCCAGTTCTTCGCTCGTTTCTTCATCGATGAAGCTAGAAAATCGAATCACAGAATGCCGAGTGACATTTTCGAAAGGGAATCGATTTACAATTTCCAGGCTGAATACACTGGTCACAAATCGGTGTTCATGCAGACGTACTTCTTCAATGAATGAGCTCGTCAATCTTCAGCAGTCCTGGATAGAATTCGCAGTCGCTACATGTCCTCTTGATGAATAAAGACCATCGCGACGGAATTCGGCGTTTCGTTCGTTTCATTCGTTTCTAGCTCGAGCTCAGAGCCAATTCAAAAGCCTCCACCCGCGCTCTTGATCAAGCCAATCACATGAATTACAAATGTTGATCGAATGAATATTTACGCAGAGACTATCGCTGATCCCGATGAGATCTCGCTGTCCCCTGAGGAATATTTCCGAGCAAGGGAGGGATTCTCCGGGACTACAATCAGGCTGCAATGAATTGATGATGTCGAGCTCTTTCCCTTGCGTGGAAACACACGCGATGGATTGGAGAAGATTCCAATTCGAATATAGAGGCTCCTGTTGGACAGGGGTGACCGATCCTCGACCAGGATCATTCTCCTCGGAGATGATTTTTCGGAAGCGATTGCGGGACGTGCGGGTTACTCCTGCGATCGTCTGCAGGTTTCCCGTCTTCTTGCGAGTCTCGACGCGGGGCAGGGAGACCCTAGACTTCGAGGAACTCTGTTCTTCAATCAGCGAGCGATGCACAACCAATCCGGTGAATATGAGGTAGAAAATAGAGTCAGCGAGGAGACGCCGTCCCTAACTAACTACAGGTCCTAAAACTACAGGTCCCTGTGTATCCTCCTCTTAGTTTCAAGATTCCCCCAAATCCCCGTCCCCACATCTGTCGTCCTCGCAAGGGAACCGCACCGTTTCTATCGTGATGGATGCCGGGAAGAGCTGAGACGAGCTTAAGTTAGTTGCACTGCCGACCACTTTCTAACGTGGAAACGTCTTCAAGTTTATTGGACATACAGACCTGGGGTACTTCGTCCTCGGAGTTACGCAAGAGATCCGCTTCTGACGCTTGATAATTTCGCTCCCCGAACACCTAGAACCCCGCGGTTTGCACCGTGGACCGGGAAATTTACGGCAAAAGCTCCTCCACGATTTTGGAGCCGCGTGGAGCCCTAGAACTCATTTAACTTGATTCGTGCAACCCTCCGGAATCATTCGATTCTCGCATAAATAATTGCTCCACTCTGTACGTAGGCACTTGATTGACCACAAATGCTTGCCCGGCACAGCCGACGAGTGCCGTCCTCGGCGCTACTAATTTCATTTCTCGAAGCCATCATGGGGGAAGTTTTCCTGAAAACTCGGTCGAAGCGGGCGATCCGCAATGTTTGCTGCGGTCTCTCCCGCGATCGGCGACATCAGTATCCCCTAGTCATTGTTGAGCTATGGGATTGGACTAATGGTGCTGGATTGGACTGTAGTATGGTAGATTGGACTTATTCATGACGCGATCAATGGCTTCGTAAAAAAATCGACGATGCATACTTGGTTGAAATACTTGGTGCAACGGCCGCTGGATAGGCACTACAATATCACAATTAATTGGTCCGCATTTGGAAAGTCCGAAACGAGCCCGGAAATCGACGCGCCGCCCAACGATCTACTTGGGAACATCGACGCGAGTACCGCTCCAGAGTCAGAGTTGATTCACTCGCGGCAACACACGATGATATCGAATGAGGAACACTCTCTGAAATCAACTCCGGGTCAACATCGAAGAGCGGAGAGCCTGATTTATGACACCTTTGCCGAGGAGTTGTCCTTCCCGGCGATATATCTCGGATGCGGTCGATTACAGGGGAAGAACTTCGCGCCACTGCGTACAGCATGCCCATGTCTGCGATCCGACGCTATGATCGACGAGTAGGGACACCTCAACACGAGCTTTATATAGCCATGAAGATTCTCCGTCTCCGCGTCCGGGACGGACACTCTTAAAAAATGTGCGCGAGATAAACGATAGACGTTTCCACGCCATTCAATCAATAGTGCTTGAAGCACTACCCGTTGCATTTTATAGACATCAACCGGAAAGGTTGATATCGAATGACTGAGAAAAATGAGCTCTCCAGCGAGCGGAATTTTGGTATATGAAAACTTGTCGAATATTTTTGCTGTCAGCCCGACAGTTCCCGATCGGACCGCAAGGGACAGAAACTCCGGTGGCGCTCGATGTTCCGCGTCTGGGTCGCTTTCGAGCTCCCCGTGCGTTCTTAAAAGCCAAGGAATGCACTTCAAGACATCGGAAGAGGGAAAATCGAGAGCGGGATAGCAACTATGCCATCTAGATGAATTCTCATAGAAAGCTAGAAAAGAATCCGAAACACCAAGAAGCGCGACACATCGCCCTGCTCGCTGCGATGGGATTGGACACCTTAGGACTCATCTCGTCACAGGATTCGATATGTTGAGTTCTGCATAGCCCTCTGGATTGAGTCCCTCACGGGGGATTTAGTGCGTACCGCGAGCAAAACAGCTCCCGTCACCCCGCTAGAGCCGACATTATGTTACACATTTTGAGCGAACGTTTATCGCCATCGTTCAGCTTCTGGTGGAATGGACCTCGGCCCGGCCTCCCGAACCAGCACTCCAGCGAGAGATGCGGACAGAGCTGCTCCGCTCCGAACCCATCTCGCGACCCACCCCTGCGATCTACCGGAAGACCCGAACCCATCTTAGTTTGAGGGTTGGGAACGTCCCGACGCGCATGCCCAACCCAACTACCCTACTGACTCCTGCTTGAATCTAGCTTTCTAGACAGAAGGAAAGGACTTGGATGTATTTTTTAAAAAAATCTTTATTGCTCAACGATGAACGCGGACCAGCCGCGAATGTTGAAGATGGTGACCACAAACCCTCAACCCCAACCCACCAGCTTACCGAGAGATGATGAACGGCCTTTTTTCGGTCGTAGCCCAGACCAAAATCCCTAGTGTTTGTATATACCACTGAACGTTTAGAGCGTGTGAGGGTGAACGTCTGTATCGATCATGCTGTGCTGCATTTTGTTCAAGTCTGTTACCTTAGCTAAGTGTATGACCTCCTTTTCTTCGGTAAAATGTGCGTTTCGTTCGTTTCGATGATCCTCGCAAAAGAGCTCTCCGGAGAGAAGCCCCATAAAAAATCTATCTAAGGGGTTATCTAGGTCGGAGGTATAAGTTAGTGAAAGAGGTTTCCACACCGAAAGGACAGAGGGACAGAGCAGAATGCTTTCTGGTTGAAACACCCGAGATCAGACCCGATGGGCATGTTAGAAGCGATCGAGGACTAGAAGCCATCGGAAAGAATCGGGTTTCTTTCCTAAGCCAAACGGCAAGAGACTAGAGATCTGATCTCGGGTTCGCGCATCAACGCGGCGCGATACGTACCATGACTTTGGGGACTGGCCTGGTACGAAGTACCAGGCAGGGCCGTAGCACCGGTTCCTTGAGGGAAGAGCGAAGAGATTGCGTCCGTTGTTCCAGTCGACAGAGAAGAAGCGCCCGATGCTGGCACAATAGCACCAGTAGGGGTAGCGCCACCTTCTTCCAGCGTGATGATAGGCTTAATGTCTGCAAAAAAACAATTCAGGACCATGAGCGATTTTGCTTAGAAGGCAGTTTGAATTTCTCCTTGGACCGAACTGAATGCCGAGCAAGAATTTTCGGAGACACATACCCAGTCCGTCGGGGATAAGAGTGTTTTCCGGTCCAGTCGAGTTCAGATCCGTCGAGTTATTGTCGGCGCCGTGATCAGCTGTTGTCATCGAGGCCTCCAAGAGTCGGGTGGGTTCGAAGTCGGTGTCCTTTGCCGAAGAGTTGGGTCCGTTCGAGGTCGTCGTCGTTGTGTTAGCCGTCGTAGCATTGTTGCCGCCAGCCGCGACAACCGATGACAGGGATGAGTTATTTACAGTGACAGCATTGTTTTGTACATTGATGGAAGCTTCCTTTGATTGCTGCTGATTGGACTGCTGCTGCAGGGAAGCCTGAGATCCGTCGTCCAGAGATGTCGCTCCGTCCATCGACGAGTCGTCATGCTCCGTACGGCTGGCTTTGGGCACAGATTCTTCGGAGTCTGAATGGGCGACGACCGAGTCTGTGCTCTTCCTGCGCACCCTTTGACGTTTCCTGCGTGATGATGTTCCAGGACTGTCTGGTCGCTGGGTGACAATCGCATTAGGTTTGTTGTCATCAGACTTTCCTCCTTCTCCCGTCACCTCGGCTAACCCCTTGATTTTCAGGGCTTCGGCGGTTTTCAGCAGCGTCGGGAGCTGCTCCTGAACCACATTCACCTCACCCTTGTACATGAATTCGACTAAAGCTTTGAGATCGGCGTAGCGAATATCTTTCAATATCACAATGGGGTGCTTGCAGGGGTTCTCGGTGAACAGGTTTTCGAAGAACGGACTGCAGGCCGACAGGACCACTTTGTGGGCCTTCACCTGACGGCCTTCGCAGCCTATCGTAACGTCCACCAGGCTTCTGCTCGACAGTAGGCGGTCGAACACCGTCAGCATGTTGGCCTGGTGATTGTTCCATTTCAGGCAGAACTGTTGGGCGTTTGTACCCATCTCGACGGTCTTGTGTCTCTGAAGATCACAGAAAGAGGAAAGTTAGCCAATGGTCCACGCCCAACAACTCCACGTAAGCCTAAGGCCTAGCACCAACTACGCCTGACGCCCAAGATGGCGGCGTAAGCGTCTCTCGAATCTAGCACAGGATTACACAAGGATTGCTAGAGAGGCCGACTGAGAAGAGCCGCGAAAAGTTCATAGTAAATAGCGAGATAAAATTCGACTTCTACGGAGGAGGAATAATCGAAAACGGAATGTTCGCTTACCGGCTCAGCTACCGCAACATTTCAAAGTGGGCTGGCCTGAGAGTTGTTGACTGGACCAACGCTTAAGGTAGATTGACTATGGCTAGATCTGGCTGGTGCTCTTATACGGAAGGGCTGTGGACGGCGGCGAGTTGGCGGCTAGAGGCGGCTCTCCTGTGCGGTCGTCGGGCAGCAACGCCCCCTGGCGGATTCTAAGCGAGTTCTTGATGGACTGATGTTGGACTGAGAGTGAGTGAGTGAGTCTGTGGTAAGGTAGGACATTCAGCGTCCACCTATTCCGGGGATTCCACTCCGACACCGAGCAAGGGCGAGATGTTGCTGATCCGGAAGGAGAGAGAAATGACTCACGGCGACAGTGATCTCTTTGGGAGATACCTAATAGGAATTCGATCGCGAAATAGGGGTCGGGTTGACTTCTGGAGGTCGGTGAGGCCGGACGGGTGCGGGGTTGATTCGAACATACATCGATCGCCTAGGGGGGCGACTCAGGGTCCTCGAATCATGGACGCGCAAAATTCTTGCTCGTCGAAAATTAACGAGGGACTTCGCAGCACCGATTCGCGAGAGTCGACTTTATTCCAGAACGACTACGTATGTTCGGGCTCAATGAATTACGCTTTCTCGAAGACGGTTCCATTCGAGGTTTGCTCATCACAGAGCGGGTCGTTAACGGAGATGGGAGTACTTGAGCGAAAATCGATGGTGGAGATAGAAGCGAGCGAAGGTTTTCACCGGAGTCAGCAATCGAACTTCAGGCTCTCTGCTCATATCATCCTCCAATCTCTAGTGATACCTTGATGATGAAAACGATAACCTCAATTTCTGCAGTCATTGACTCACGAGTATTCAATCGGAGAGCTCTATCGAATCGAACTTTGGAGACCGCGTGCGGCCATCGACGATTCTCAGTTACTCAGCCGGGCATACCCCCAAGACCCTAGCTGGGGAGCTCACCAGTGGGATCCTGACCGGTCGAATGAAGTGTTGAGATTGAGCTCTTTGACTACGTAACCCTGAGATGACATACCGTATTTCCTCTCACAGGAGGCCATGCCCTTCTCACCGGGCATGCTCTATATGACGGGCATGGTTTCGGGAATCTCACCCAGACGGGCATGCTCTAATTAAGGGGGACTCTTCCGACCCTCTATCTGACGGCCACCCTCCGAGCATAGACTCCAGAACGAGCAACACTCGGGAAGATCAGAAAGTTCTATCCGGCGGTCCTCTGTTGCCATTACGGACCCCGGAAGAGTCGCTGAATGTTCTGCGTCACTGACTTTTCTTTGGGAAAGTCGATTTTAAAATGGATAAATCTCACAATCTCAACTGGAATGATCTTATTACTCCTGATCAACGAGCACGCCTTCAGAGCTTCTGAACGATGAACGGGCAGGCCCCCTTATTAAAGGAAATAGGGCAATCCTCGTGGGTCTATCGAGCTGTCAAGAAGAATGGGGTGAACTTGGGGGGACTTGCTGGAGCGCTTTGCGACTCCTTCCGAATGGTATATCTCTTCCTGTATCGTTGGGCATCCGGAGGATAAGACCACGGGCGGCACCATGGGATCGACGAAGCAAGCGTCTAAGAAAAATCTGAAGAGAGATCGCACATCATTGAAACACCCAATGATCGAGCTTCCAAAGGAAGAGTAGGATGATGAGAGGACTACGAGCGGAAAACCGCAAACGATTCGGACCGATCCGCACCGATCGACAAGGTCGACACAAGTCGATTATACGATGGGAGCATCCATACTCAGAACAGAGACACTTCGACGTTCCGTCTGTATCGCGTTGCATCCCCAATCCTATACTGTCTTCTCTGCGACGATTTTTTTTCCCTTCACAAAGCAGGGTCCCGGCTGCTACGCGTGATGCATCTCTCTACTTCTACGAATCCATTCGCTAATATCCTACAAATGTCACCGAACCTTGTCTGAGAATTCGATCCGACCGAGTCCGGTTCCAATCTCAAGAGACGCAAGCTCCGTGATTCTATGAGCTTGCCGTCACAAGGTTACCCAAACCGCCCCGCCCAACGATGATTTTTCTGGATGTCCCGTGGTCGGGGAGTCCATTGTCTCGGATCGGCTCAAAGACCCCTGACCTAATCGTACCTCGAATATACCAGAGTACCGAGTTGCGCGCTCTACCGAGAGCTCATGCAAAGTTTGTAGTCCACCCGGTTAAGCTCAGACGTCCTGGTTGAAGATTCCGGGCGGCCACGTCGTCACGGGGAAGGTCCGCTTTCGGAATAGAGCAGCGGGGAATGAATACCGCTAGACAACGCCGACGCCTATGTTCGAAATCTCGTGGAACAGGCGGGGAAGGCAATGCTAATACTATGCATTCCCGCTCGAGCACTGATCCCAATCGATAATTCCGCTACTAATGATGCCCCCGCCGACGGTTTCGCACTCCGGAGAGAGAATCGGGACGTCGATTGCCGCAAACACTTCTCCGAAGTTCTCCACACGGGGGAGCTCGGCGACTCTCAATCGATGACGAAGCAATTTGCGAGACTCCATCATCACCATGTGGATGAGAAGGAAAGTCTTCTTAATCTTACCCTGCCCTTGAGGGGGCGAAACAACGAACGTATGGATCGAAGGACGGATTATTCTCTCTCCTCTCGGAGAGAGACCGTATTCAGCGTATTCGGGAGCGTCAAACTCGAATCGATCGAATTTCTCTCGCTTGATGCAGTCTGAAGTCAGGCGATGAATCCTTGTGGATAGATCCGAAACTACCCACCGGAGGCCCTAGCCTGACTGGCCGTTCCATTTCGGGACAAGATCCATTTAACCCCGTGGAGTCCCTGATTTGGGGAGTTTCTCGCTCGCCCTTATTGGAAGATAGCTTTCGCTTTTTTGGAGCCCTCATCCGCCTCAAGCGCGCATCCGTGGCGGAGGGGCCTCATCGTCGATTTCGGTCGAGTCAACCGCCAAGTTCAATAACCGCCGTTGCCGACTGGAATACACGCCGGCTTGGGAGCGTCGTCGCTAGACTCGGCGGTCTGACTAACCGCCGAATGTGTCGCCACTCGCCAGAATGGCGCCTTCCCTCAGCGAAAAACCTGTCCAAGGCGAACAAAACCTTCCGTAGGAGAACTCATATCTCGCGATACATTTTAAGGATAAGAGAGGATTTGCAGATCCCTCGGAAGAGTTCCACACACTCTAGGAACCTTCACAGGCAGAGAAGTCCTGGATTTCGACGAATTCTCCCGATATACCGATACTCCTCTCAAGCGACGCCTCGACGCGGGTAGATACCGACCGATAAATGACAGAATTACAACAAGGGGGAAATTCGCTTCGGAAAGCTTCCATCCGACCCTGCTATCGAATCGACGGCTCTCTCGAACTCCCAAGTTATCAGGCGATCGTTCCTTTTTGCAATAGACCCTATCGAAATGAAATTGAAGCCCCTCGATCACCGTCCGCTCATTCCGACTGCACATATCGTTCGGAGAGACTTGCGGCGTATCCATACCCATCCTGCTCTCTGGCTTGAGAAATCGAAATCGTCTCTGGATCGGATACCGTGCAAGTCTCCCTAGAGAGAACATCGCGGCGCGAATCATTGTATCAACGACTGTCGTTTTTCCCCAAATAAGGGGTGGTAGATTTCAACGCTGCCAGGGCTGCTTCCTTCCCTTTGGGGATACAGCTATTCAGGTGTCGATTTCGAAATTTCGAGTTGAGCGCTGAAAGGATTGAATGGGAACTCCCCGAGAGGAAGACCGTGAGAGGAACCTCAATTCGAGGACAGTGAACGGTGGAATTCGCGAAATCTGCAAGTCGCCAACATGTTGCCCGAAGATAATGATGTTGATTATCTTTGCCTGCCGACGAATTTTAACTGGGCAGTTTCTTCCACGTCGATAACGATTCGGTACCTCGAGCCTCGAAGCATCGTAGTGTATTATCAGAGTCGTAGGCCTCGCGGATAATAATCGCTCCCGAGCTAGATGGCGAGACCAGACCGAAGATTTCTCGGTACCGCATGTGCAGAGCATGCGTAGATGGGGATGTAGGTACAGAGATGAGTGCCGCTCTGTGACCAAGTTTGATGTCGGTCATTCTTGTCCCTATGGAACGCTGGTATGGATGAAGAGTTTCATAACCGTGATCACTGAGTGACTCCGTGATGATCGTCATGTACTGATACGGTTCCGGTCGATTGACCGAAAACTCGAATCCTTCGACGTCAGAAGGGAAGACGGAGGATACCTCGCGCTCCTCGGGGAGGGAAGAACAAAGCGAATAGAAATTGATTCCAGAGATCCTGCGAAAGGTTCATCAATACGTTCCCACCGAAGCCGAAGTCAATTTCTCCTACAGCGAATTTTCGGAGGGTTCGTCGTTCAGCATCAACGACCGCGGAGAGAACCCGGGAGTCACAAGCAGGGACGGTCGCCGCGGCGAATATCACAACTAATCCCACACAGGGCAATCTTCTTCCCCGAAGCGTAGACCCATCGAGCGGGCTGGCTTCCCGCCTGAGGGGCTCCTCGGTAGCCTCGGGAGGTGGAGCGGGGAACGGAGTTGTTCGAGAAGAAAGTGGCGAGAAGCTTGAGTGGACTATTCTGCGTTGATTAACGGAGTTCTGCTCACAACGGAAGTAGGGGGGACAAATATCATGCGAATTGGGCCGCTCGCGGATCAATGTGTGGATGGATGAATACTAGAACCGCCCTAAAATCGGGGATCGTGTCGACTGTTATTTGTTGTCGGAAGCACGTGCGCTTTTAGCCATCGAACGGAGTATAGAACCTTTCTCGCGTGAGAACTATTTAATATTTTTTGAATGTAATTCCGTTGCTCCTCGGATCGAAAAACTGCGCTGGGCTCTGAAGGCATGTGTTCGTTGCTGGAGCCTTATGCCACGCTAGCCGTGGCAGGGGAGATGAAGTCCGCCGGGGGACCACTGTTCTCCGCCGGCCCTTCTCTGGATACAGTCCTCGCGAGTGTTTCCCCATCCTCGGTGGCCCTACTGAAACTGGAAGATTCGCGTCCGTCGCGATACTGGTTCACCAAACCGACGACTCCCTTCACAACAACCGCTGTCTGGGATGCCACAGCTGGCAAAATCGTCTCAGCGTCACACGGAAAGGTTTGTGATAGCTCTCGGTGGAGTGCCTCGAGGATAGAAACATACTCACCAAGATGGAATCTGAAAAACTTGTCGAATCTTCCAGGTCCTCGCGTGGACAAATTCAGAGAAAGCCACGCCCGCCCCCGTGGCAGAATGCCCGTCAGACGTGCTCAGTTTGCTGCCCTTAGAAACGGGGCTGGTAGTAGTTTGCAGAAACGGTCTCGCGTTCCGACTCCACTACGACCGACCCAATTGGAGTGTGCAGATTCCATCGTCGATCAAGGGCAACTATAGTTGGGCGGGTTCGCTGAATGAGGGTGACGTAGCTGTGCTCTCGGAAGACTGTAAAAGCGTCGTTCGTTTCCCGGTTGACGACGCTCCGTCTAGAGTCGTCGTGAAAACCCCGGCGAAATTCACCATAGCGGCTTGCTGTATACACGAGGGTACGCTATTCGCGGCTAACATTCAAGGGAAACTGCTCAAGATGCGAGATGGAAACTTCACACCTACGAAAATCGACCTCAAAATGGAGAAGAACCACCTGACAGCTATACTGAGCTGCCAGGAAAATTTGCTCATCGCCAGTGAAACGATGGTCTCTCTGTGGGATGCAAACTTCGGATTGGTGAAAAACACTTTGAAGATTTCTTTCACTCCGTGGACGAATAAGTGCGTTGTGCTGAATAATCGAGCCTTATTCGCAAGTTCATCGCTGATGGTCTTGCCAATCAAAATTCAGAAATTCTCCCTGGCCGGTCTCGTCGGCTCGAAGAAGAAATCCGAGAAGAAAACCCCAATTTGCGTGGATGTTTGCGAGTCAGTCGCCGCTAACGTGTCTTCGTGGTCGGTCGACGATGTGCAGAAAATCATGCACGATATCGATGACCTCTCTGAGCAATTGATTGTCAGATGCTGGAAGAGATTGCTGGAACTTGGCGATCCGACTCAAAACTCGAGGCCCCTATATAAATTGATCATTTCTCGGCACAACTGCGAGGAACTGACTCCTGTACTCCACGAATATCTTTCGCTCGAGGAAGTACAGAAGTCGATTGATTTTGTCGCTTGCTGCATGGCGGACCTCTCGCTAGCTCAAGTGAGTCGAGGCCTGCTAGAATCATTGATGGACTGGGCGTGCCATCTAGTCGATGCCCACCGGAACGCTTTGAAAGTTAGTTTACGAGCTGATAATGATGCTTCGGAGACTTGTCTGCTGAAACTGAATCAGAGTGTTTTGCGGGTTCAGTTACTGACGGATGATCTGCAAAGTTGTCAACATAACATCAAAGTGTTTCTAGGCAAAACCGACAAAGTCGTGGCTCCGCGGGAGAAATTGTATTGGGTGGAGCCGTTCGATTTTTTCAATAAAAGTTGAAATTGTTGTTCGTATCGATCGAGGATCGCGATCCCCCCTCATTTATCCGATTGAGACCGGGCTGTCTGACTGGGGTGAGATCTCAAGCTCTGCGGTCTCCGATCTGGCTAACAATGCGCGCTACAACCAGGAGTCCCACGCGGAGGGACGCGGAGGGCTCTGCTGAATTGAATCAGAACTCGTAGGCTGATCCCGGGATATCTATGAAAGAATTTCCGCATCGAATGTTCTCGGAAAACTCGGAGTCTTTCTGGAATTTCGCTCGAAGAAAGCGCATTTCCCTCGAGCATTCGAGCTATTCCTTCGGCATCCAGCATCTCGTATACATTCAGGATTCAATATCGCGCCGTCGGCATCACTTGATCTTTCAGAGGATACCGGCGAAGCTTCAGCGGGATGTCTTCTTTGGACGACTCGAGGGCCGCTTCGTCGGTCCGATTGTAGGCCGCGCGGAGCGATGCTCCTACGACCCCCAATTGATGCAGAAGTGCGATGCGCGAATTTCGCTCCAAGATTGAGATAGATCGATACGAAGATCACGGTTTATTGAAACGAAGCTCATGGTCGCAAACATCCCGCCTCTGGAGCTCTCTAGCATCGCTCGCTCTCAGAATCGTGAACCGTCCTTTTTCGAAGAAAGAGTCTGATGCTGAAGGAATAGATAGGGGCATGAGCAGACCCGGCCAAACGTGGCGCATTGTGAAGTCGTGAGCTCGAAATCGAATCAGGCTCGACATTAGGCGTTCCAGCAAGTCGACATGATGAAGCCATACGATTCGTATGCGGAAAATCCATTTTGTCGATCAGCGACATGTTTGGAGTCGCTCAATGACTCGAGGTCGATCAGTGGTTCTCGGAGAAGCGGGTTCCCACCCGTCTATCGCGGACTTCGTTGAGCTGCGCGGGGTTCTGCGTGTCCCGGCGATACCCTGGACGGCGATCCACTGGCAACCCCTCGGTACGGGGGTCAGTCATCCCGCCGAGTCTCGAGGCCTTCGAAGTTCGATGCGAAGTCCATGATTCGAGCCGAGCACTCGCATCAGAGAGCAGCGTCCAGCTACTAGCCTGGCCCGAGATCGAAGTCGATCCGGAAGTCCGACTGCGTAGAACGGCACTGATTAATTATTATAGCGACAGAACAGACGATCGCTCGACGAAGAGCGGTCGCCTCCCTCGAATCGCTCCGTCGCTCATCTTGTATGTCTGACCGGGATTGACAGCGAGATGCTTCTCAGCGGGGGACTGTTCGAAACTGATCACCTCAACTCTTCGGTTCTTTGCCGAATGATTCGAATCCGGATGGTTTTCCATCCTGAGGGACTTTCGATATCGAGAGATCTGGCATTGACTTCTCGGAAGCTTCGAGAAGCTGATGATTCGCTTGATTCACTCGTTTAGTCAACTGCTCAAACTGCCTCTTCTGTTGAGCTTCTCGTTCCATTCAATCCATTGTTATCGTTCCGAGTCGAGGTAGTATGTATCGAAGTCAGATTTTTTCGAGATTACTGATCGATCTTGCATCGATGCTTGAGGCTGCCTCGCATGATGAGCACCAGCGGACGCGATCGAAAGCTCCCTGTTCCAGCCCCTCCTAGAGGATCCGAATCGAATCCAACCCCGCTCAGAAGGGGACTGGTGCGCGATGAACGAGCCGAAGAGTACACAGAAGTTCCGATGTACGGGACAAGTTAGCTCTCCGAACAAAGGATTCGCAGTATGCGGCGGTAGGGAGCCATGATGATTAGAGTCAGGAGGGGGCACTGCCGAGAAATAGTGCCGTCGATCAAGTCGTCGGAGGATCAAAACCGGGACCCGAATCGGAGGGAGCGATTTCAAAACCCCTGCAAATAAAAATCAACGAGATCCTTTGGAGGACGACTCGTCCGGGATTCAATTCGGGGACGTGGTTGCCCTTTCTGCTCCGGAGAAACGTCGATAAATTGCGACGAACGTCCCCGCCAATAAGGAGTGGCTCGATGCGAATCGTTGTTGGTTATAGAATCTCGGTTCAATCACCAAGTGCGGGTTGGCTAGACCGAGCACCCAGAAATTATCGCTCGTAGAATCGAGCCGCCTCATGTCACAGCCGAAGCAATCGAAAGTTGCGATCGGAACCCTCAATAGTCGAAAAGAGCCCAATCTCGGCGATGCTTGATGCCGCCGATCGAGCTGCAGGTGGACGAATTCAAGTTCGTTCGATTGCGTTGACCTGTCAACGTGACGCTCTGCCTCGGATCCCCACGGACGGTCTTCGAGAGTACGGGAAATCAGGAAAAGGGGGGATCAGGAGAGTTTCATCTCCTCGGAGCAGTTATGAGAATTTATTTCGTCATCTCTATCTTCGGTATCCGGGTCCGGTACATCGTTATGGGCCGACCCCAAGGAGTGATGCCGAACTTTCGTTCCACACGCATATCACAGTCTTCTTGTAGAAATTCGTCTATTTTCTCGAGTATATCGTTCTTCCAACAAAGCTCGTCGATGTCTTGGAAAAATGCTTTCTTCTCCTTGCGCATCCGTCTTGATGCGTTGCGATAGCACTTCCATGTTTGGGGTTCGATAACTAGAAAGTCACATTTCGAAGCGACATATTTGAGGAACATTTTCAGGCCATCGTCCCCGTAATTTAGGTGTATCCACATGGTTACAGCGAAACAGAAAGCCACATCGAAATGCATCGCGAAACCGTTCACTCGATCCCGATCTTCATCACGCATGACATCTATAGTTTCAAATTTTATATCCTCAACTTCATCCGAAGACGTCCATTCTCGGGCTTTCTTGATGAGGGCCGGGTCTATGTCGAACCCGAGCGTCGTCAACGGTTTCCCCAGAAGCTTGAGGTGTGAGTGGAGTTCTACCGTCAATTCGCCGGAGTTGCAGCCGATATCGAGAGCTCTCAAGCTCTTGCGATCGCTGAGTGGAAGGACCCAATCGGGCGTCAACAACTTCAGTCGTTTGCTGATCGGGTTGAATTCGTAATAATTATGGAAGTTGCCGAAACGAGACGTGCCTGGTGAAAAGAAAAAACTTGAGCATGATGCTATCCCGCAATTTCATTGAGCGCATACTTCAGAGTTAGAATTCAGGAGCCTTCGTTTCGTGAGAGTGTCCTAACCTGCTCCGTGGGAAATGAGCTCGATGGTCTCATCGCATGGGGGGATGTTGTCTTCTATTCTCGCGGCGCCAATCATGATCAGGCACGATATCGTATGTCGCTATTCTACTTCGGAAACAGGAATTTCTCGATTTTGGTTCGCAAGGGGAATCAGTTTCGCAGGGAACATTTTCTCGTTACGAACTATCCGGCATAATTCAGCGATGCGACTCGTCGATGGTCTTCTACTAGAAGAGGGCAATTTATTCTTCATGTGTCGATGACGGTCTGGCGGCATTGCGCGGGCAATTCGGCTCCGCTCCGAGTGTCGCCTGTCGAGCGCTCATGTGAAACAGATCCCAAGGCTTGTCGACATGCTTGGACCTCTCGAGCATATGCATGCCTGGCTGTTTTGTATTGCAATCACTCCGCTGCAGCGGGAAATATCCTGCTTCCGAAAGTGGAAGTTTCTCTTCGTGCAATGTTGACATCCCTCACATAGAGAGATAGCGTCGGAATGAGAGGGAGGCGAAAGCACTGAATTTTTTCGAGTTCTTCATCGAGTTGTTCGCGGACACCAGATAATTTATTCCAATCGTCAAGAAAATCCTCACATAACCAAGAATTGGGTTTCGCTCAAGGCGTCAAAGGATTCAGATAACACTCGACTTCTCCCGCCCTCGTAGGTAACAAAATAAAACGTCTTCGGAGCTTTCTCAAGATCTACGATTGCAACCACTATACTGTCTCCTTGACAGAAAGACGGAACAACAAACGGGGACTGACGGGGTCCGCCGCGTATCACCTGTGAAAGATGAAGAGCTGTTAGATAGACCAGGGCCCTGGCATGGAGTGCTAGTCGACGTGATTCGAGTTGATTCCATATGCGTAATGGATTGGGGGTCGGCTTAATAATGAAGAGTATGATCGAAAGAATAACTTGAAACCTCGTACAGTGCTCAGAGTGTGGAAAGTGTCTCCGCTGATGATTGTGTACGTGTTCACGTCTCGGCTCACGAGCAACAACCTCTTGCCATTAGTGAATGCGTAGTGAATATCGCTGCAGGGCATCGTAGCCCAGGCCTGGAAGCCCGAGGAAGTTCTCTGAGACAAGAAACTAGTGCCATGTCCAGGATAGTGCACTACAGCGCCATGTTCCGGGACGACGAAGAGATCCGCGCACGCGTTATCGAGCGGCGCTTTTCTCCATGCTGGACCCTGATACAAATCTTTTTCCTCGCTGCTGAGATCTTCGAACGGATCGGCTTTGTCAACCACCTTGAGCAGAGATCCATCACTCAGCCACAAGACGATCGGACGCACGGATTCATGGACTGCGATAGCTTTGAGCGAGTGCGTCATCTTGAGTTTGTCTCCATCGATGAGAGTCATTGTTCCATCCTTGGCTATATTCACTCGTCTCTTGGTCTTGCTGTCAACAATTATTGTCCTGTCGCTTTGGGGCACTTGCCAATTCTCCTCTATAACGCTGGTGCCGTCGAACTTCAAAACTTTCCCGCCGACAGCAACATATCGGTAGATAGAGACGAAGGCATATTTGTCGACTTTATGCTGGAGCTTGGTGAGGTCTTTCTTACGCTCGGCGTCCGATCCCGCCCACTGAGTGAGGAAGTCTTGCCAAATCTCGTTCATGTACTTGATGCGACCTATACAGCCTCTCACGATGTCGAAGTCGATATCTTTCAAGACCTTTTCAGACGCTGAAACCTGGATGCAGTGACAATAGTGGAAAATTCGCAAGTTTCGAGACATTTTTTCATCGAATCGAATCGCAGCATGCAATTTTCCATTCGACGCACCTGTCTCACATTTTCGGTGACCCATTTCTGCATTGCATTCAGAACGAATTCGCATTCGAGGGCCTTGGCAACTCTTAAGTCGTGCTCCAAATTTTCAACATTCACTTTCAAATAACCGGTGTAGCACAAATTGACCAATCGTTTTAGAGCGTCGATTTTCACAGGTATCGAAACTGGCTTCGACAAGTCGCGGGCACACAAAGTCGCCAATATACACCTGAAACACAGATCTCGCAATCGGAGAGCTTGAAAAAGAGCACCGTGTATGCAAACAAACGAACAATGATTAGAATTTTTCCGTCTATGAGTTTCCGGTGTCTGATACGAGATCGGAGCTGGTCTATCTCCAAACTCTGCTGAGACATTCGCAGAAGCCCCGACCCCACGTTTCGCTACCTGTGGGCTTTGAATTCCCCGTCTGAGCAAGTTACAACCGCATCGCAGAACCGACCGTCTCTCCTCTGACTGTAGAGCTGAGCCATCTGGGACTCGGGGAAGCGTTTGAAAGCGATTTCGAAACCATCTTTCGCGTCGAACTCGGAGCTCGACGAGTTCTTCGCCATCGTCGGACTTCGTTGTCGGCGAGGCGGGACAACTTTTCAGGGATCACGAGACGGGAACTCGGAGCTCATGACATGAGGACTCGACGGTTGGATGCACACACTCGAGGGGTTTCCCCGAATCCTGAGGATCTCTGTGAGGATCGAAACTTGCTGAATCATTTTCAATCGATGATCCAAGACACGGTCTGGTCTAGTCTTCTGAACCCACAATGTTCGGGAGTACCCCACTACGAGTTCTGAGTTCTGAGCGATAAACTCATGATGACTAAATTCTCGAAGAGCTTCAACATCTAATTCAAAATTAAGGGATTCCAAGTCATCGGTCAATTTGGCGGAATCATTCCGAGTTGCCTGGATTTCCAGGTTAGAGGCGGCTCGAGTTACCAAGAGTCGACTGTACCACATCCGGAGCGCACCGTGTATGAATGTGGGCATCACCTCTCAAGAAACTCCTTGCGATCGCACGCGGATCATAGTAGATGACTGTCTCGGCATAATTAGGCAGCGGCCGAAATTCTACATCTCCGGTGTTCGACGCGAGACCAGAAGAAGCAAAGTGTGCTCAGCCAAACGCTCCCATCGGAACATCTAAGATTTGAGGATCCTGAGGTCGATGCCCTCGTCTGAGTTCTGTGATGTCGGCCCAAGTATGCACTATGGCATAGGGACTACGAGCGGGTGTTGAGACACCGGAGCTGACTTGGAATCGGGAAGCTGGCTCGACATTCGACGACCGGCTGTCTGGATGAATTGATTGAAAGTGTTGCGATCCGAATTCCTGGTCGCCTGCTCCGCTCCCTTCCCTTGCTTTCAGAGACGAACCCTCCCCGTCTAGTGAAGGCACCGCTTTAGCGGTGCTCAGTTGTCCGCGCCGAACGTATGGGGCCGCGAAAGAGCTTCCTCATCTGTGCCCTGATCGTCATTCTATCAGGTGAGCCTCCCAATCTAGACTGTATGCCTCGATTGCGCTTGACGCTCTGAGGACAGAATATTAATTACGAAACTCTAGTCGACAATGGAGAATTTCGTGATTGCTGCGCCGAGTTCCATATGGACGGTGCGCATTAAAACGCATGTGCTGTCCACCACAACGGCAGGTCTCTCGTGCTCGGTGTCACAGATCCTTTCAAGTGTTTCCCAACAGAATAATTTATCGTCGACATGGTTGTTAAATAACTCATGACGAGCATGAATATGCGGCAGAGAGTCGTCATCCGCTCTCTCTATCGTAGCCCAGTGTTCAATTGAGAGGAACTTGCGGCCGTACGATCAGATTCTGACGGCAGAAAAGCGTCGTTTCCCGTTATCCAATGACATGATGAATGTTGAAATTATGGCTCGTCAAGGCCGTTGGATGCCATTAGCGAGAGAAGAGAAGGTCGGTGGACCTCAGCTCTGGGCGCTTCGTCCAGCTCATGAGAAACAAAATCAGATTCGACGGATGCATGAGCGGGGATATTTCTAAAAGGATCTTTCGTCTCCCTTTGCAGTGGCTGAAATATGGGCAGCAGTCGAGAAACATCAGGGACTATATATCGGACGGATAAACACGTATTCGCATCAAGTGACCGGATCGGTCTACGCTGTGGATGAATACACACTCCTGATCAAAGGCTTTTTCTACGATGGTTTAGGCCAGGACGCGTTTTTCTGGGCCGGCTCATCAATCCGACCCAGTAACGTTGGTTTCATCGTCCCAGATGAAGAGGGCAAGTAAGTTCGATTGCTGTGGGGGACGAGAGGAGCCATCGCGGAGAAATACGCACGAACGGTGCAGACTTTCTGGATGGAATCGAAGGGAGTGAAGTAAGTTCCTCTCCACAGAACCAACGTTCTGGAACCGTACACCGATAAGGATATCTACATACGCTTGCCGGACAAGCGGAAGATCACGTCGATCAAATGGCTGGCCATCTGGAATTTACGCGACAACGACAACTACGGAGACATTTACCTACCCGATGGCTTCGAGCCTCCGGCACCCCGGAAACTTTCAGAACTGACGCGCCAGGGAGGAGGCGTCAAGTCGGGAACTGTCGTCATCATGGACACAAAAACTATTCTGTTGCCTCACTTCCACTTCAGCGGTGACAACAACGGTTCGTCGAACGCTACATTCCTCGGGCATATACGATTTCGATTCCCGAGTGTTCTCACTCATCCTACTCTCCGCGCAACCGCGAATATTCTTATATTTTCATTCCTCCCCACAGATACTTATTTCTGGGTCGGTCAAGGAGCTCAACCCAGCAGTGCGGGATACAAAATACCGGACGAACAGGGCTAGTGAGTTCGCTTTCTCGGATTTGACGCATATTCGTTTGCTATTTCGGACCCGACCCTGAACATAAAGGGACAATCTTGCTATGATATTTATTTGAATTCTGCAGTTTGAACCCGATCCGAACCTATAGAGGAGACACAATTACCCTGGTTCTGCCTGGTAAAACCACAGTCTTCGATATAGACTGGTTCTCGGTTTGGAACGCCAATCTCTCCATCAACTACGGATCCGTTCAAATCCCTCATGGCGAAGATATTCCGCCTAGCACCCTCGAGTTCTACGTGAGTTCCGTTGGTTTCCCTCTCGGTGACAACAGGTCCTAATCCCACGAGGAACGCAACGCCTGCCGTGCCGGAGTCTCTACTCAAGTAGCCCTTGTTACGATTCTCTAATCTGCGATCCGCCGAATTTTAGCGACATGAATCCCGTTTGCAAAACTGTGAACAGCTACATTCGAACCTGCAACTCCGTTGGGAGATTCAAGGGAGCTCGATGACATTCGAGCTCACCGGTCCGATTGGTAAGATTCAAGTTCCCTCCCAAAGCACCCACTCCCTCGTTCACATAACAGAATTAGAATCTCGTCGTCAAGGATGATGCTAGAAGAGCTCTCATTCCAGCCGACGATCATTACTTCGCCCTCGGACCTTCGGGAGATGAGAACTCAACGCACACCCAGATGCTGAATGCAGACGTCGCAGTAGCTTTCGTGGACGGTCCGTACGGTCAAGTCATCGACTACAAGATTGGCGGTATCTTTCCCTGCAGTAAAGTGCTCAGCAGCTATCAGGGAGTCTGTCCTGACACAGTCGTCGGGGGCGTGAACTCCTATCAGATCCTCACATTCAGCAAAAAAGACGGAATGACAACAATAATTTACCGACGAGATGTCTTACCCATCGGTCAGTCCCACCTCCTTCCTGTACACCAGAATATTTTCGGTCCCACAAGCACTCTGAGAGAATCTAAAACTATCGTTCCTTGGCAGACGATGCGGGCGATCGGGTTTTCGACCTCTCGAATCCGACAGCTATCGCGTGGGCCATCGGAAGGCTCAACCACAAAAAAGAGCCTCTCTTCCATCACATCTATCCTAGGGGAGACGTTTTCGTTCATTTCGGATCGAAGACGAAAGTCGACACCTGTGTGGACTTCATCAAAGGGTGGCCACCTCAGAGATCGAATGAGCCTCCATGGGGTCCGTTTAAGATCGTCGGGAACACGGTGACGCAATTCATCGCCCGAGTCGGTCCGGCGGGAGGATCCAGGGGGTATTCTGGAATTACAGGTAAATTCATTACTGAGCTCCGATCCGTGGCAGCCCTCCGGAACCCATGATGATCAGTGATCATTTGCACTAAGGGTGATGACTGATGACACTTGAGGGAAACCCTATTTTTTCAGGTCTTCCCTCTCCGGGGGTGTCTTGGTACATCAATGGTCTCTTAGTGCCGACCCTGTATTTGAAGAGAGGTCGCACTTATACGTTTAGAGTCGAGGGCGGGGACAACCCCCATAACGGCCGGTATTATCATCCTCTGTACATAACCGATTCACCGTATGGAGGATTCGCTCAGATGACCGAGGCCGAGCAGAAGGACTCGAAAATCTACGCGGGAGTGATTTTCAATCGCCAGGGCAAGCCCCAAGCGACTGCAGGTGAGAAGTCGCTTTCAGTCCATTGGACGCTTTCGAACGACCATCCTATCGCTCTCCGCTTGAATCCGCTCCCCCTCGAGCGTCTTATCGGGCTTGATTTTCCAGTGGGTCGCCTCTGTGCTTGGGTTTACAATAGCACTGAGCCGAGACAGGCTGACGGTTTTCCAACCTTCCCCAAGTATCGGAATCAGCTCAGACTGGACTGTGACGACAGGGCAACAGCAACCTTGCAATGGACACCCAATACTTCAACTCCAGATGTTGTTTACTATCAGGTGAGTGGAAGAGGCTTGAGTTATCGAGTTGTCTCTGCCTGGCCGCCTTTCGATCAAAGTTAAAAACCTTAACCGTCTCCCTCCTCCACAGAGTTACACGACCAGCAATATGGGAGGGAAGATTTATCTGCTCGACGAATTCTCCGCAGGTTCATCATGAGTTTCCTTTGTGCGTCTGTGCCCGAAATAAATTATTCATCCGAGTGAAGAGATGCTCGACTTCGAATGAGAATGACCTCACTATCTCGGCCTATGCAATTTTATTTCTAGTCGAGCCGCTTGCGAGGTATGGCTTCGTTAGTAGATCCGCGAAATCATCCCGCAACGTATGAATTGGGGAGTTTCCGTGTCGCCTGTTCGACTCTTTCGAGAGAGCGCCATGGAATTTGCCCGCGAGGAGGGAGGCGCAGAGCTTTCCAGATGCCGTGATCGATGCCTCGCTTCCGCGGAGGCCTCTCTCACAATAGAAGCCCGGCATTCCTACTGATCCAAACGAAATCGGTCGCAACGCCGGCCGGCTAATCGGATCGAGGGCGAGCTCCTAATTCGGAAAGCTCCCTCCTAGGTATCAGTGGGTCACCCTATGCGCCTAAATCTGACGCATCCGCCGCTTGTATTGAACTAGTTGTGTCTCGCTAGCTGTTCGTATATCACGAAGTTCGTAGACGGACGAGTCCCAACGAGGGTCGTCAGCCTCGATCCAGTATTCGAAGGGAACGGGAGAAATGAGGAGGAACTAGTTTCTATGGCTTTCTCGAGGACCAGAACGATTTATGAGTTTGAGAGAGCGGATTGAAAGACTCTGAAGAGTGATTCATCCAAGTGCATTGCACGGGATGAGCCTATCCGTCGGTATGCGAGTGTCTTCTCCAGGGGCGGAAGTTGTCCGATAGTGGACGTCGTGCTTCCGAGACGAGGAGAGGCCGGAACAGGGTTGCAAGATACGGAGATTCCATTTAGGGGACTCTCGTCGGCGAATCGATGCGCTATGGAAGCGAGAATGGAGGGGGAAGCTAGACTCCAAGTGCAACCTTCACGATGAGATATCAACACGATCGAGGGATCTCATCTCTCATTTTGACACGGCCTTGGTCACGGGACCTGATTTCCGTGTGATCAGCTCGGATATCGGCAACGAATGAGATGGAAAACACGCTCTATGGTGTCTCGGATTTGTCGAGAAAGTTCGATTGAAGTAAATTGTGTTCCGAACTGCAACGACGTGTTTCGGCGGCGAGACTCTCTCTCCTTTGGGGAGAGGATGAAAGCTAGGAGCAGACGAACTATTCGCATCTCACGTTCTCTGACAGGCGATATTCCATCGCTCACCAGAAGTCGAATAGATTCTACAATATCTCCGTAGCCAGAATGAATACTCAGTCTGTCGTCCGGCACGATAAAATTGTGAGGTGAGTAACTCTCCTGTTCACTCCTCGCTCAGGGGAGGAAGCAGAGAACGCCCCTGGAAGTTCCCGGAAAGTCGGAAGATTCCAGGGTCGACGCTTGTTTAGATATAGTTTCCGGTTACACCGATCGAGAGTTCTGAACCCTGGTCATGATTTTGGATCACTATCGTGAGCATGACTATTCCTAATGCTTGGCACAAATCCTCCTCAGGTACAAACCTCCTTCTCCTGATGTGGTCAGCGGACCAGGAGCTGTCGATCCCATCTCGGACTACATGAATGTCTTAAGCATAGCTTTCTCAATGTTCGGTCTCATGATGAAGGTCAGCTCTGATTCGGGGTGGAGACTGTAATTCGATGAGGAGCTTGTTTCACTGCAAGGCTGGTATTCTGGAGTATGTGGGATTTCCTCCTTCCCGCCGCTGTACGGATACCTATGATTTTTCAGATAAAATGGTGTTCTTGGATGGCTATTTTCTGCTCAAGCATCACCTTCAGCAATTCTAAGAACAACGAGGACACCAGGCAAATCTTCAGCAGTTTCATGTAAGATCGTAGCCTACAGTGCGTTGGAAATGTGAATAACCAGGGAGCCCTCGCCAGATCTTTGTCTGAATTCAATAATCGAATCACATAGACATTCCCCTTGTTCACAGGCTTTCCGCGTCAGCCGTGATTATGACTTATCTTCAGAACCCTCAGCCGATGACCGTGCCCTGGCTCACGACGTAGTTCCAAGAGTAGCGTCAGTTTTAAATATGCGATCATGTAATACATCAGCCATGTCTTCATAAGCTCAATCGTATTTCATCTGAGTACGCGTTCGGGTTAGAATTCAGGCTCTTCTAAGTCTACTCGCGATTTTTTATCGGAGTGAGCAGAACGGGAAACTCCCTCGAATATGAAAATAGATTCGTACACGTCCCGCCCTTTGACATTTGCAGCCATCTGTATATAAGTACTCTGACGATTCGGGATTTTCTTGGACTCGAGCTCGAATGAGCCGAGACATGCTAGTCCCACCGTTCTAGAGATACCGATGGTGTTCGATGCGGCCGGTCTCGGCCGGCAGGCAATGATGCAGCTGTTCAGTCGATGAACCTCACTCGGGACTGAGCTCGGGAATCGCGTGGGAAAGCTCTATAAGCTGTCGATGTTTGTTCCGATCCAGAATGCTAGTAAGAAGCGTTATAAGAATATTCTACTTACATCTTCCAGAGCACGTTCGAATATGCCTATTTGTCAGAGTCTCGATAGGGCTTCCCCGCCCTCTCTGCAAGAGCCCTCCTCGCTCCGATTTCTTCCCCCTGAGCAAAAAGATCCACTTCGACTTCGAGTAGTAGCGTTCCACCCCCTCATGCAGATACCTGGGTAATATCGAATTTGACAGGCTATAGAGTCCGGACTGCGGGATCCGCTATAGGCCTTCGTATGCCTGGAAGTTGGACCGGAGCCTGTCGCGGATGGACAAATGTCATTGGCCCTCCCCGGGGTCTGCTCGCGCGCCGGATAAATAGGCCGACTTTATTTAGGTTGAAAACCCCGCTTCGACGGAGCAAATACTCGCAGCTTCTATCAACAGTACCGTCTCGACGTTCAGCTCCCGATTTATTAACCTACACCGCGAACTCCGGTCGTCCCTCTCCCCGTATCCGGTTCTCTGATTGTGATATTTCTGGCAGGTAATGGGGATTCCATCATCGAATCGGCGCATTCTGAATTTTGAAGACGGCACCCGCGCCTCCTCTTAGTATCCAGCAATAGTTCGGTGCCTCCATTGTTTCGTTCTGTTCGCATCGTAAGTTCTGGAACGACGCGTCTTCCAGACAGACGGACGAGGGCATGGAGATGGGGGGGGGCGTCGGTTTCCTAATCCTCCGAGCTACGCTCATCCACGAAGGCTTGCCACGGACGTCGAATAAACATCGAGCGATAATCTCGGGTACACGTCGGCGGCGTCTGGGTACCGGACGCTGAGCTGTCGTCCAGTAGGTCGAATTATCATAGTTTTCAGATAAATTAGAGAAGCGTCATACAGGGAGTTTCAAAGTAGAAGGGGGAACGATTCCCTGATCCGTATCGATTGATGTTGCGGACATCTATTTCGCGCGATGTTCAAGATAATCCTTTCTGACATCGGAGATTCTAGGGGCCGCCTCGATTGGGAGTGTCGGAAGCCCTCCCGGAGGCTTCTTCAAAAGCTGTGAGCTCGTTGTCGCTTGCTGAAGATTGCGACTGAGAGCACTCGATCTCTGCAGCTGCCTGAGTCACTGCGTGGGCTGTAGCCGACGCAGGGGCGATCATAATCGGCGTTGATTAGACCCAGGCAGCGCTATACAAATTCTTCCATATGGCATCTCACTGACAATAAGAACTCGATATCGATCAGCTCCATGTGATTGCTCTTCCACGTACTTCCCCCAATTTTACCCGATTCCCGAGCAAGATCAGCCAGTCGAGCTTGTATCAAGCGCGGGCCGAGCTGGGTCCATAACGATAGAGCTGGATATCAGGTCGATACGAAGACGGAATGTTGAGCAGGCGGTCAGTCTCGAACCCGGGCGTGTCGGTTGTCAATGGTGAGGGCGTTCCTCGCTTTGGTGAAGGTCTCCGGGGGAAGAAATTGTCATCGCTGAAGCGAATCTAAACAACATTGAGGTCCAAAATGCTGGGATGCATTTTTGTAATGCCTGCGTCGCACATCCACATTTCCACCTTGCAGCCCTTCTCCTCCCATCCTGCGACCCTCCAAGGCTCCAGTCGGAGCGAGACGGAGCTTGAAACTAGCCTTTTAGCCATTTTGAACTCGAAGAACCCCGGCGGGCCGGACGCCGCAGCAGCCCTGGCCGAGTTTCGAGCTCTGGACGAAAGCCTTCGGAGACGGAGCCTCTCGCAGCGCTCACGGGTCCCTTATTCGGCATTCCTTCGCACATCTCCTTCTGTCAGGCTCCATAGTTGAAGGAATATTGCGCACACTGATGCAGTCTTGCCCCGTTGCCTTGTGTCGGCTCGTCGGATTGCCTATCGAGAGAGGATACGGCCGACGACGGGCTGCTGTGAACGAGATTCGCGTCTGGGCAAGCAGCTGCTGAGCGGATTCGGAAGCTCCAATCCATCGCGCTTGGCTTCTCCACAGGAAACAGGGAACGGTAGCTGTAAATTCATACGCACGTAGGAGATGAGGATGCGCGCGACTTCCCGACTGGATTACCCGACAAGTGTGAGTTCGAGTGCAGATCCGACTTAGCGGGACGAAAGTCAGAACGTTGAATATGACACGTGAAAAATACAAATGAAAATTGTCGTCTGATGGCCATACCGCGCTCCGCTCCTGAGTCTCAATTCAGAAGCTTTCGATTGTTGGGACGCTTGAGACTCTATCGATCTTGAAAAAAACACGTGTCGACAGAATTAACGAACGATTGAAACCCTCCGCTGTGCAGGCTTCTCGCAAGTGCGCTAACACTATTCGGATGAGAGGCGTCGCATGAGAAGTTGCTGAGTGATCGTATGCCTGCAGGCAGCAAGATCACGCATAGCGGCAATCTACAACTAATGTTATGTCATGGAAACTCGCTGGTATCGGACGATACTACTTCACAGCTCACATCGCAGCTTTCATCGATACGGAGGACGAGATGTTTACCAGAGTTCAGCTACGTTTCTGGATTCACGATGCGGTTGTTTCGAGAGAGGAAAGCTCCTCGAGCATGGAGATCGAGGCACGAAAAGATCCGGAGCCCTAGGAACGTCGTCGCCCTGGATTCGAGAGCCGTTTCGCAAGAGACGGTGACAGCGAGAGACACACTTGCGACTCGGGACACAACATTTTCGGCCACGAGTAGATTCCAGATCAGGAATACAGGCTCATGAATTCACGAGGATCTCCTCAGCCTTCAGAGGCACGAAGGTAGGAATCATTGAACTATCTCTCCTTCGCAGAGGTTCAGAACTGCAGATTCCTCGACAATGTAGTCAGATGATGATTGCATGAAGGGCCAGACTTGGCTCATTTGAAATTTGCCCCTTATAGCCGCAGCCGCCCACAAGGTCCCGGAAGCGTGCACTGCAATGCTTTTCAATCACCTAGGCAAGCCTCGAGCATCTGCAGGTGGAGAGCTCGCATACGCATATGCTCTATTACAATGTTTCGCTCGAGCTCACTCTTCCTTGCGTCATCCGAGTCGGTCCTCTGGTAAACCGTTACCCTGTCTGAGTTTACATAGCTCTGGAGCGAGACGGGCAGATGGTTTCCGACATTGCTGGAGTATCGTTATGAGCTCAGACTTGATTGAGACGACAGAACAGCAGCAGCAGCAACCTTGCAGTGTCCGCCCAACGCATCAGATGTTGTCCACTACTTGGCATCAAGCGACTTTTCGAAGGGAAGAAAGCATAGGTATCCAATTTCATTTGTTCGCTGTCACTTAGTCGGCAGTGGAGGAGTTGGCAACCCCCACCTCTCACCTTCACAGAGTTTAACGACCTCCGATGTCGGACGAAAAAGTCATGTGCTCGACGAAGGCTCCGTCAGCCTATAATGATTTTTTCATCTGTCTTGGAGCAACGCGAATGCACTTTTATCATTAATTTCATCATCGTGAGGCTCGGGCTCAAATTGGAATTAGAATTCCGCCACCTGCCGAATTCGCGATCCCTGTCGCCGTGGGGGAGTTCGAGAAAGTCCGCGAGCGTATGCTCGGAGGTTTGAGGTTCCCCGATTCCCTCGAGCAGGTGCTTGGTAAGAGGCAGCGATGTAAACCTCTGAGAGAATTTTCCGGCGGAGAGGAAGACGCAGAACTGCGCAGAGGCTGCAATCGATTTTTTGCTCCGTCAAGCTCACGGCCTCTACCAGCATTAAGGCCAGAGATTTTTTCTGACGTCACCGGAGCTTGTCGCCTGACCGCTTATGGTAGACTGCTTGCATCAGCGGATAGACGGGCATTAGGCTACGTGTCGAACGGTCGTGGGGAGCGTCTTAGAGAAGGAAACTCTGTCTATCTTGGGTCTGGGGACCGGGGAGAGAACCGAACACTGACATGGGATGGGAGCGGTGAAGACGTCAGAAGAGGTCGTTCTCGATCAGCTGATCCATAAGCCTTGCAGCGGAATAATTGGAATATCATTATTGAGCGATTTCTGTCGAGTGTCCTGTTGAGTATCCTATCTAGACTCGGAATCGGAGAACTCATCAGGAAGTTACCAGAAACCTTTCTGCATACATTATTATAAATTGAGAGTGAAACGCAGGTGGTTGTGCGGATAGCTTGAGCTCGACATATTGAGATATGGCTCTCTGCCCTTCATTTTCCAGGATCCATCATTCCAAAAAATATTCTCTGGAAACTTGGAGTTCTTGCGCCTCCCCGCGACGTTTTTGGATTCGATTGCATCTTCGCGGGAATCTTGTCAGGTGCCCACGATAAAGAAATAACATCAACACCCACTGAGCTTCACAACGGGCTCGAAAGGTCGAATCCTAGTAGTGTCGAACTTGGACGCTTTATTGCAAATTATCGCTGGGAGGCCGAACGCGTTGGTGGTTGACGCATCTGTCACCTCTGGAAGCAGATTTATCTAGCGTCCTCTTCGTGTTCCGATGAGCTTCCGCCTGAATTACGACAGTCATTCCACATTTTATCCAAAATGTCCAGAGTGGTGCCATGGGAACAAAGAGATTTATTTCCCAAAGCTCTCTCCGAGATGGACCACGAATTTTTGAACTGGGAGTACAGAAAACGGGGGTACTTTCCAGACCGGAGTGTTCCTCTGCACGCTGCGGCAGATGCCGCGAGCATGAAATAGTCGTTCGAAGCAAGCGGGGGAATCCGTATAATGGACCTTGCGCTTCCGATATCCCGATGGAGAGAGGAGATTCGGGCTGTAACGTTAAGAAGAGATTGGCTTTATCCAAAAAAATCAGAATAATGTTTCGAAGCAGCAACTATCCATGAGACAGCACTCCCTCGTCAGTTTTGGTTGGAGTTCCGACTGGTGGAATTCGACTCCGCCGCCGAAAACATCCAGACAAGGCATTCGTCGAGATGCTCTCAAGGCGTCCGGACGACTCACTACCTTAACCCGCCATGAAGCCGATATGGAATCCGAGCGCGAATATCGATGACGTTTGGGAAGGAAAACAGGGTGTTCCGGACTGAGTATATAAATAATTTCTTAAAATAGATCTTTATTGGACTCTCCGTACTTTTTTCTTAATAAATTAGCGCCAAGCATCCGCGAGGCCCAAGCTCCGAGTTTGTACAATCATCACTGTATGTCTTCAATTGGTTTCTGCTCGACGTTGCCCAAAGATGCATCTCGCAATTTTTGCAATCTTCGTCTCTCTATAAATTTATCGAAATCTTCATGAATAATTTCATTATCGGAAAGGAAGCCCTGCGAACAATTGACGATCTGGATGGCTTGCCACTGATAGTGTAGGATGGCGCCAAGAAACTGCCATATATTCAATTTTGGCCATAGTTCCGGAATGAATTCCACAACGGTGAATCCAGTTTGCCACAGAAGGAAATCGGATAAGCGAACTTCACCCGATGTTCGTATCAACAAATCCGGATCAGGACTGTCCTTAGAATACATAGCTGACGAGAGCAAAGCCTCATTGAAGTTCCTAGGCTTTACAAGACCCTCGCTGGCGGCTGCCAGAAGGTCCTCGATGGCAGTGCACATTTCCTCGCGAGCCGTATAACTCAAGGCGATATTCACGAAACACTTATGATGGTCTTTCGTCTTGAGCATGAGCTCCGCGCATAATTGTTGCAGAGATACCGGCAGATACGATGTGTTGCCCAGTATTCGAATGCATACCTGGTGTTCGACCAGGGTCTCGTGGTCATCCAGCAGGTCTCGGAATTTCTCCTCGGCCAAGTCGAGGAGAGCGTCGACTTCATCTTTGGTGCGTTTGAAGTTCTCTATTGAGAAGGCGTACACAGTAACTTCGGTGACACCGAGCTCCCGACACCAGAAGAGAACCTCGGATAGCTTGCTGAAGCCTTCTTTGTGACCATCGATGGTTTTCCTTTGGACTTGCTTGGCATACCTCCGATTGCCGTCCATGATAAGAGCGACGTGTTGAGGAATCCGTCCCTGAGCCAGGATCCGCATAGCGGTTTTCTGAAGCCACGAAAGTTCATAGTTTCGGAGAAGGCCTTCCCTGTCGGCCTTTTTCATTGGCATAGTCGACGATTTAGAGGCGGGTTGGCTCGCGAGAGGAGGACAACGCTTCGATGTTCCAGTCTTCACCCCGCACGTCGCATGCTAACCGATTAGAGACTTTATAGTTCTCTGGAGTCCACTGGAAGAGAACGGGATACTGTCGAACAACAAGCACATGACGTGTATCGGCGGCTCGACTCTCCGTTCGTTTGGGGAGAGGATGATATGGGACTCGCCTCGACTTCCTCCGACTTTTAGCTCTGTCGAGCTTGGCGATTTCTCCTCTTTCAAATTTGAGTTTCGGAACTTGTTTCGCCCGAGAATCCCGGGGTTTTCAGTCGAGTTAGGTTATTGACATAGATGAAAGATTCTCGAGGTTCCGATTGCCCGTTGCTTACCGGGAAGGAACGCTCGCAGCGCCACCGTCTCGGAACGGGAGCAAAGTCGATTCTAGCGTGCGAATCGCCGGTCACCCGAAACAATACGACGAGTGCTCGAGAAACTGCAGAGTAAATTCCTCTGAATTTTCTACTCGTTTCAACATCTGAACCAACAAGCGAGCTTGTCTCATCACCGTGAGTTCAGATCCCTTTACTGCGACCGCTTCCACGGAAACAGCGCGATTAGATCGAAATGCTTAGAATGGTTGTTGTGCGCGTATCCACGTGTGGGGACCGCGGTAATAGCCTCAGTTAATGTTCGAAGCCATAGCTCACCGATCCGCTGGACGATTTCCATTCTTGGAATTACTCCCGACGACTCGGTGCATCGGAGGTCTTGCTCGGCTGACTTCAGGAAGTCTGTCCGTTTCACCTTCATGCGAATTCGCGCAAGGAGTTCGGTTGCATCAGATACCCTTTTCCGGCTTCGTACACATTGAACTTGGTAGAGACGGAAGCCCTCGGAGATTTTCAGTCATTTCACCGCGAATGTTCCGGTCCACGAAACCTTCCGATTCCGGACCGCGTAATAGGAGCCTATTGAGTGTGTGATTGCCGTAGTAAGCACTGCAAAGTTATCTTACGCTTTCACAGATCCAGAGCGAAATGGCCGCAAGTCAATTATTCAACATGCTCGGAAAGCTCGGCCTGGGCGTTGCCGTCGCGGGAGGAGTTGTCAACAGCGCCTTGTACAACGGTAAGTACCCCTGCTCATTTCAAATCTGGACGGAATAATATCTCCACCAACTGTGCCTTTCCGGATCCTGAGAAATGGCGGTACAGTGACACATGGGGTAGAGGCCACCTCTATAATCAGACCACTCTTCCCGAGCTCCGAAACTATAGGCTTCCCTGTGAGAGGGCTTGCCCGATTGGACACCTGAGTAATCAAATCATTCTCTGGATTCTCCGGGGCGGCCTTATAAGACAGGATTCACTGTACTCGGAGGAGTAGGAATTGTCTCTGTCTCGAGTCGAGCGTGCCATTCCCGAGAGATACTATTAAATTTCGCCTGAATGCGACTAAATATCCTCCCTGAAAACGGCCCTCTTTTGCAGTTGATGGCGGTCACCGGGCGGTCATCTTCGACAGGTTCGCCGGAGTCAAAAGCACCGTCGTGGGGGAAGGAACGCACTTCCTCATTCCTTGGGTCCAGAAGCCAATCATCTACGACGTACGCAGTCAGCCCAGGAACGTGCCCGTCATCACTGGTTCCAAGGATCTTCAAAATGTGAACATCACGTTACGTATCCTGTTCAGGCCTTCCGCGGAGTCGCTGCCGAAGATTTTCTCCACTCTGGGCGTCGACTACGATGAGAGAGTTTTGCCATCGATCACAACTGAGGTCCTGAAGGCGGTCGTTGCGCAGTTCGACGCATCTGAGATGATCACTCAGCGAGAGTTGGTCAGTCAGAGGGTCTCTGAGGAGCTAGTCGAGCGTGCCACGCAATTCGGATTGATCCTCGATGATATCTCTATCACTCATCTGACCTTCGGTCGAGAATTCACCCAGGCCGTAGAGCTCAAACAAGTTGCGCAACAAGAAGCCGAAAGGGCGCGATTCTTGGTCGAGAAAGCTGAGCAGCAGAAGAAGGCCGCCATTATCTCGGCCGAGGGAGATTCCCAAGCAGCCACGCTCTTGGCTAAAGCATTCGCTGAGGCCGGAGATGCCTTGGTGGAGCTCCGACGTCTCGAAGCCGCCGAAGATATCGCCGCACAGCTCAGTCGGTCGCGCAACGTCGCCTATCTGCCTCATGGACAGAACACATTGATCAATCTACCCGCAGCTTAGTCGTCCTCTGCAGTCACGGACGAATCGGTGGGCGGAGACAACATGATTTTTCCTCGTGTGGTCCCCTCATGATATTTTAGACGGATAGAGAAAACTGCATCAAACGAAACTAATGTTCATTAAAGTTGCATTGTATACTTAGAAGGACGAGCCTCTTCATCAGACTTTGGTGCTGAATACAATCGGGCTCTGCGATCGAGCTCGAATGCGACAGATCTCCGGGAGCTCCTCGAGTGATGTCAGCGGAGAAGGTTCGGTCAAATCTCTCGGAGGTCTCCTCTTGGTTTCAGGAATTCGTTGAGTCGATCCGAATCGGGAAAAAAATCTCCTCCCTCTCTGTAGATGATTTCTTTCACAAGCTCTTGCTTTATTCAGTAACGATGACGGTCGCATCGGCAGCCTCCGCATATCACAACGAGCGTCAATAGTGCGATCCATTTCTGGGATTTTATTTGATATTCACAGATCCCTCCGCCAATCCGATCCGGCGCTGTCCGATCAGAAGGGGTCCGTCGAAACGAGCCATTTCGAGCCCTTCTCACCTTGAGAATTCCGAACGATGGGTGAGATGATAAGCAATCGTTCTTCTCTATTTCCGACTGTAAGCGTCGGTGTATGTGTAGTCACTACTGTAGTACAAGTTCACAGTCTCTACTCACTGGTCGTGCTGTTGATCGATGGAGGTTCGGTGGGGCAATCAATTTCATCGGTCCGATCCTCGCAGTCGATGTTTCCATCGCAAATTCTTTGGTCTTCCTTTATTGCTCTCAATTCTTCAGAGCAGGCTGGGAATAGTGGAGAGTTTCATTGCATTCATGTTCATGTATCAGAGACTCGAGGCATACAGTATATACATTTCGGGAACCTCACCGGGTCTCTCGATACAGTCTTCGGTTCGCAAGCGATAACAATTGATCCTCGGACGGATCTTCTCGGGTATTGATGAGTCGCACTTGTGCAGGAAGTACTCACAAAAACTGCGACAGGGGGAATGGATCTGGAAGAGAAACGATGCAGAGCGGCATCGATTTGAGCAGCGTCGGAATTCATCTGACAGACGTCAGAAAAACGCAATTTCAGAAGTCCCTAAACAGGAGGGATGAATAAAATAGGAAATTCTGTCTCATGGTCACGAAAATCGACGAAAATCAATGGACGAGACCTTCAGTTTCGTGGTGGGATTGCATTGCGGTTGCAGGAGACCACAGAGGAGATTCGAAGCGAGCGGATAGCATTCCCCATCCATCACTTCACGGAACAAGCTCAAATCCCTATCGAGGTCTCTGGAGTTGTTATGACCGACGAGATTCGGGAAACCTGAAATACTGTCGGTCATATCGTCGACATTTGGAACCTTAGAACCTCCCAAGGCTCAATCGAAAGAATTGCACGATTCCGTCCAAGTATCTACCTGTGTGATTGTACTTCAGGAAAGGAACACAGGGCTCAATTATGTACGGTTCACAGGTTAGCGCCACACTGGCTGGTCGAGAGGAGCTCGCGCTCTCGGTGATAGTTCCAGGTAGCGTGTAGAAGAACGTGTCTGGATCCAGCGTTGCGATTTTTCTTCTGTAGACTTCGGCTGCAGAACGAAGAAATTCCGAATCAAGCCTTCCCGTCCCTATCAAACCTATCCGCCAGCTATCGACCCCTAATGCCTACAACGGAAACTCACCCCCATGTATAATGGCCAGAACGGCTGATGCCGTGAGTAAAATTATCGACATGACTAGACAGAACGTGGTGAAACAGCAGCATAAACAGTTTGCTTCCGTATCTTGTTTTTCATAGGTGGACAGACTGACTTCGTTGAGCTCTGTGGAGGTGTCCTGGTTCTTGGAAAGAGATTTCATCGCTGCTCCCGAGGACGACGGCTCGTATATCGACGACTCGTGCAAGAGCGTCAAGTTCGATCTCTCCATGGGTAACTGGAAGGGTAGAGAGGGAGCATGAAGCCGTCGAGGATTCCTCTGAGATTGAGTTGTTTCCAAGGAAGAAATCGTCTGCCGGAAAGCGATCGGAGGGTACTCACGCTGAACGCAACATCGGTTTGCGTTGGAAAATTGAGAGAACTGAACAGGTGATCACCAACGATCGGAGGTGGTCGCTGGGGTCGGAAGGCGACCGTATTTTTTCCGGGAATCGGTCGGGGCAGCCCCCGGGGTGGTCTGGCTGGTGGAGACGCGAGCTCTGAGGGGCAGGCGACCAATTAGTTTCCGCATCATCATCGTGGGCCGCGAGGCTGATCCTCTGATGCCGAAGCCGTAGGCAACATAAGCGGTTGAGAGTCAAGGAAAGAATGAGCATCGTCCGTGTCTAAGGGGCTTTGTCGGTCCTAATCAAATCCCAGAAGTACACTCTTAAGCGTGTCTGGAATGGCCCGTAATAAAAACCGGTGGCTTGATTCTAGCGGTGCTCTGATCCGATTCATTACAAACGACCGTTATTGTGTGCTATTCATGAAAAGAGAGTGTGCGCCGAACTCGCCAAGTAGGAGCGTCGCAAGCCGTCAGAGGGGTGATGGCAGAAGCAGCATCACCACTACGTTACTAGGTCACTTGAAGAAGAGTTCTTTCGCCAGCTATGCAATGAAAGACTTCTGAACGAGGAGCATAAAGGATCCCGAATGGCCGTCGTTCGTCGCTTGCTTGAAAGGAATCGCATGTTTTGTTACGATGATGGCCTGGAGCCATCGCTCGTGGTGGCTGTTCAGATGAACTAGTCAACAAAGTAGACAGCGGGTGACTTAGTCTGTTCGCCTCCCGCGACAACTTCAGAGCGTTATCAATCTCAGTGAAGTCAGAATTTGTCTCTGTCGTTGAACTGCGCACGTCGTCGATGAGAAACGAGATCTTCTCCTTCGGCATGAGGCTCGTTCTCGCGAAATACACTGTCGGAATAGTTTCCAGGGAAATGATGACGGGGCGCGCAAGGCCGGCCCAATCCGCTCCGTATCACGAAATCCTACTCCTTTAGAGGACAGTTTTCCGGTGCCGACGATATTACGGGCTTCCTGGGCTGGGACTTCGTCCTTATGATCAGAGCTTTGCGCTAATAGTTGCTTCCGTAGGGAGCTTCCGCGAGGGAGCCGTTTTCGGAAACCGTCAGGCCGGACTCCCCCGTCGATTTCAGCGATATCGAAGTGATCGATGGGGTGAAGAGAAAGTCCTCTCCATTCCGGACTTGGCTGGTGTCGGAGCGTCCATAGTGAGCGCCACAAACCAATCATGGTCGTTTCGACCGGTTCCCATCTCCCCGTTTGGGGATGTTTTCAGGGTTGACCGTTCAGTCGCTCTCGCGGGGCGACAGACTGACTCCAAACGCCGGGGGATGGACGTGTCGGAATTTTCGGACGAAAATTGTCGCGCCCGTTCTCTTCTTCCGATGCCGACTCCTCCCATTTGTCGTTCGGCTGGTCAAACTTCCCAAGAATGGGAACATGCTGCGAGAACTTCGTATGTCGCTCTGTTTCGCGGAGCACAAGCGTCTCTTCCGGACTCTGCTCCACTTATTGCGCATTCAGCGTCTGTTTGCGGAGCTGAGTTGGCGAGTCCCATGCGAATATATCTTTTTTAGCTTCCCGAAAGTGTGGAAGTTCATTTTCTCGAATTCCATACGCCATTCCGGAATAATGAATTCGGGCGAATGAATCCTTGCCAAGAACGGCTTTCGTTGAAAAATTACGGAATCACGCTAGTGTTCACCACGGCTGGCCTCTCGACCGTTTGAGCCATGGAAACCTCAAGTTATCATCCATCATATATAAATAATATAACCACAATATATCTGCTCCGATATTGCGGGAGCCTCATCGATCGCGACCTACCAGGGATTATCTGCAGCGCATCATCATTGGTTTCTGGGAACATGTAACCCTCACGCGGTTTCCAATTCCACAGGACATTCTTGCTCGTCCGTTTGACCGGTGATGCCGGGGGTTGCCAGTGAGGGAGTGCCAGGAGATTCAGTTCGTCGAAACTCGGTTGGTGTTCACTCGGATTCAGGCTACAGTCTCGGCCCGGATCGAACTCACTACCAACGGGTCCCGGCGGGAGGACACGTACCCGGGACGGCAAAGACGGTAATTTCAGGGATCGGAGTTGTTCCGTGCTCCTGTCATCTTTGGTAGAGGGATTCGGGATATCCATGGCAGTCGTTCTCTGTCCGGGGAACTGGCGAACGGGGCCTAGTCTTCACGCATCGGGAGAGTTTCACCACAAAGTAATTCCGAACTAGCGCTCGCGAGCGGGTCTGGAGCGGTGGCCATTCGCGTCGGGGAGAAACATTGTTCGTCACGTATTTCGAGCGAATGATCTGAATGGAATAAAGCTGCGTGAAGATGCCGCTGTCGACTGCGGCGAAGGCGGGTCTCCAAACGCACGCCCCACTCGTGAGCGAGAAGGAATTTCGAGCGAGCGGAAGGACAGCGTTACAACTCAGGAACTTAAGGTGTCAGCCGAAATGACGAAAATGTGCGAAGTCGTCGTCATATCCATGTACTTTGACTGCAAACTTGATGTGTTTTGCTTTGACACAATACCGAAAATTGCTCCAGTAAACGCATTGACTCACTGGGCTGCGGGCAGCTGGCTGGACTTCGGCGGTCGATGTATACCACAACGGAAACGCCCCGGAAAGATAAGGAGGTGATCGCTCGTTTGCCCACGGAAGGTGGGGTAAAAATTTTCTTCGAGAATAAATTATCAGTCTCGGGAATCTGAAAATGGGCAGATAGAACAAAGGGGGGGGAGGGGGTTATCGGGAGAAAATTCCGATTCCCGAGAGTGGTTATCCAATACTCGAATGACACCATTGGCGGTTACTCCGCATCGGATCGGGCGTCTTCTACCTCGAGGCCCACTCTTAAGTCGTGCGGCCGCAGCCAAGTCCTGTCGAACCCATGCGACACGCAGTGCTCCCGAACAAAAGGATCGCAAGGAACGGATGCATTGAGCGAAGCGGATTTCAAAGTGCTCAGCGAGCCAGCTTCGGCATACAAGTGGAAAACGGAAAAGGTGGGGTCGGAAGAGCAACAATCACAATGTTCCCTCAATAGCCGGACGGAACGCTAAACAGAAAACGTCGCCTCCATTAAGTAGAAACGGATTTTGTATTTCTTTTATTTTCCTCGTCGTCCCCTCTCGATTATCCCGGGCGTCTCCCAAGATCAGTTTACGATTCGCTGAGAATGCGTTCTATCGCGCACATCGTCCCATTCAACGCGAAAAACATCGGAGTAGCAATACCACAACCTTTGTGTCATGCTCCCGTATCTCGTGATGACGCGGTGAGCAGCTCAATTCGATAATTGAGTGATGATCATCGTCTAGTATCGAGTTCGGAGGCAGAGCGAGGCGATCCGACCGGGGAGCCCGACGTTCCTATGGAAACCTCCAGAAACAAATAGGTTGCCGGTTGGAGTGTGAATCGCGTTGGCGCTCTTTCTCGTTAACGATACCACAGTGAATCCGAATGCGCACGGAGATATTGTGCCGACCCTCAAAAAAATCTCAAAATGACGGCGAAGAGACGGGAGCTGTCCAGGGACATGAGAGATTTCCTCGACAACGCGCCGAAGGAGTTGCATTCGCTCAAAGAAGAACTATCCGAGTGCAGAGCTGAAATTGAGAAAGTGGTCAACGAGAACAAATGGCTCTTCAACGAGTTAAAACACCAGGTTCAAGTTCGCCTGAACTCAATCGTCGATTATAAGAATAGTGGTAACGCCGAAGTTGTGACAACCCTCCAAGAGGAGCGGGATGCTGCTTTGGAGGCGAGGGACAAAGCGGTTAGATTGTTCGAAAACTCCGTCGAGGAAATGTCCCGGATGGACGCTGAGTTGAAAGCGAAAGCGGAATTCGTCTCCCCGGAAGACTTTGAAGCCGCCGTCCTGAAACTTCGTGAAGAACACGTGGTCAAAGTCGACTCGCTCGAGCGCCAGTTGCACCTGACGCAGAAAGAACTCCGTAGCGCTTCGTCCTCAGTGCATCAGCTGACTTGGAGACTACTCAAGGATGGGGGCACGACCGTCGACAACAATCAGATGAAGATAGGTGATATTTTGCGTGCAATGGAAAACCTCCAACGACAGTACAACGATTTGGAATTATCGTATCAGAATCTCCAATCGAAATGCGAACTACAGGAGGACCACCTGGAAAAGAAGAAGACTCGATGCAAGGAGCTCGAGACCAAAGTTGAGCATTCGAGGGACCGAAACGAGCAGCTCGAAGCTCAGTTATCGCAAGCTTTGCAACACGCCGAAAACTCAATCCATACCGCGGAACTCGCGGTGAGCGAACGCAATACGATGCTGCATCACGTGCAGGACCTCCAGAAAAGTGCTGCTCAACTCCAAGCTAAACTCTTCGAAAGCAAGAAGGAACGGGAGCGGCTCATCGCTTCGAAGGTGGAGAAAATAAAGTTACAACTCGAAGCCCAGCTGGCCGATGTGCGGTGTCAGCTGACGGCATCGCAGGAGAAAATCGAGACCCTCAAGGATGAGGCCAACCGAGTGTCGAGGGACCGCGATGACCTATCGGAGAGGCTGCGGAAAGCCCTCGAAACCGAAAGACTCGATCGGGATCAGCGTCTCAAAGAAGATAAGATATTCCGCGATAGCACAATGCAAGAAGTGATGGACAGGCGACGCGAGTTCCTCGATGAGAAGGCAAGGCGAGAAGTACTCGAACAGAGATACAATGAGAAATGTGATGAAAACAAGAGGCTGTCAAGAAAGCTGGGCGATGCAGAAACGGCTCTCATCGACTTGAAGAATGAAACGGCACGCATTCACCGATCTATGACAGACTTGAAAAAAGAGAGCGATAGGCTTTCCGAGGAGAGACTGAAGGTAGAAGAGGAGCTCCGGAAAAAGCAAGAAGAAGAGAATGATCAGCTCAAAACTGAAATTCATCGACTGATGAAAAAAATCGAGCTCTTGGAGAAAATTCATAATCAGGTTAAAGAGGAGTTCAAGAAAAAGATAGTCAAAGTGTACAAACGGGAACAGAAGTACAAAGAAACGGCAGAATTCCTAGAGGATCGGATGAAGAAACAGGCTGGCGTCTTGACAGGTTGAAGCGGATACGAGCGCGGCAGAAATAAAAATTATAGATAAACCACTCCAGTGACGAAAAATAGCGATTCCTGGGTAAACACGTAATTTTCACGGAAAACAAGCGGCTAAGCTGTTTGAAAAATATATCTCGACCTCACTGAGGTGATTGCGCATCGATGGGGAAAGTATCGGGGTCCGTTCGGGGAGGCAAAGCGCCAAAAATTGGTTTGGTGTCAGACAGACATAGCGATTTTATTATATAGGGAGATATAGGCGGATTCTAGCCAAGAGATGACGATTACCAGGAGGCGAGACTTATTCCTTGACCGGGGATTCAACGTCGCACCTTGCTGAGGGTTCTCCTTCAAGAATGCGCCGAAACAAGGAGCCGACTGAAGCTGCGATGGCTCCGTGCTCGAAATCGAAAATTGTCGAATGTCAGAGTCCGGGACTATGACAGTTATTTCACTCTTCGGAATTCAATTGAGGTCACAACTCATGAGCTGGAGTGAGATTCGAGGTCATCGACAGAATCATATGTCAAGTTTTCGAGGGGCGTAAGGGCATGCTGCTAGTACCTCGATCGACGGATCGGGCCTGAGACAGTCTCGCCGGCAGATCGAAAGCGATCCACGGAACTTCCCGGCGGGGAAATCGGAGAAATACTGACAGCCTGGTATGAGCACGCGAGCCCGCACGTAATGCCGAAATTTCGCGCTCCGCCATCCCTTGAGGCACGCCAGAGAAGTTGACGGGGTCCCCCGAACACGAATCGTTCGCGTCATTAGCATTGATTCAGCATGCACTGAGCAAAAGCTTCATCCTAGCGAAAGCGCTCTTCCAGCGCAAACGAATATGAGACCACTCAGGGTCGCAGGTACGGTTTCGGAGCGCCGCAGAGTCAAGCTGGAATATCTACTGGCTTTCAAGCACCGCCGACATCGCGGTTTCCTCGGAAACCTCTTGAGACTCATCAGAGAAAGCACGACAGGAATGGCAGCTCTATACGAAGAGGACTCACCGCTAGGAACGACGTACAAAACTGTCGTGTATTCTGCAATGTGCGCTCTGACCATCTATATGTTTTGGTACGCTTCGGCAGACTATTGGAAATTCGCGGTCAGTACGATAACCGAAATCAAGGATCGCTCCGTGGAGGGGCTCCGCATGCCATCGATCACCGTGTGCAACATGGACGGATTCAAGAGATCGATCTTCTGTGCTGACATATACCGCAACCTCACGAGAGAATTGTGCGATCTCGAGGACGAAGTGGAGTTTGCTGGAAGATTCATGAATCTTTACGGAGATCAGATGTTACAGGAGATCGCGGATAACTCCGTTTTCAGCCGACAAGATCAACTTGTAAGCTGCTTCTTCGCCGGCAAGCCTTGCGAAGAGCATTGGTTCCGCGAAAAAATCGTGTCGTTCCCGAGATATGGAGAGTGCTTCTGTCTGTTTTGTGATGAGGAAGATGCGGGGAAATACGGGAGGGTGCGTGGGAGGGCTACAATCGACGGCGGTTTGAGTCTGGTGCTGAGGTCTCATAGGAGCGAATCTATGAAGTCAGTGAAAACTCCGGGCTACCTTGTCATGATCCATTATCCAGGAACGATGCCCGAGGTGAATTCGAACGCCGTCTATCTGAATGGAGGTACTACTACGACCATCGGTCTGAGTGTTCACGTGTCCCGCAGACTGAGGGAGCCGTACGTAACGCGATGCCAACAAGAGTACCATGAGGATATTGTCGACACTTTCGGCGCGTATGTCACCCAAATTTGTTTCAAAGTCGAGTACGCTCTAGATTTCTTCAAGCAATGCGGTTTCACTCCCGAGGTCAAAGCTCGAAGCGATTATCTAGACACAGACGCTCTGTGTGAAATGCATCCCGAAGCGAAGGAATGTTGTCGGAACCTCGACGATCGAAACGTGCGGAACGGAATTTGTCCGCTGGTTTGCACGGAAACGACATATTCGAAACAGGTCTCAACGAGCGCGTGGAGGTTGCCTAGTGCGAAAAACGCGTCTATTTTCTTTAGTCGTCTGAAGCTCTATTTCACTTCGCTAAGCTGTGAATACACGACTGAAGTTCCGTCAATGACTTTCGTGCAGCTCATCAATCTCGTTGGAGGTTATATGGGAATGTTCGTGGGATTCTCGTTTCTGATTTTTTTTGAAATTGTCGAAATCATCATCAGAACTTGTCGTCTACATCTTCACGGGTAGGAGGATTGTAAGCTTGCGAAGGATAACTTATTCCGGGAACGGTCTGTCCGAACTCCGGACTGAATTGAAGTTTCTCGTCCGATTCTCGAGGAGTCTGAGATCGCTTGCAGTATTCTTCGAATCAATCTGAATTTCGGAGATTCGCCCTGAGCGGACTATCATGAGTCGTGTACTCTATTTGTGAACGTCCTTCGTGCAACCCTTCTGCTGAAGGCTACATGTCATTGTTTCATTTCTGACAGCAGGAATATGGATTCGATGTCGGAGACTTCATTGGACGTTCGGTCTAGAAGAGGGCAGACCAGAGAAATTCTGCAGATTGAACTCAATATCAGAATCAGCGCTTAGCACGCAACAAACTAGACGCGGATTCCCCGTTTCTCCCGCCTGCCTATTTGTTCGAATTATCCCTGTAGACACTGACCTTGCCCTAGCGTACCACACAATGAACCACAAGCATTTTATCAACACGGCCACAGCGAGCGCCGGCAAAACGTTCGAAAACCGGTGGAGCAAGAAAATTGTTCTCCGGAGCCTCCCGGACTCGTCTAAAATGTCACGGATCTTCCGATCTCTGGTGCAGATTTCCCGTTTAGGGACACGCCGCGCGAGTACAACGAGAAGAATCAATGTAACCAAACCGGTGGTCGAGTTGGACGGTGATGAGATGACGAGGATAATCTGGGAGTTCGTGAAGGATCGTCTCATATTCCCATATGTGGATGTCGACTGTAAATATTATGACCTCGGACTCGAATACAGAGATGAAACCAATGACCAGGTAGGTTTCAGCTTCCAATATGATGCGGGCGATTCGGTTCGGGTGCGCGTGACAACTGTCGCTCTGGTGTCTCGTCGTCCCTGCACGGTCTCCCTCGGACGGCGTCCCGTCTTTATTCTGCGGTGTCCTCTTGCCGAGACTACCGACGCCGGAAACCGTCGCCACAAACCTAGGGGTAGAGCTGAGGCCCGGGTCCACTGCAGCCACACTTCAATTTTCGCAAAGGGATGGGATGGATGAGGACTCGGAGATCACCCTTGGAGCCGAATCCCTCATATCCGACCCTGCTGGATTAATCGCAGCATATTCTACAATGTCACAGGATGATCGACTCCTCGTAGATACTCGATTCGTGCCGATAAACGTCGCTCGATACGTCACATTCCAGGTCACAATAGACGCCGCCAATGCTATTCTCGAACACAACGTCGGCATCAAGTGCGCCACGATAACGCCCGATGAAGCTCGCGTGAAGGAATTCAACCTCAAGAAGATGTATCCAAGTCCCAATGGAACGATCCGGAATATCTTGGGAGGCACTGTGTTTAGGGAGCCGATCCTTTGTTCGAACATCCCGCGCCTGGTCCCAGGCTGGAAACAACCGATTGTCATCGGCCGACACGCATTCGGAGATCAATACAAAGCCACAGACCGTGTGTTCGGGAAACCAGGCAGACTTGAAATGGTCTTCACCCCCGCAGACGGCGGTGCGGAGGAGCGCGCGATAGTATATAATTTCGGAGATGGGGGGGTCGGACTCTGCATGTACAACACCGATGAATCGATCAGAGGCTTCGCGCATTCGTGTTTCCAGTACTCTCTGATGAAGAACTGGCCTCTGTATCTCAGCACGAAGAACACGATTCTCAAGGCGTACGACGGTCGTTTCAAGGACATTTTTCAGGAGGTTTACGATGAAAAATACAAGTCAGACTTCGAGAAGCAGAAAATTTGGTACGAGCACCGTTTGATCGATGATCAGGTTGCGCAAATGCTCAAGTCATCCGGTGGTTTCGTGTGGGCCTGCAAGAACTATGACGGCGACGTACAGAGCGACATCATTGCCCAGGGTTTCGGCTCGTTGGGTTTGATGACTTCGATTCTGGTCTGTCCCGACGGTAAGACAATAGAGTCCGAAGCAGCCCACGGAACCGTCACTCGACATTACCGAATGCACCAACAAGGTAAACCCACAAGCACAAACCCTATCGCGTCCATTTTCGCCTGGACGAGAGGACTGTCGCATCGCGCTAAGCTGGATAACAATGCCGAGTTGACGAAATTCTGTGAATCGCTCGAGAGGGCGTGTATCGATTGCGTAGAGAACGGAGAGATGACGAAAGATCTTGCAATTTGTATACATGGTATGAAAAATGTGCAAGAATCGCATTACCTCAATACCATGGACTTTTTGGAGGCGATAGCCGCCCGCCTCGACCGCTCGCTGAGATAGACTGTAATGAGCTTCAGAATTACGGAAGTGTGTTGACTATAAGTAGATATACGATGAAAATATTCTAGAATAAACGAGATGCAATGGTGTGCCGTCGTGGATAACGTCTTTATTTACTTTGTGAATATCGCAATCACGTCGATAGTAAATGTTAAGGGGAGGAGACCTCTTCAACAATCGAAAATCGATGCCAAGTGTGAGCAGCGCAGAGAAACCACATCATAACAATCGGATTCGTCTTGATTGGGTATCGGTCACAGAAGATCACAAAAGCAGTCCGCTTATGGGGGAACACAAAATTGTGGTGAACTCGAAACCCGGCTTGGAGCTCGGGTCAACAATGGATAATTTCAACAATCGTCCCCACATTCGATGATATCGAATGTTACGGCCATCACCCGTAATATTCGCATCGGTCAAAGATATGCAGAAGCTCTCAGCCCTAATATTGTTCTGACTCATCCGAGGGATGAGTTTTTTTTTATGCATTTATATTACTCTAGTGGAGAGCTCTAATCAGGGTGACCCTGGGCTTAACGAGAATCAAAGTTCTCTTCCCTCTCAACTGAAGATAACCCCATAATTACTTCATTATCATCGTAGAGGGCGAAACGTGAGATCCGTCTCCCTTATACTGAAAGCAAGAATGAACACAAAATGCGTCTCTGTCGAGAGAAAATTTCTCGCAGAATACGATGGGTAGAGCCAGATTCAGAAGTCGCGTGTGCAGTGAACGAGGAATACTTGGACAACAACGTCACCGTTCGAAAATAAACCCGTTGGAATGCCGAGTGATCAGATATCGTCGCCGCTAGACAGGTTCTTGTAAAAAATCTGTCTACTGTGTGCCATTCGATCTCATAGCGCGATGTGTAGCCTCCGTTACGGGGTAAGTGACGAAGCTTGAGGGGCCGATGTGTCATAAACGTTTATAGGTCCCGAGATGGGCATTGCAAGACGGACAGCGGTGGTCAACATCTTGACATTCAGGGATGCAGCAGGGAATCAGGCAACAGCCCCAGAAGCAACTCAGGAGGATCAACGCTGAGCACAACAGATACGTCAATAGTCCCGGTCGCACATGAGTTTCTGGAAGAGAAAATGAAATTTCCTCAATGAACGATGTTATCACTGAGTGCGGGCATCGGGGGTGATTCGGAATATCCGCACTTTCCGTCGATGGCTTCAGAAATCGGCGTGGCCAGAACGAACACAGCGGGGGACTCATGGATAATCAGGATGACATCACAGAACGCGCCTTTCTTTGCGAAGGCTAGCATCGAATGACTCACTCACCTGTCATGATCAGAGCTCCACACCTGCCGCACGTCACTTGCTGAGAGTGCGGTCCCATGCGCGCACGGATGACGTGTACTGAAATTCAATAAGTTCACTATCATGGATACAGCCTATGAGGATTGAAAACGCTGGAAATGATGATGAATTCTTCGGCTGGCTCGCTCGCTCATTCTATCCGAAACCATCGTGGAAACATTCTCATCTCAGCGATTCGGGAATTTAGCTGGAGCTTCGAACCACCAAGTACATCGAGTCGTTCTCGAGCTCGCCTAATCACTTGTTCGGGGAGCTAGACTGCTAGACATGTACTATGCGGGCTCTCGATCGATGAAACCTTCGAGAGATCTGTCGTAGGTGAATTGCGAACCCAGTCATCTAATCTTCCCAGCTTAGAGGAATTCGCCGTCTGGTCTGAAGTAACTTACTGTCCACTCTCGGAGGTACGGTAACCCCCGGAGCCGCAGGCTGGGGAACCGCTTGTGGTTGCGGAACTGCGAATCCGGGATGAGGGGTGTACGGCGGCGGAGGATCCATGGGAGGCATTTGAGGATAGAGGGGCGGTTGGCTGGCCTCGGATGCAGCGGGAGGTGCCGACGCACCTAGAGTTCCAGCTTTTTCCATATTCAAAGATGGCACTGTGATACGTATTGGGATGATTTCGAGTCCGCTCTGAACAAGGAGTGAGAGATTTTCCCTCGGCCACCTAAACAATCACACACATGCGGACGATAGCGACGACCAACTGACTGAGGGGAGGGAAATTAGCGGCGCTCATTCCGATTCGGCTCGCATAATTCAGAAGTCGAAAACTGTTTTCTCTGCTTCTCTGTCTGTCTATTTCTCCGATGGTCGAGATACTGTTCTACGATGATTCGTAGCTCTAGCCTCAGGATTTGCATCAAATATTTACTTAGGTAAAGCCGGAGAGTCAGAGGGCGAGGAGGAATCCGATGATTTCAATGATCTTTGCTGGAGTTGTCGGCTGTATGGGGCGGTCTCGTCGACTCTCCTCACACCCGCTTCCACATTGAGCCGAAAGTTCTTCACGAGAAATGATTGAGTGCACATTCGCGCGAGCACAATTTTCCTTTGCAAAGTCCGCTATGGATTGAGAGCAAGTCTGAGTGAAGGCTTTGGTGAAGCTGCTGGAAAATCATGGGAGTCAGCAGCGAACGCCTCCCCTGCTCATCAAAGTCTCCTTAGGAGACACTAACTTCCCAGGGATATCTCCCGGATATGCCCACCCAAAGACAGGAACGGGAGTCGTATTCTGAGACAAACAGCTGCGACGAAGCTTAGAAGAAGAGGTGAGTCCACGGTCCAAGCTTCCACGAAGCTCATGGAGCACGTTTCGCGATAAGCGACCAATCAGATGTACCTCAAAGTTCCCTCGAGAAATAAATCAGCCGGGAAGAAGGTCGAAACTTCCGAAACCAGTTTGGAACCCTCGTTTCCGGAGGATTTAGCTGAGATTATCTACTTCCGCTATTCAAGCTCTCATGCGATGTTCAGTGCACCCACAGCCTCAATCAAACGACGAGTACGCCGCCGATTAGCCGCCTGAATATCACGTCGGTTATCTCAGCTGTACTGACTCCGTCGTCTGCTAGGAGGATGCTTAACATAAACATTCTTCTGCCTGTGTGTGCGCTGCGCGACCTGCGGCTACCGGCAGCTGCCGCGTTCGGCTCACCCAAGAGAAGTGAGGACTGAAAGACACTGTAGACCTTGATTGAGTTACCCGAAGAATGAAAACCGTATCGTTGCCGCCACGTTCCACTGCTTGTCTGGATTCAACCGCGGCGGCTTATAAAGAAATCGTCTAATCTCTTTGCAGGATGTCCCAGTTTCTTCGGAAACTCCGAAGTATTCCGACAACGAACTGGATCGTCGGAATTCTCCTAGCCTTGGGGTCCACAGCCTACATCTACAGTCCCGTCGTAGCGGAGATTCGAGCGCAACAGCTTCGGAAAAAGCAATCTGCGGACTCAGAGCGAACAGAAGATAGCTAGAGGTGCGCTCCTCAAGAATTTATCGGAGGCATACCATGCTTCCTACATCCTTAGTCGATACCGGTCACGAGGATGAGACGGGTTCCTAAGATGCTCTTCCTTTCTAGTCGCTGCATCGAATTCTACGAGCCTCGGAAATCCCCCGAGTCGCTTTTTGCGGATCGAATTCCAGATCTACGGATCGGGCAGACGCGACGTCGGAATGATCTTGAGATGACGGACTCTTTAGAATAAACAGACTGGTAATCGAACTTGTAATAGAGTATCCCTTCTCTAGTTTGCATCGAGTTCATCCCGCATTGCGGGGAGATGCAATGGAATGGAAAAGTGCTGAAAATCTATCTGGGTACTTCGGAAAATGAATAGGTCTCCGCCTATCGATCTTCATTCGGACATGGTTCGCATCACAGTCATACCGCGTCATTCGCATCGTTCATTCAACTGTCCAGACCGCTTCATGGGCTCCGAGTTTCGCACGTGCGACATCGGAGCCTCCATGGTGCACGCACTTGATGAGCGAGATTTGATTTGACTCCAAGTCATTCGCTTCGATGAGCTAGTGATTAGGAGTCCGATATATCTCGCTGAATTCTACGGGGGCTTGACCTGACTTGAGAATCAACATCCTGACTCCATGATAAGTCGGCGTAGCCTTCTGTCCTTGAACACGCTTCACCATCTCGGAGATTCCCACATGGCTCTTACGAACCGTTCGGTCAAGGCCTTGGTGCTAGCGCCCGATATGGCTAGCGCTCCCCGGCCGGGAACGTCCTTGATTGTTCCACAGATGACGAGGGGATACGAAGCTGTAGTTCAGTCTTGCCGCAAAGGAGTATTGCATGAAGATCCTAGCTTCTCATGGGCGGGGTCATACACACTTGCAGAGTCAGCGTCGAGTTCTGGCTCAGCGTCATCGATTTCCGGGCTCGAAAGTTCCGAAAGTCTAACAGATAATCACCATTGTTGTATGCTTGTCTTCCTCTTGGAGTTCTGCAAGCTTCTGGTGGTGCGCAACGTCTTGAGCTCGGATCCCTCTGGAGTTCGGCAGGCATCTTCTTACGATCGGGCGGAATGAGGCCCTGTGCACCATCAAGAGATTCAGGATCTGGGACTTATCAGCTCTTTATTGCATGCAGGAGGTCTTCGGGCAGAGCCTCTGGATCGAAGAATTATGTACTAATTGACAAATGAGGCTAGTGTAAATCAAAGAACAAGGAGCGAATGACTGCCTGAATCGAGTCAGAACTCGACCAGGTATCACCCAAGGGAACGATGCCGGAGCATAAGTTCCGCCAGTCGTTCCACGAGGGCTGTTCCCAGATATAGATAAAGGTAATCCCGACTGAAGGCGAGCCGCCCGCTTCTGTGCAGAGCAATGTCCGATGGGGGCTCCTTTAGACCTACCCCTATTATCGTATGCTTCCGGGTGTGCCACCCATGATTTCTTCGACCGCTTGTCCATAATCGCAACCCGAAGCTTCGATCCTGTCACCTTCAAGCATGATCGCCAGCGCCTTGCGCGTCATAACCTGGAGGGCTATATAAAGCGTAGCGGGGGATCATGAGATTATCGCTCTGGGTGCCCGATGTATAGACGTGCCCTTCGTCTCTTGCAGTGTGAACGTATAGGTTATGGGCCTGAAGAATAAAGACAGACGGCCCCCACGACACAAGCCGGAACAACGGCGAATTCCCAGTGGGGTAGCAACAGATGCCTTACTTGCACTCGGAGCTGCGACTTCACGATAGAGCCGTCGATCCAGGAATGATGATGAAAAAGAGCCATCTCCACCGTCCCCGAGAGAAGTTAAAGCGGGTCGACTGGAGTATAATACAGACGAGACGGCGAGTTGGGTCGTCGTGTAACGAGTGAGCGTTTAATTAACTTCGTTGTTGTATATCTACGCTAAACAGAATGGCGGCCCGGGCGGTCTGCTACAAAGTCACAACCCACATGACTGGAGAGACCAAGCCGACTTCAACATCAATCCGCGCAGCCTCGTGGTTCGGATAGCTTGGAGCAGCGAGGAACTGTTTTACCTGGAATTCCGCGATGGAGGAACATATCTTCATCCGTGAGTTATGGAAATACGTTAAAGGCCAGAAGGTAGATGGTGGATCCATACCGAACCGAAGGAGCAAAAGGGTCGTCCATCCCGGGTATGAAGAGTAGCCTCTTCTTCTTGATCCGAGATGCAGGTTTGACCCACGTAGAAATAACAAGGGAGCTCATCGAACAGAGACTCCTCAGTGGAGCTGACCGGCAAGTGGCACAGGAGCCGGGAACTGCGCTCCTGAGATCACGATCGGAACGAAGTTTTCGTATCCTGCAACAGTGAGGCTGATGTGGTCCTAATGGAGCGATTAGAGGTCGGCGCTCATTGAGAGGATAAAATATACCCACCAGGGATGGACCCAACAGTTCATCTCCGGGAAGCCTCTTGCACTTGTGAGAAGCTAGGTATTGCTACTCGAATACGGGAAACAAAATGATCGTTATCTGCACGAAGGGCGACGGACAGGAGAGCAAGGGCTCCGTAAACTTCGAGCAACTCCCGGAATTGTCGACGACGACTCAGTCGGACACCGATGCAGACTGGTTTATCGACTCCGGAGCTCCCATGACGGGATCGAGAATTTGTTCGTCAGCCTTGACAGAGGAGCCCGGTCCGGACTAGTACCAACAACGAACAACCAGATCACGAGGTCTGCTGAGGTAAGAGACGCTCTCCCCAGCTGTTACGTTGATGGAGAGTGCCGCTACTCGATGCCACGCGACGTATTGAATGTGCCTGGGCGTGGAATAAGTCTGATGTCAGTAAGACAAGCGTACGGGCTATGATTCATAGTGAGCTTCGACGGAGACATGTGCGAGATCAGAAGCGATCTTGGTAATATTTGTGAAGAGACTAGTTGCTCTCACACTGAATTGTTTCGATCGCATGTCTGCTCACTTCTAGCAGCACTTGTAGTCCGTGATGGTATCTCAGCGACTCGTACGATAGCTGGCATGGAAGGCTAGCACATCTTCATGCAGAGGCGATAAGGTAATTAGGTAGCTGGAAAACTCATGAAAGGAGTCAAGCGTCAAGTTCCGACCGGAAAACGTATCTGAGGAGCTTGTGTTGGTGGGGAAGAACGGCGTCCGAAATTCCCGGAACCACCGTCGGTGACGAGAGCACAGCTATTCACTATTAGTCACTAGCGACATAGGCGGCTTGGAGGCTGATCAAAGTCTTTGTGGTCCTCGGTAGTTCTTTGTCATTGTTTCTGCCGATGACCGCGCGAGGATGACTCTAGTAGCTTTCATGAAGCAGAAGTCGCCGAATTTTGAAAAACTGGTGCACTGCATACGGGACGCTGAGTGCGAGCTCTGAATCTGCTTTGCAGACTGCGAACTGATAATGACACGGAACGCTTGAACAGGAAGCTGTCGTCTTCCCTCAAGGAACACGGCATCCAACAAGAGACTGCGGTGGCAGTGGCGTACCGTGGGGGTGCGCTTGGTGCGCTCTATCCCGGGCATCAAGGCCATCGGAGCGTCAAGGAGCACTGTCCGAAGAATGCAGGACGAATTCCGGCATATCATCCTGAACAAAATGTTCGGCCCGACAAAGCCCTGTGGACCCTGGTGAAGCGGGCTATGTCAATTAGGACGGACGCGGGCCTCGACGCAGGTTTTCGGGCTGAAGCGATACCAACAGCTTGTCAAGTGAAGAATTTGTGGTCGACAGCTCCTGTGAGGGAAACTTGGTTCGGAAGAAAATCCAATTTCAATCCCTTACAGGCATTTGGTTGTCTGACCTATTCTGTACCAGAGGAGAAAAGGGGAGAGAGATTCATCATCGTTGGCCACTATCGACAGTCCAGAGGTTATCGCTTGGATCCGCTCGAAAATGTTTTTGCAATCGAAAAAGCTCGGAATTTGTATTTCGGTGAGACGCTAGTGTCACCTTCTTTCATGCAGAAGATACCAAGATTTGCCAAGCCTAGACTCAGATCGCAAGTGGGGAGTCCGAGGCCGAACCTGATGGAGTCGGAGCGAAATGAATCGAAGTGAAGAGGGCACGAAGTGACAATGTGACTGAATTCCTCAACAAGCGAGTCTCAACCTCATTGCAGAGAACGACATGACACACGAAACCGCTGTAGAGTATTGCCCACAAGAAAAAAGGACCGACGTAAAGAGCGGTGCGAACCTTGACAGGAATAGCAAGGGCCATGTTAACAGATTCTGGTCTGCATGGGAGTTCCTGGTCGGAAGCTGTTGGCATGTAGATCGAAGAGCTCGAGCCCGGCGACAGCTACGGTATCGATGTACCCGACGGAAGCAAGGTCCGAACGGAAGCCTGCCTAAGTCCTTGCGCGTTTCCGGATGTTTGGCGCATGCAGACAAACCCAACCAGAGGAGGAAAAACCGCAGAAATGCATATTCGTCGCTTATCGTCAGAACATTTTTCTGCTTCGCCAGCAATAATGACTCTCCGTCCTCGATAAAGGTGCAGTGTCGGAAGATGGAAGCCCGAAATGGGTATTCCAATTGAAAGGAGCAGTGAGGGAGAAGTTACAGAATACATAGTGAGCGAGGTTTGCTGGGAGAGGTTTCGAGCAAACGATAGGAGTAGATTTCGATGAAAACGCCCTGCGAGCGCCACTCAGCGTGCGTTGACTGGAAAAACCGCCGATCGGCTCCATGTAAGATGGAGATCAAGGAGCTTACTTCTTACTTGTAAGAAGGAAGATACATGAATGGAACAACCTACCATGTTCCAGGCGGAGGATAAGGTCTGTAAGCTTATGAAATCGCTCCACAGATTGAAACAAGTGTGTCGAGTCTTCCTCACTGAATCAGTGAGGCGGCCAGAAGTGAAATCATCGCTCGGGCCGATTTCCTTCCGTGATAGGAGAGTCCTCTCCAAAGGGGAAGAGACGTGGAAGTAAGTTTTCGGAAGGCTTTGTGAAGGACGCGAAGCGCTACAATAATTGGGGGATTCCAGAGTATACTTCGGAGCCGAGCGAGGCGACATCTGCGAGAAGCGTTAGAAGCTCCATCAAGCGATCGCGGCGTGGAAGCGCACGAATGACCAGCAGGCATCCGGGGTTTTAGAAGAGATATATAGTCTCATTCTCAGGCCTCCCACGCTGGACCGCTTTCTGACGGTGGATAAGCCCCCCGATTGTAAAAAGCCCCATATCTATTGCGAAAACTGTTATAGCCGAAATGAATTAATTTCGTTCGCGTACCTGGAAAATTTGTGTGACCGCGGTATTTTCGAATACATCCATGTGACTTTCTTCCTTATACCTGGACATTCATGCACTGCTGCCGATCGAGATTCCGACCTAGTGCAGAGCAGAAGCGGAACTTTACTGAGATTCCTGGCTCAGGGACGTGGATCGAGAAGATAATCCAGGGAACTCGTATCTCGGAGCCCTTCGTGGTCCATAACCTGAATTCCCCGTTATCTCCCGATCTTCTGCCGATTTCAAATACAGTATAGATGCGCTTATCGGAGCCATTTCGGATCTAAGCCATTCTGGACCGAATAAGTGGTCGGTCCGATAAGGCGGACTGAGGGAGGGAGTGGCCGGAATCATCCTTCTCCCGCTCCGGATCGTGTGTCGGACTCGGTTAGGTATTCGGATTGAATTCTCGAAATACCGTGAATGTTCTGATAGAAGGGCATGTTCGTCTATTTTTCAAGCCTCCAGAACCTGCCCGCTCGTTAGAGATCGCTCGTATCTTGGAGGCTGCCTCTCTATTTTTCTCATTCCCCAAGGTGAGGTCGGAGCGGGGTTTCGTTTGAGAACGAAGCCGGCGAGAATCGAAGTGAAGTTCGTGGCCGAATAGCGAACTGCTTTTCACAAATCCTCCGCTACGAAATTCCGGCGACACAAGGTTCTCTCAGAGAAGAGACCCTAGTCCGATTCCGCAACCTCTATGCTTCCTCCGAAAGAATCAGACGTCGCTAAGATCTGTACCTATGGAAGTGATGGCAATGTTTGGTCAGTCCTCACGAGTCGAACCTCGGAAAGCTACTCTCACTCACTCAGTATAGAAGTCACCGCGTTGAAGGAACATTGAACCGCATCATTCTCTGGATTAATTTCATACGACTTGGTTTTTCATCAGACATTTGTGTGAAGGGGTTAGAACTCCGATTCTAACTGGGAAACGCGCCCGAGACGCGGGCGAGAGACCCGCCACGTTTGAGGGAAGTCGGTAGGTCCCGTCGGATGAGCTTCAACCGCATCCGTAAACGGATGCGCAGTTCCGTCGCTGTCACTGTTGCCTACTTTGATCTCTTTCCAGGGTCCTTCTGCCGATTATTCGATTATTGGATTGGAAAGTTGGATAATAACGATGTCGAGCCTCTCGAAAAGTTCGCCGCCCTCAGAAGCGTGAGTTTTTCCGATACGCGAGATCCGGAAGAGTGTTCAAGCGGAAGCGTGTCTCTCGTCAAGGCATCGGGAGAACCGTTGCGTCACATCCGATGATCGTAATGAATGACGAAAAATATCGGGGCAGCTCATTCCTGTAGCCGAGGATATTACCCGCCCTAATCGAATATTCGCAGATCCGATGTCTCGTACATGCGAAGCTCCTCGCCGAGCAGGCTGCTTGAGAAAATGCCGGTGGTTGACAAGTCTCGCGAGAAGACGGCGGCGCTCCTGATAACGTTGTTCAAAAAATTGAAAAAAGAATCCCCAGAGTCAATGAATCCGATGCAATATTACTGCAGAGAGCAAATCCTCCTGACAACCCAAACAATGCTGCGAGGCATCAACAAAGACAAGGTATTTGAATCAGAGTTTCGCGGCCCTAATCTGCTGTAAGAAAGGGCTATCCTGGATCAGAATCGATTATCCTGTCCTCCGCTCCCTTTTGAGACCACCCTCCCTCCGTAGCCTAAAGCTGAGATGGAGATTATGGGGTCCCTGACCGAGAACTTGGTTCTCCTCCATTTGCGAGTTCTGCAGCAAAGCCCAGTAGCTGGGTCTTGGATGGCTGGCAAACTGTTCACGTTCGTCACAATTTTAGCTGATATGGCTGATAAGGACGAAGACGAAGATGAGGACGACGATGACGAGCCTGAGCTCATTGATTGGAACCGCTTAGCCGACCATATGGAAGCCGCAGCAGCAAAAGTGCGTCTCATGATCCTTGAATACGGATCATCATCCTTGAACACTGGATGTCGTGAGTGGTACTTTGTTCTCACAATGGCCCTTTTCTATTCCTCCCAGTTCAAAATCGAGAAATGGGATATGAAGGACTTCATTCCCTCGCTGGAATCTTTGAAAGGAGATAGGCTGTTAGGCCAGGGAGGATTCGGCCGAACGTACCTAGGACGTTACCTGCCCAAAGACTTCGAAGTGTGCATCAAGGTGGTTCCCTTGGAGAAGTTCCAGCTCCTGCGTCATGCTTGCGCGGATAAAGTGAGGTTCCCTATTTTTCATTCTTGATATCGTCCACCGATATTGTCTGATATTGTCTGGAACGCTTTGTTATATCACCGATGACCTATCGTCCGATTCGGAGTCAGCTTGAACCTGGAGATCTGTCGTAAATCCTTCTGTTGTTCTTGTGACCGCTCGTGCCTCGGTCGATGCAAGTTCTCCCGAGGAGCTTCTGCATTCATGGATGAAATTGTGCCCGAAACGTCTCATGCTATCTCATGCATTCTAAGCACTAAGTGAAGAGATCAGCGAATACCTCATGTTGATCAGGTCTCCTGTCGGCGCCGCTCCTATGCCGGAAAGCTGTGATTAGTGCAGGCAGGCTCCAAAAATGTCCCATGCCGATCGACGATAACCGCCGTCTCTCCTCACCCGGTCTCGCAAACTCCTGAAAAAAGGGAAACTGTTGTTCGAATCTGTCACTGGATGGGGCAGCCAATGCTGTATGTTCCGAGTCTGAATCACAGTGATCGAACGAGGGCATTCGGCTCGCTCCTATCTGATTCTCAGCCCAGGAAAAATATCGCAGCAACGGCATCCTTGCGGAATGTTCGTGCAATGATTCCTCGATCGATCCTGATGGAAGATATTCTAACGCATGGACGCATATTGATCCTCCTGCCTGAGGTACGAGCCTCTCATGCTGATAGATCGTAAGATGTATCGAGTCGATGGCTTGTCTTATAGCTCAATCCATACGGGATCGAAAATCTATTACTTGGAGGGAGCGCCGTCTGCGAATCGATTCCACTGCCGGAAGCTGTGAAACAGGATGCATCGGGAGCAGTGAGCTTCATCGATCCCTCGTCCAAGAATATTTACTACCATTTCATCCATAATCCATGTCTAATCTAGAGGTATAACTGACTTTTCCATACGATAGCGATACCTCTGGATAGGAACTTAGTATCCGGCTTCCCGCGAGTCCGGATAGGCTTCGTATTCATCTTCTTCGTGAGGGTCCTTCGTCAGCAACACTCGTCGAATGGTGTCCCTTCCTCATCACTTATGAATTATTACTTCTCGTGAGGGGAAGACGGTTTCTTAAGAAGGCTAAGACAGACTCGTGTCTTTTACACTCGGAGGCGATAGAGCTCCGCTTGGCCTATAGGAGTTCTTTGCCTCCATCTGGACTCCTCACCCCTCGTAGGAACTACCCGTGTGCACACTCCGGACCTTCGAGTTCTGCAAAGGTCTCCCCTTCTCAACTCGTTGTCCAGATCAGAAGGAGTGTCTTCGTCCAAAACAGCTCTCCGGTAATCCTAGCCGAAGCGAAACTTCCCGGAAACACATTAAACTCAAGGATATGCTCGTTTTCTTCTGATGCCGATATGATCTGCAGCGGCCATCGGATTCGAATTCTCCTTTAATGAACGTCTCCATCGACACTGCATCTGACGAGTCCGGTCGACGGGAGCAAGGACAACGAGTCTCCTTTTCTCGTTATCTTTTCGCAGTATCGAGCCAATTAGCGAGACAATGCGCTGGGAAAAATAAAATGTCCCGATGACCAAATCGAAAGTTCTCAGGACTTGGGGCGCGAGTCGAACGAGCCGAGGGCGATGTCATTAAGTTTGTTTTTTCTCTTTCAGCTCGTGGCCTGCATGACCCGATGCGTGTTTATCGTTCAGTATTTCGCTGTGTTCCAGTGCCAAAACGCTCACATCACATTGATGGAACATGTGAGAGGAGCAGATCTTAATCAACTGATCAAGGTTTCGCGGAAACTAGAGCCCGAAACTGTCCGCGGACTGGCCGCCCAGTTATACATAGCACTCGAGTATCTGCATCTCCACGGTACGTTTGTACGCTGTGTTTGTTGTTCTTGGAGGAACGAACGAAATGATTTCATCATCACTCTTCGATCGATCTAATCACTGTGGTTTTCAATGCCACCAAGAAGGAATTGAATTCAGCAATCGCCATGACAGGCGATGGCCTAGCCCAAAGACGGAGCGAAGCTCTGTAGTGTTCCATTGCCACTCGCAGTATCTGTCCATTCGTCCGTCCCTTGCTCCGTCGGTCCGTCCGGCGTCGTGCCAGTTCACTACATGGCTTACGAGCAGGCAGGCGGGCGTGCGGACGGAATATAGACCATTCGGTCCACGTGCCACCCTACCTCTCGTAGCGCCGAATACTGTCCGTCCTGTCGACGTCCGCGCACGCCCCAGCTTCTGTCGCACAGAAAACATGACGCGAGGCGTTTGATTGACATGAGGTTTGTCGTTGGAAATGACATCTCCTGAGAACTGCTCCCGTTTCACATGTCGACGGCTGTTCGGCATCGGTGACGTCGACGACGTTTACCGTTGCTTGCGTTCGACCATCTTATGATCATCATCAATATGCGTTGGGCAATATCGGAGCAGCATTGGCGTTCGCGTCCCTGCCGTGTTGTCGCAGCGCTAAACAGCGGCTTACTGTGAAAAGCCCCGCCCCTTGTCTTCTGGGTGGCTGTGGGTGGACGAATTCGGCTGGAGTCGTATGTGGAAGCAGAAAACTTCGCTCACCGAAAATGAGGAGTGTCCGACCAGGGGTGTAGCCGATCTACTCTCAGATCCTCGCTCGTGGCTTTCTTCACCTTGGGTAGACGAAGCCGTTTCCGAGAACGAGCGTCCCCGATTGAGGGAATCTCGCGAAGCGGCTTCCTGCACGATCAACACTCGTGTCCTGGCGGTGGGGATCTTGCTACGAAAGAATATTTTCTTCCGGACCTTGAGATTTCCAAAGGGAACGCGCGTCTGTCGTTCTCGAGTGGAGTCATCTGCCAACTTTGACAATCCTCCCATCGTAGTCAGAGCTCTGAACGATGTTGAGCTGTCTTGTGACGCGTCTTTTCTGATAGCAGAACAAGAAGGGGGAAACGGTCGTTTCGATTTCACCACAGCGTTTCATTATGGCGAATTCTCCGATGATTTCTCGTCGCTCGCATCTGATTACAGACATGGTCTTCTGACATGGCCATATCATGATTTTCTCTATGCTGCAGGATTCATTCACCGAGACATGAAAACGGCGAACATTCTCGTTACCGCCAAGGGTTTCTTGAAGCTTATCGACTTCGACACCTCAAAAGTAAGTGGTCTGCGAAGCATCCATCGTTTCACCCCTGTTGCCCGCTCGTTAATGTTCGTTGAAATAGCCTTGTTGATGACTTCGTGAGCGGACCGCCGACATTATCTCGATTTAAGCGATGTAACAGTGTTGTTCATGCGGAAGGTCCGATTTTCCAGCACTTGAATACACCCATGAGCTCGATCCGTCTAGGTGCAATATTTCATTCGAGTGATTCTCGAAGGATTGATTCGAAGAATTCGTCGAAATTTTCTGATCGGAAAAACTGCTCATTGTTTCTGACGAGCCACTTTACATCGTCCGTAGGTGTGCCTTGCCCACAACATCAGGGCTCGTTTGATGAAGTGCTATTTTCAACGAACCGCCGGCGAGTTCTCGGACAAGGAAAAGGCCGGAACTCTGGCGTACAGGAGCCCCGAGGCCATCCAGAGACATCACTATGGAAGAGCCCTCGATTGGTGGGCAATAGGTGGGCAATCGATCGCTCCCAGATCGGTCGAAGCGTACGCGATGCATCTCGTCCTCGGCCCTGATCGACTTTCCGGGATCCTCGGTTTCCAGGTTGCGTGATCTTCAAATTGACGACTGGCAAGCTCCCGTTCCGCGGACAAGATCTCCAGCTCAGAGAGAAGATTCTACACGATGCACCCGACTGGCCCGAAAAACCCGCCGTCAGTAGAGATCTGAAAGTTTTCATTATAGGACTGCTGGACAAGGATCCGCACAAGAGACTCGGCAGCGGATCGTATGCAGAATTGAGACATCACGAATACTTCAAAGGTCCGTTTCGTTTCGAGAAGAGCGATCCCAATCATCTATCTTGGCCATTTCCACAGTCATCCGCTTTTGGATATCGGCTGCATCGGAATGACTGCTACAGCTGCTCTTGTTGGCGCCGTCGTTGTTAGGTCACAGTCTTCGAATGGCTCTTGAGCGACCCTCGGATCTTCTTGTTTCCCACTGATAGCCTGCCACGTACATTTCCGATTAGCTTCTCCGGCATTCCGTCTGAAGAATGCGAATATGTGACCAGGGAGACCGTTTCTCTCAGAACAAAGCCCCAACGATTCATTCATTTGATTTATTGTTGGAAGGGCTAATGTTGATTGCTCATTCCACAAAGTTTCCTATCTACTGTCCATAGATGTCGATTTCGCGGCTCTTGTCAAGAGCAAGGGGAATGAGACTTTCGCAGAGATGCCGAAAGAGTTCTACGTGGCCGAAACATTCATTGCGAAAACCGGGCGGAAAAAGAAAACGGATAAGAAGTTACTCGAACTGGGTATGACGCGAATTCAGCTTGTCCCCCACTCCGACTCGATTTTGTCCTCATATGTCCGACCTCAACTATCATTGGCTGAAATTGATACGCGCATCTCAGATGAGTGCGAAGACGCCGATAAAAGTCCCAAGTCCCTGCTCACCTACGTATCTGCGTCGTTCGCTGGTTTGGTCGCGGAAGAACGCGATCTCGATCCACCGAAGCCAGAGAAAGTTCTGGAGGAGGAGCTTCTTCTGTACACAGAGAAACTCGCGTGTCGGTGCGAGGAGCCCACGACAAAACTGGATATGCAGATGCTCGAGGTCCTCAACAACAACGGCTCCTCGCCGGGACGTCATGCCCGAGATAAGTGAGTTGCCGTGAGAGCTTAGATAATATCTTTGGCAGTGATCTTTGTCGGCGTGTGTTTTGTATCGGTGGTGGTGATGATGATGCAGTCGCATCCTTTGACAATAGCCGCTTTTACGAACGCGATTGGCATCGATCCGATCGAAGTTGCAACATGGCCATTTTTTTTGTTTGACGACGCATTGTACGCGCGTTCTCCTCCTTAATGGGCAATGCACTGGGATGAGAAGCCTGTCTATTCGATTCATTTTTCTTCTTTGGGGGTTTTCTTCTGGAATGAGGCTTACGCGTGCGTGAAAAATGGGAAAAACAAGCTTTGACAACTTCTGGGTACTCTGTCGGAGTCCCGAAGTTGATTGCTCCCTTTGGATGACCAGAGCGTTTTGCTTGTCCCGCGCAACGATCTTTGGTCTTAATAACCAGTGATTTTTGATTGATTGCGCCCGGCCGCTGAGCGAGTCGAAAGCGATTGATACCATTTGCGAATTCTCTCGATACCACCCAGTCGTCCACATCCGTTTTCCTCTCCTTCCTTTGTCAAGGGCTGCGTCTCTGACCGAGCATCGTTCCCAGAAGATGCTCTTGATGAGACAGTCGATCTCCGTTGGTTTCGACAACGTCTATTCTCGGTCTGGTGCTTTCCCGCGTTTCTCGATTGAGGGTTGTATTTCGCCACGGGAAAAAAGTACTTCCCGAGAAGACGTTCGCGACTTCAGAATGACAAGCTGACCTCAGTTTCGAATATGTACCATAGAGGCGCGAAGCTTTCTTATATCTAGTGTGCAATTTATTGTGGGAGCGGATTGTAGCGATATCATGATGGATAATCCGGCCGTGATTTTCAGAATTCCGCTATTTTCCGCTCGAGCTAACTGCGAGGCTCCTGGTCAGGAACGGGTTCTGACGACCGAGCAAAACTAGCAATCTTGTTCTGTCGCAGGGCGCCGTGATTTGCTCCATTCAACCAGCATCCAGATATCATAACAGTAATTTCCTCCCATGCTTCTTCCCAGGTCCGTCCCCGGTCCGTCTAAAGCCACCTGTAAGAGCCACAAGACATTATTGAAATCTAGCGACTGGAATGAGCATGCGGCCCTCATGCAGCTGACCCTAGTCAGGGAGGCGACAACCTGCGCTCCGAAATTCGGTTTCTGTGTACGCGTAATCGAAGGCGACTACGGAGCGTACGGATTCGTGCACGACATCAAAGCCCATTCAAAAGCGCTGGCGGGGGGTCTACTTTTTGGGGATATCATTCACACCGTGAACAAGATAAGGGTACGTGGGTGCCTCACAATTCAGCCAATCTTCGTATGTGTGATCACGGGAGGCGCTCGGTGACATTCAATTTCTTGATGGCCTCATCGGAATCCGACTGCGAAGACATTAAGATAGCCAGAAACGGCCGCATCGTATAATACTGGCCTTATCCCTATGCATCGAAAAAAGAAACATAAAATCAGTGCTTCTGTTTACAATCAGCGTATCAGCTGCTGGCACGCCGAATTTTCACGGAAGGGATGCCTTCGGCAATTGCGCCGCTTTCTCTTCTCGTATAAGGATCGATGAAGTGAAAGAGTTCGCGACATTTTCGTACGAATCAGTGGTGGCCAATCTGATTGGATGCCGGGTTTACTGTGGATCATCTGATTCAATTATTCATGCTGCAGAAAACAGCTCCAAGCAGTGCACCCCTTCAAAGCTGATTACGTTTTGGAATCGAACACTTCAACTCGAGTTCTCATCGCATGCGTTTTCCACAGATCACGGCCAATAACGAGCATCATATCCGTCAAGATATTCGCGATGCTGCGAAACTCACGTTGACCGTCGTACTGAAGAACCCGTTCAGATACGTCCAGCTCAACAAAGACGTGAGTAGCTGTGAAACTTTTTGCTTCATTCTCGCCCTTGAGTCAAGCTCAAAATTATCCGACCGCATCCGACACAATGAGGGAATTCGGAAGCGAAGCTGCTCACTTGCAAAACCCGATATCATCGAATTTTAGACTGTATCATTTCATCTCTGGTTGTGGGTTCCTAATGATTTTTTAAATGGGCAGCTGATCGATAGTCTTCATCCGAAAAATTGGGAATGTACAGAAAATGCTGAGTTTCTTGGGTCCTGACTAATGCGAATTTTCTCTGCGGCGTTTTCTGCCGTTGATATTGATCTTCTGTTCACAGCGATCAGGACACCGTTTCTCCGGGGACGGCCTCTCCTGTTGTTGTTGTAGTTATTATTGGGTTGATGATTCGGTACTCTCCGTGATTCCTTGGCATTCTCCCGCTCGCAACAATTTCATGTGTGGTGGATGTGTACGATATTCTAAATGGGCTCAGTTGATCGTGAGCCTGAAGGCCGAATTTTGGTGGTCCGATCGCCTGACGGCTGGACAAACCGTGCAGCCCCAGATGCCTTCGCTCACAATCGCGGATACAAACACTGACGAGCTGTCGAGCGAAGCGACGAATTTCGGGCCTCATTCATTCTTATTCGTTATCGATTTATCAAAGACGCGGCCATAAATCCTTCCGAGAGAGGGGAGTCGCTCGGGGCGCACGGAGTCCCGAGCTCCTTTCTCGGTGTTGCTCGAAATCTTGAAGAAAATGAGAATCGGTAGATCAGCCTGCACAAGGGGATGAATCTAGCTGACATCATCTGGGGTAGGGGCTTGGCGAACGCGATTGCTCTCTTCCGAGACCGGAATGAAGAAACACAGTCAGGAGGATTTCCAGCAGGTCCTTCGCTAAGTTGAAGGTCGCAGCGAATTGTCCTCTGTACGGAAAGTCATCCGAACCTTCATTTTCCGTAGATTTTCTCGGCGTACGGGATCACGGACAACTCTGAGGTGTTCTTGAAGGTCCAATGCAAAGCTTCGCCACTCAAAGACAAGCATGGATTCAAGCTGAAGACTTTTCTATACAGTGACGAGTACTCTACCTACGCGATCCATCTCGTGACATCGTGAGTAGTAATTGAAAGTCGATTACGATAATCTTTATCCGCGCTCGCTGCTGCTCGATCCCGAAACTGGATATCCTACGGTGGCTCGTCCCCTATCTGATAGATAAGGTCCGGTTTCGATGCGAAATAGAGCCGTTTTCGAAAGCCAGACTTTCCGAGGTCCAGACGGGCACCTGTTCGAAGCCGACTAATTTCTGCTCGGATCCGGTCCAGCTCGCGTGTCGAAAATCTGAGCTGAGAGCGTTCGTGCTAAACAGAGGTGACGATAGTGGCCGTTCTCGCCGCCGTCGCGATCGTCCCGTGCGGCGGGATGATCCGATGGTGGCGTGCTTCTCATTGTCTTGAACGTTTTCACGAATTTGACGAAGACAGAAGATTTTTCTGACACGTTGTCTTTGTGAGGATTTCACCTTGCTTGAGGAGTCCAATTGGAGCAGATAGTCAGCGGAGCGCTTGTTTGGTTGACATTGGAGACATCATTTCTAGTTTCCGTCTAGGACACGCACTGGCACGCGAAGTGCCGGAAAGCAAGGCATCGTTGCAATTCCTCGTGTCAGAGGGTGTCATACACATTAGTCCAAGAACCTCAATGTAATTCGCGCTCATTTAGTCTGCGGTTCCAAAGCAGCAGCCGAGCAAAACTCTGGCGTTTCAAAACAAGGGGTTGCTGTCGCTCGAGTCTTGGAGAGAAACAGGTTGCCGTCGGGAAAGTCGATGTCATTTTCCCACGGTTCGCTGTTTCGCCTCGATTGGGTAAAGGTACCAGATTCAGAATATTTTTGCAGAGTCGACAAGAACTTTAAGATACAGGAAGACTCGGACGCGAAGCTCTACGTCGGGGACGTCTTGTTCTCTGTGAACGGTCAGCGAACAACCAGATTCCACACTTATGACCAGGTATTTCGATAATCCACATCGATGCCAAAGGATCGAATTGCAATATCTTCCCGGAATTCGAGCGGCGGTCGCGGACATCATCGTCCGATTGATGATATTTCCCAGGTGTCGGTCCTGATAAAGAAAAGTTGCAAGAAGCATTTATTGATCGGTATTCTGCCCATATCGCCATACCGGGAGGACAATGAAGACAAAGAGATATGCAAAAGTTGTTGAATAGACTCCAGCTCCAAGTTTGCTAGCATTGACGAACAGGGAATAGACAGAGTCGCACAGAAAAAGAATTCGAGCTCTCGTGTCGCCATCGTGATTTCAATAGAGTTTCCCTGATACTTCTTCGCGACGCGTTGTTGCTCCTACTACAGCCGGAGCTTGGCTCAAAGTTCCGTACGACCCTGGAGACAAGGGGGAACGCCTGCATTTCTTGCCCCGCTAATATGATTATTATTGGAGCGCATTCAACGGCGATGGCTCTCTCTGGAGGGTGTCGAAACTTTCCGTTGCCGAAACGCGGCGGCCCGAGTGAACCTTTCAAAGTACGCATTGCTTTCGTCCGATGGATTCCGGAGATTATTTCGAGTCCCCGAACAGATTCCCAGCGGGCTTCGACAGGACGAATGGGCGCGACGCAGTGTGAGCTGGCGCGAAACTTCCGGAAGTCGAAGATTTTCAAACTTGTGAGACGATCTTAAAGTTGATTATCGTAATGCACTTGTCGATGATGATTTAGGAGCCCGTTGGATGGCATTTCGACGACAGAATTTCGGAATCAAGGCTGCTCGCTGCGGCCTCATCGAGCAAACAAAATACGTCGCGCTGTATATGTTGTCATTTCATCAAATTGAGTCCGATTGGCTGGAGATTTTCTGCCGAAGTGAATTATTCTGCTGCGGAGTCTCCAATGTCCATCGAAATGCCTTGTTCGGAGTAATTCTCCACAGTGACAGCGCGAGCCATTCGCGCAATCGATTCGCATTGATCGCGGTGATAAGGAGCACCGCGGCATAGTGCGTCTGTAAACAACTTTGTTCTTCGTCGCGGGAGTCCCGAATGTATCAATGCGATCGGGCGCTTCCCAATAGGGTCCACTGTTCCTGAAGGATGGTATTCTATGCTTTCTTGCAGGCGAAAAACCGGATCTTCCCGTTTTGGAGAAAAACCACGAGCTACTCTTCACAATGCGCACCTTGTTTGTTCACTGCCCCCCTGACCCGACTAGCTTATGACACTCGGTTTCGAAAGTTCTGATAGATGAACGATAGAAGCGCTTTTGGTCAGATTCAGATTGAGTGATGGGTCGTCGAGCAAACATTCATCATGTAGGCTAGAAAAAGAAGAAACAATCGACGACCCGCAGATAAGACGTGGTGATTGACAAACAGAATGGGCGTGTCGGCGCGGATCGGTACGCGGCGGGACCCGCTGGATCGGGTGGCTCAGAGGCGGGATTTAAAGGGATTCCAATCAATTTAGCGCCGAACAATGTTGCCTCGGTACATAGATCAATTAGCGACGCCCCGCCACAAGTTGACCGCAGCTTGAAAAATCGATTTCTTCCGCCAATCTTACGCTTGGACAGCATTCAGAGTGCCACCACGCGACTGCCGCCGGAGCGGCGGAACGTCTCCTCGAAGGATCCGGCGTCACTCCATCAGAAATGCGCATTTCTCGGTCAGCGAGCCTCTGTTTTCGACTCTGATTTCGATTTCCGTCCGACAGAGAGGGGTCTCTGGAATCGATTCGCCGTGGATCGCTACGCGAAAGATAAACAGGTCGCACCCTGCAATCTAGCAATCCAGCGATGCATGCGAATGAAAGAGTGCCGAATGTTTCTAGATGATCCAAAAATTGTCACTCATGAGAACTATTCGGTCTCCGGCTCCGCGCTTCCGCGAACACGCGTCCGTCATTCATCTTCCGTACGGCAGACACGGCTGGAATTCCGCATTTACCGCTGTGGAAAGTCGAGTCATCGTCCTCTGCCTAGCCCATTCTAGGATTCCGACTAGCTGTTCGTGATGCTGCTCATGATCGCCGCTGACCTCACGGGCTAGTCCGTGGGACTCTTTGTATCCCGCTTTAATGGAGCATTCTGTATACATTCCGCGTCCGATTGAGCGTTACATGTTTTCGCCGTTGCGCTACGTACCAAGGCACGAATTCATAGAGGTGCTTATTTAGTTCTCCGTTCCCGCATGCCAGACGACGCTGTTGCTTCTAAGCCGACAAGTGACGACGCTTTCATTCACACAGTTTCATTAATCGCTCCGGAGCGGAGGGATCGTCGAATCAATCGATGCCACAGTGTAGAGCTCCTTCATTTCGCGATGCCACCCGCTGCGGGGATTTTCGCACCGTCCGTCTTCGACCGCCTTGAGCACGTCCCTCGGCGGACTTTCGGGAATGATGGCAACCGAGGCACTCCAAAGAAAAATGCGAAATAGGAGTAGCGACGTGTAAATGAAGTCAACGAGCCTCTCGGAGCGAAAAATGAAAATATAATTTATGATCGGCCCGGGCACCCACCCAGCTCGGTTTTCCGTTCTCACACACTGCGGATGGAGATGAACAGGAGGCCTTGAGACTCTTCTGGTCCCAATAGAAAGGAGAACCAGACACTCCCGTGTGGTTTGTGCTTTGGTGCCACCGTTGTCGTCGTTGTTGCCGCCGCCGCCGTCGCGTCGTCGTCTTCTCGCCACTGCGCCTCCTACAGCGATCTCTCTTGGCTTGCGCGGGGCGCCGAAGACAGTGGCCATTCGCTGCTTGCACCACAAGCAACCATGCTCGCACTTCTGGTAGGTGGTGTTCTAGCTCGCGAGTCAGATCGCAGTGGTAGAAGGAATTTTTGTGTGCACTTGGAATTATTTCACTAGTCACGATTCCCACGCGGTGGAACCGGTCACTCATCTGAAGTGCGGCCGCTCATGATGAGGATTACGAAATATGTGCGCGGTGCTCTTCGATGTGCTCCATTGGATATCGATCATCGCACGACGGATTGAATTTTGTGAAGAATGGAGTTCTGAACTTCGGGGGACTCGCTTCCGGAGTGCGAACCCTCCTCGCAGAGCTCGTACCGCGTTTCCTCGGAGAGAGCGTCGATAGCTCTGCTAAGTTAATCAGGAGTATAAACTTCTCGATTCGGCCCGCCCCAGTGAGCTTGCTACGCGCGTATCGTTCTCCCGCTCGCACGGGAGCTCTTGTGGATACTCTTGAGCAACTCAGAAGGCTTACTCCTTGCCGGCTTTCACGATGACTCCAACTTTAGTAGTTCGGGACTTAGGCAGCCCCAGATAGACGCTTTCAATAGTCGTGTTATTCATTTGACAGGCCGTTCCGCTGTTCGCGGTCTTCGCAACCGCGGCACCCCACCAGAACATCAATCGCTATCAGGGGCCAACTGGGAGACCCATTGTCTTCGCGAAGAAATCATTTTTTGAAGATCTTGCCGTTCAACCATCCGTGCCTTACCGGCTGGTAGCCATTCCCGCGTTTGACAGCAGACCCGTATTCTCCATAGACGAGAACACCATCGAAACCGCGCCACCCCTCTACTTCAAAGGCGATCGACACCTTTACAGCAAGAACTCCTTTGGAGACTTCAGCCGATCGTCCGGACCGAAAGTTTACCACCCGGCAGCTCTCCACACGATCCGCGGCGGTTACTTCAGACCTCACTGGGAACTTACACAGAACGCGTACTACGAGCCATTCGTTTTTGGGAAACGACACTAAAATCTGTGATGCCATTGTAGATAAAATATATACATATCCAACCGAACGACCTCGAGTACTCCTCCCCTTATTAGTAAATACTTCTCGAACCAGCGGAGCGATGTAGCTTAGTGTCTTCGGCGGAGATTCCGTCGCTCGCAAGTCGGATATCAGCGTCGCGTCGTCAGAACGCCCCCCGTCTTACTTCCGACGATCATCTCTTGGACCGCAGTCGGCGGCTCCTCTGACCCTCGGGAGCCTACCCGAGGAGAGAACCTTTTCCATCTGCAACGCCTGCTCGTCAAAATGGAAGGTCTCAATGGAATATGGACCGTTTTAACTTAATGAAGAGCATTCAAGATAGACCATCCGTCACGCTAACCCGTATAAGTGTGAACAATTGGCATGACAGCACAATGTCGCTCCAAAGACGCAGCTCATACGCCCCATATAATCATGAGGGAATTAGCAGGGAAATGGAAGGTATATCCAGCAGTCGACTCGCGTGCCGAAGATTTCAGACAGAATGGATGCAATGAACGCGGGGCGAGCAAATTATCACTTCGGCTGTCAAAACCGGTTAATAACATAACTTCCATCAAGGTTAGAAAAGTTCCTCTGGGATTTTTTTTCGAGCCATACGAAATGGGGAAAAAACGATGAAATACGATTCAAAGCCCCGTCTACTAAGCCGGGTCGAAGGCATTCCGCGACGATGATGGTCCGGTCAGCCGCGCTTTCGGGTTGTCTATATTAGTGAAGAGGTCTTGGTATTGCGCAGCCCAAAGCATCAAATGTCAGCCCTGTCATAGATGAGAGCTCCAGCGACGAGCGCATGTCTTGGAAGCTGAGAGGGGGAGGAAAAATGGTCGCTCCGTATCAATCTTGGCTTCGAGTCTTGGGAAACTGAAGTCCTGCGAGCGAATGACTCAAATCTTTTGAAACGCCAGACGTCGGCTCAGCTCCCAATAGAGCCTCCGAAAGGTGGGTGTCTGCGATGTCTCCATCGGAGCGTTCTTGTTGTTGGTGAACAGGTCCGAAACAACAGGAGGAGGAGGTTGCGCGTCGCGCTCAATCGACCAAATGTCAGTAATCCGACTGAGCATGTCAAGGGAGTCGAAGTCGAGTCATCTGTACGTTTTCATTCCGTATCCCGATTTCATACGTACTGCAAACCTTGTCTTCTCACTCGCCCAGCTAGAATACGGCTCAACTACACGGAGCAACGAAATTGATCCCTACAACAACAGCGCGGTCGAATTTCAATTGAATGATCATTGAATTTCTCCGGAGGACTCAAAATTTCCGATGCAAGACAAGTGGACGAGGGTATCATTTGCTTGACAGCTGCTCTCGCAGCGGTTGCCACCAATTGACTCGGACCCCACATCTGCTCTGACAAGGAACGACGCCGACAATCGAAGAAGACTTCGCTCCGGACTGATTTATGGAGGCACTCACGACGACTGACTGAAGGAATGCGCAGATTGATTCATTGTTGA